CATAACGCACAAGTCACGCAGAAGCTTCGTTTTATTTTTTTTCGAACGGGGAGACGCGTCCATTTTATTTCTACATTTAAAATTCGTTCGCTATTCCGTTAGGTTAATTCATGTTTCGCGTACCTTTCCTCTTGGGTTTTTTTTTTTTTTTATTTTTTTCAACGACGTCGTCCGCTATTGAAACGCTACAATTTTTACGATCCAGGTACAGATTTAATCGATAGTCTCGGGAGGCTCCAAGGCAAAATTGGATTTAGAAAACAATATGGCGTCGACCAAACGAAAGCAACGCTACTCGACGGAATTAATAAATCTTTTTTTTCTTCTATATTTATTTGCGATTCGTTATATTTCAAAGTAAAATTTTAATCGTAATTAGAATTAATTTTCAATGTATATTTAATTATGTTTAAATTATACACGCAATTTGCATGGTCGAAATCATATTTTTGCCTCGTCGGTGCCCCAACGTCTCTAATTTTTTTCCTTCGGTTGCTATTTCAAAACAATGTACATTTCTACAAATAATTATTACAGTATAGTACCACAAAATAATCTTTACGATTTCATGCGTTACACGGCCGCGTTCTGAAACACATACACGGATATACAGAGTGACGTACCTAAAAATGGCGAAATATTTTAAAGAAATATCTTTCTGTTTAGAATAAAAAAGGTGCACGATTAAACAGACGTAACCGTACGTGTTCTATGATTTCATCGTTGTCTGGGATAACTCTTAATTTAAATTTATTTTTTCTTTTTCTGGTTTCATTTTCGGTAAACATTCACGATTCCACTTTTAGATAGCTCACCCTGTGCACAGTATATCATTATCCACTTAATAATATTTATAATTTATGTATATATATATATTTATATGTATATAATAGTTATGCGAGTACGTATATACAATTATATGTATATATATATAAATATATGTATGTGGAAGTCAAAAATTAATAAAGTTAAAAAAATATAATCTTCAAAATAGAAACTATAACCGTCTTTCTCTTTAGCTACAGCACTATTGTGTCACTTTATGAGTCCATTTTTTTTATTTATTTCTTATTTACTTTTCGCGAGAACACGTCGAACGTCGTTCCTTCCTCTTTTTGTTTTCCCCCATTTTTGTTCGTGTGCACGGGACCGTGCGTGTATCTACTGCGATATACGTGCCGCGGTCCGTTGGTTCGCGAACCAAAGAACGTTTGTAAAAGTAAAAATTACAATCATCGGAAATCGTTTTTGCCTTCATTTTTTTTTTTCGTTTTCAAATTTTTATTTTTACTTTTTTTGGAGCGTCTGTCGTCTGATTGCTACGAACAACAAATCTCCGGCTTACGTTTGCGAAAAAAATTCGCGTTTTAGAAACGTCGATCTCGTTCTTTCGCTAGCCTCGATTAATCCTTAAACGTTATTTTAAATGCATCGCGGAGCATCGTTTCGTTAAACTTAAGACACACTACGCGGGGGAGGGGGGTGGGGGGAGGGGGAGGGGTGGCTGATCCAGGAACGGGATTGGAAAATATGCGAAAGCAAGTATTTTCAATCTCTTTTCAATTGTTTATTTGCGCGACCGAAAAATATTTCCAGAATATAATGCGAAACGGTAAATGTATTTTTTCCAAGATCTTGTAACTCTTGGTGGTCTGGATCCGCCCCCAACACTGCGTTTTCGTTAAGTGTTTTAAATTCCTCGCTTGATTGTTCTCTTAATCGTTAAAGTAAATTCCCAAAACGTCGCCCCTCGTTCTTGCAAATTCTTCGTTCGTTCTAATGAAACGGTAGCAATTTGAGCAACGATTCTCGCGGATCGCGGTGAATGTTCAAGAAAACGTACGGCTCGAAACACATCCCCGTTGATTATCGACTTCCGAGGAATTTATTTTCCCTTGCGCGGGGCTGAAACCAAAACAGAACTGTTCGGGAAATGAAAATCTTCTACGAACTGAGAATTCAGAAAAAAGATGAACCTGTATATTTACATAGAAGTATCAAAAACCTTTTTTTTCCTTTTTTTTTTTTTAATATCATATGTACACATGGAAGTAATTACGTAACAAATGTTCAACACGTATCTTTCCACGGGAATACGCTAATAAAGTTTCTCGTTTAGTTAGTAACAGAGGGGTAGTGGAAGTTTCGTTATAAATCATCGTTCAACGATTCCGTCGTTTAAATGATAAATAAACGTTTCCACAATTTCATGTATTGCTCTAATAAATACTGAACGACAACGTTGCTTTGTAAAATGCAACGTAACCGAGGATACGCCGCGTCCGTACTCCTTTAATCGTGTTCTGAACAATGGAGTTTCTCGCTCGTAATGTCGGCTGACAGGCATTTAATGAAAAAATACGCTCAATCAATAAGACTCCTCTTTAAACCTTTAGTAAAAACGCGTTAACGATAAAAACTCTCTTTTGTTAGCATTAATGTACAACACGATTTATAGGAAAATCTAATTAATTAGTCTCTGGTAATAAGGAGGTATAACAAGCAGCTCATGCTTTCGACTCGCGATTCCAATATTGAACATATCGGTGGACAATTCAAAGGGGGGGCTATATCATGGACCAAAAAATTATCCGAATTTGAATCACGTTCCCCAAATTCTTCGAAACTTTAACATTTCTATCTAAAAATTTTTAGGGTTGGAATTCTCAAATTAACCCCCATCTCCCCCCTTTGAATTCTTCTAGATCCGCCACTGATATCCATTAAAATACGAGTACATTCGATAAACATATATTTAAAACAACGTACAGTCTTTATACGTAATTTTCGTACGCTAATTATAAATCATTTATTTTAAACTATACGCAACAGCTGAAGCTTCGCTTAAAGATCCACGGATATTTTCCGGTATGGATGGTAAATAGAATATTGAAAATGAAAACCGCTAGAAATTAACAGAGTTTGCAAACCAGTGCTCCCCGGAGGATATAATTGCCCACTTCGATCAATATACACTTTTCCTTCTTTTTTTTTTCTTTTTTTTTCTTTTTTGGAGAATGCACCGCTGTAGGAATACAAGGGTGTCCCGTTTTAATCTTCCCGTCTGATCACATCTCGAACTCGAACAAACGTTCGAACAAGTATTAGTTAAAATAGCGAAATACGCCGTACTCTTTTTATTTATTTAGCTTTATTCCGACGCGCACGTTTGTAGCAAAGAGTCTCATTAAATTCTACAACTATCAGCACGTACAGAGTACAGAGATATGCAAGACACCTTATACAAAATCGTTACGACTTCCTGACATTGATTCTTGTTTGTGCAATTCACTAGAACGGTGGATGTCTACACGCTGACCATCGTATCGATAGTAACATCGAGAAAGGACAAGTCTTGCACTTAACGCACCGTAGTCTGCCCAACTCTTCTACTTCTACGTATACTTATTTTCCCAAAACCAGATTTCATTCTGCTAACATTGTGGTTTCAAACCCATAGGCCACCAAGCGACCACTATAAAATTTTTAATCCGTGTGTTTGTGATTCCCCTGTAACTCCTGCTATTTTTGTCCAATCCGTGTGAAATTCTATTTATCAGTTCTTTATGCTTCGATGGAAAGTATAGACTACTCGATTCGTTTAAAAATTGTGCCTTGTGCGAGTCAATGTAGGCGAAGTGGCTTCGAACGACCATGAGTTTATCCTGGCTGTAGAGAGCCACCAAATTTTCGATTTATTTTCGAAAATGAATTAATCTCGTACTCCCCATTTATTTTTCGTTATTTCATTTTCAAATTTTCCTTTTTTTTAGAAATATTCAAAATTTGTACGTCTTTTTTAGAGATTATCCAGTAATGGTCTAGAAAACATTTATAGCATCGGTTACACCCGTTTCCAGCGAATATCGAAAGACCCGCAACAATGATGATCTCTCATAATACAGCGTCGGGAAAAGTTGGCCAGACAACAATTGCGTTAGTACACCCGCACAAAGAGCTAGAAATACCAGAGCATGCGGAAGTTTTTCATAGCTGATTATTCGCGTTGCGTTTCAGTCGTGTTCGTGCAACGAAAAACGTTTTCTATCTACTGCGCCAGTTTCTAGAATCGTGCTAGGGAAGAGCTCTCGTTTTCGTCCCTCCTCGCGTAAAAGCGAACTGTATCGGCCAGAAAATGTGTCGAGTCCCATTCTTCATTGAAAAACTCGGGGCTTGAATAAATTGATCTTTGATCACGCTGAGAACCTTCGAAGGTTCCAAATGGGGGTATCTCGGGGTTTAATTCTTTTTAACAGCCGTTTTCTTACAGTATTACCCAAAGTTTTAACTTCAAAGCAACGCTACTGTAGATCGTATCGCGTAACGGATTCAAATTAATCGCTTTATGAAAAATAATTCGTATCGCTTATACCAAATTACTTCACACTTTTCGTATCAAAAGTAAAAACCGTTACGAAAATTCGAAACTATAAATATACACGTCTCTACTTTTCTCAATATTAATCTCTCGTAATTTATCGTTAAGTAATACGTAACCATAAGTACAGCATTCCCTGGTCAACCGAAAAAATTTCACCGGTTAACGAATAGTTCAATTTTTATATTTCTCATTAGATTTTTTTGCTTGCATTACCAATAGATCGACGAGATTTTTTCGATTAAAATGAGTCCAAACACGACCTTGTTCGAACCACTTTCGGTTACATGCGCGTGGCGCACCGTGCTCGCGATACGGCACTGCTCGAAGTATTATCAGGCCGAATTGCGTTGTGTTTGTACTCGTTTTAACCGGGAGATCATTGCCAATCTATTGACAATAATCTTTCGAAGATCTAACGACAAATATACAGATTTTAATTTTCATTAATTATTCAATATAGAAGTTGTTGACCTGTTTCCTCTGGCGATATTAATTCTAGTTCGGTTATCCAAGGAATATTGTGTACGAGTTTAGACGCGTGAAGCGTGACAAGTGAATATATTGTCAAGATAATCGTATAATAATAATCACAATTAAAAATATCAAGAAACGTACTTAAAAAAATAGTGCCAGACTAAGTAAATACATTTTGTTGATCGTTTCTAAAAATTCAGTTAGAAACTCTAAAATATTTCAAATAAATAATGTTTCTGGATTATAATCATAACCTATATTTAATATATTCACCCGTTTTAAGTTTCACGCGAAACCTCTATAAAAATAAGTAGAATGTGCTAAAACGATAATAGCTATTTGTCAATTCCTTAAATAGAGTCTTAAGCATTTGATCAAACTGACTCGTAATGCATCCGGTGATTCCAATATCTCCAACGATCGTACTCATCGATCTTTCGCGCGAGATACTTATACCAATCTGATGTACGTGTTGTAAAAATATGCGAGTCTTACGAGCTACATGCTTTCCACGTCGTGGGGTCACGATTACTCTTTTTCCTCGGTTTCCTGGCACTCGGCGCCCAGCAGGGTAGATTTGTCTTCCTCCTGACCGCCGACTTCCGGTTCCTCGACGCTCTGACGTTGACGTCTCGTGGTCTTTCGTTGCACGTAGAACATAAGGATTATACTGACGCCCGCCAGCGCTGCCAGGCCCGCCAACACTACATAAATTGTTACTGGCATTTGATTGAATCCCTGCAACAAATAAACAATTCTCAATTTTCCTAATTCTTAATTATTATAATTGAGCCGTTTATTTTGAAAATGGCCTAACTCCATTTTTCAATTTTTTTCCGGTTACCATAGTTACATGTACAACTTCATGTTATTTATCAGTAAAGCATTTCAGGTTGCTTATATTCCGGGCAAATACGATAATTCTTGACACATAAGTTTTCGGAGTTAGTTCAATAATTGAACCGTGTAGTTTGAAAGTGGCCTAACTCCATTTATACTTAAATCAAGATATTTACTATTGATAATGTCGGAAAGCAGTGATGAAGGTAATTTTAATTAATTAGTATTTACAAGTTAACCTCAGTTTTTGGACAATTGCGTTAGTTGAATAACCAGTACGTTTAATTAATATAAAACTTAAAATTTAATATTAAATTTTAGAAATTATTTCACCCATGGGGAAGAACAGAACAAGATTATTTAGTTCAGATAGTGAAGAAGAAATAGTAACTAATGATTTAAAAAAATATCGAAAAAGAAACAGAATTATAGAACAATATTCGTCTTCAGGGGATGAAGATACGAATAATAGTGGAGAAAAGATTGATGAATCATACATCCAAAAAGTGCGAAAGATTGAACGGAATTCAGGAAAAAGATATTGTACTCAAACCGGAAATATTGTACCTGAAAAGATTTTCGAAAACAAAGATTGCCGCTGTCGGAATGCTTGCACAAAAAATTACGATGAAGAAGAAACAAAAAGAATATTTTTGAGAAGTTTTGGGGTTTGGGAGATTTTAACAAACAAAATGTATTGCTTTACGAAGCTGTCGAGCGCAAAATTGTGGAACGAAGACGTCCAACAAACGGAAAAGGTTCGCCAAGAAATTGGAGTTTTAAAGATATGTAAAATAAATGCAGTATTGTTTTTTTCAATTTGAAGCATCTTAAATTATGTTGAATGAACTTGGGTACCTTCAAATTTTATAATGAATCTGGTTGTTAATTTTGAAAGTGTCCTAACTCCATTCTTGATAAGAAAACGCATATTATTCACTTAATAATTGCCACTATTTTAATAGGAACTATAAATTTAACACCCTTAGATACATTTAAGCAGTATGACTCATTAGTATCCTATACGTATATTTTTAAATTCGTTGAAACGCAAACCCTTAAATATCTCGATTTGAAGATAAATGGACTTAGGCCACTTTCAAAATAAACGGCTCAATTCATAAAACAACCCCCAACCTGTGGACAGGAGAAAAATAAATTAAAGATAGCAGGAATAGGGTTTACATAATCTGTTTTTTGGAGGTAGATTCAACCCTGATGCGTCATGTTATTAAAAAACAACCCCTATAGCGGAGTAAAAATAAATGCCTCCCCACGTAGGTAATGGTGAATGGCTAAATGGCCGAAAAAAAATTATTTTGGGTAAATTCAACCCTGAAATATCACACGTTAAAACGGAAGTCCCTATGGTGGAATAAAAACAAATAATAACGAATAAAAATGAACAAGTAAAATTCCTCCAAGCTACCATTGCTATTGTTGACTAAAAAAAAATTATTTTATTGTCAAATAGCGTTAAAAAAATTTTGCTTCATATTGATTTTCGTACCCTACTAAAGAAGACTTAAGAGAATTAACGATTCAGTTGGTACCACGTCGAGGTTCATTAATCGAAGTCGTACAATGGACTTCAGCGAGTGTGAAATTTGCAGAAAAACAGACGTACCGGTTAGGAGCGATGCCTATTTAAATTCTATCCCGACACGGAGTAAATTAATCCGTCGTGATGACACAAAACTCAATATCGGAAATTTTGCCCTAGTTAACTAACTCGGCATGATAACGGTTTTAAGCTTCGTGTTTATTAAATAGAGGACCTCGTAATAAATATTCCACGTCCGCGCGGGTACCGGGGAAACAAAATTTCCTATAGTAACGCAATATTCCATAATAATTCGATAAAAATTATTATCCTCGTGCGTCGTATAATCGATACACGGAAATCAGTTTATTTCACACGCTAATATTTAGTGGCCCTAACGTCTTTAGGGTTGGCACGTTATCGTTACCTTTGTCTTAATTATTTTTTAAAAATAAAATATTTTCTCACCCTGCAAAATTGTCAAAATTGTAAATTTACGGAAATAAATTTTGTCCAAAATCCGGCCGACCTTTTTGAAATTACTCAAATACGATTAAAGTACGTTTTTTTTTTTTTTTTACATAAAATTTTGAAAATCGTGTTTGCCAAAGGGACTTTAATAATTCATTAACGAGAAGTTTGTTCAACGATGTCGTAGTTTAGATTGTATTTTGTTTAGCGTCGTGAAATCGGCGCGAGATTTAATTTCCATTGAAATCGAACACGAGTATCTGGCTTTCAAAAGATCTTCGCCTCTAAAAAGCTTCGGGGGATAACCTGTTTGAAATTCTGACACGGAGATCGTCTTACGCGGGGGGTTAATCTTCCCATTTAAATAAGGTTTACATCACTTTTAAGAAGACAAATTTCCCGTGGAATGTAATTTAATTTAATCCCTGAAATTCAACGCCGTTCCACAGAGGCCAATCTTTCATTGCCCACGTACACGCATATCGTAAAAATTATCTGCGTCGAGATATTGACGTCTAATGGCGACGAGAAGGAAAAGTGGAATTCACCGTACAATAGTTTCACGTTTTACAATTCGTACGAAAACAACTATACGTCGAACAAATTGCTCCTTTTAACTCGTTTCAATATTTCATTTTAACGTTACTTTAAGACGGGTATTTTAAACAAACCGGAATTTTTATTATAGAAAAAGAATATAATTACTAAATCTTTCTCAATCTTTGATACAAAAACTTTTTAAAAGTATTCGAACAAGTATTAGGGGTACAAATGAATAATCCAAATTACCTTAAGCAGTTATAAAATCAAGTTTAAAGTCAATAGATTTTCCCGCTCTTTTGCGGTCATGTAGAGTTGGCATACAGGTTGTTCGGTCACCCCTGCAAAAAATTTTAATGGGAGATTCTAGAGGCCAAAATAAGACGAAAATCAAGAATACCAATTTGCTGATGGAGACTTCGTTAAAAAGTTATTAACAATTAAATTCAAAAATTTCAAATCGTTCTTAAAAAATTGTTTTCGGTTGCGGGAGTCAATTACAATCATTTTTGGTGAATAGGCATACTCCCGAAATCCTACCCACCTTCTAGAAAAAATTCGAGTAGGTGCTGAAATTTTTACACGAAATTAAAAAATTTAAAATCATATTAAAAAAATTATATTTAGTTATAGGGGTCAATTACAATCATTTTCGGTGAATAGACATACCCCTGAAGTCCTAACCATTTTCAAGAAAAAAATTGTGTAAGTGCCTAAATTTTTCGGCGAACAAAAAAATTTCATATCGTTCTGGAAAAATTATTTTCGGTTGCGGGGGTCAATTACAATCATTTTTTATAATTTGACATACCCTCGAAATTTTACCCATTTTCGAGAAAAAAATTCGAGAGGGTGTGAAATTTTTTGACAAAATTAAAAAATTTCAAATCTTTCTGGAAAAATTATTTTCGGTTGTGGGAGTCAATTACAATCATTTTTGGTAAATAGACCTATCCCCGAAATCCTGCCCCCTTTCTAGAAAAAAATTCAGGACTGGCGGAAATTTAAATGTTAATAACTTTTTAACAAAGCGTCCATCAACAAATTAGTATTCTTGATTTTCATCTTATTTTGACCTCTAGAATCTCCCATTAAAATATTTCCCAGGGTTGGCCGAACACCCTGTGTAGCTAGTTAAAACAAAAGATAGTTTATCGAAAGGCCCAACATAGCCTTCAAAAGTATTCAATTCAGTAGAGTCGAAAATGGCACCAGATAAGGTGCATATCCGACACTGCATTCTTCACGAATTCAAACAAGGGGAATTTGTTCCTTTCTCGGTGAATGTGTTGTATCGAATGATGTGTGCGCATTTTGGTTTATGCGGTTTAAAAGCGGTGATTTCAGTCTAATCGACAAACAACGCCCTGGAGGTCCTCGGAAGTGCGACAACGATGATTTGGAACAACTGCTCGCTGAGAATGCAGCACAAACGCAAAAAGAACTTGCAGAACAGTTAGGAGTGACCCAGCAAACGATTTCCAAACGCCTACGTGAGATGGGATAGATCCAGAAAGAAGGAAAATGGGTGCCGCATGAACTCACTGCAACCAACAAAAATCAACGACTGGCAGCGTGTCTTTCTTATCTCAATAAGCAGCGTCGAAAGTCTTTCTGGTGGATAATCGTTACGGGCGATGAGAAGTGGATACTCTATGACAATCCAAAACGCAGAAAGCCATTGGTAAATCCCGGTGAAGCATCAAATCGGTTGCAAAACCCAATCGCTTCTGAAAGGAGGTTCTTCTCTGCATTTGTTGGGATATCAAAGGCATGGTTTATTATGAGGTTGTTGGAACCGGGTGAAACAGTTACTGCGGACTGCTACCAACGTCAATTAATCTGCTTGAGTCAAGCATTAGGAACGAAAACGTCCGTATACTGGCAAAGAAGAACGTCCAGTGAAATTGTTGCATGACAACGCCAGGCCACATATTGCTTCCCATACAAAAGACACCATAATGAGTCTTGGCTGGGACATCTTTCAGCACCCGGCGTATTCACCAGACATTGCTCCATCTGGTTATCACCTGTTCCGGTGATGCAACACGCTTTAACCGATATGCACTTCCAATCAGTGGATGAGATCCGAAAATGGTTTGATGAATTTATCGGGTCCAAAAACGTAAAATTTTTCCGAGATGGAATTCATCAGTTGTCTGAAAGATGGCTTAAAGTTATAGAAAGTAACGGCGAATACTTTGATTGAACAATTCAATTTACTTTCTTTTAAAATAAACATTGAACGTGACTGAAAAAATTGGATTATTCATTATTACACCTAATATATTACACAAAAGTAGAACGTGGCTCTAAACGAGGGAATTCTTCAAGGAATAAGTTTAATTTGGAAATTCCTTTAGCCTAAGTAACCTGTGACCTCAATTAGTTTCAATAGAACGTGCTCACTTTTATAAGAACTTATACGCGCGACGGTCTGAAAGGAACAATTAAGCGTGCACGGTCGAGGAAAAATCAATTAAGAGTAGTTATGTGTTACGATCAGGAACATTGTTGCGGAACCGGAGTATTTTTTAAATCATTTTACGCTGACAGCTTCGAATCTCTTTATCTACGATAACGTCGACGCGTGTATTTCTAAATATGTTTAATCGCGAAAGAAACAAATGCCCCGACCGGACGCAGAATATCGGAACTCGTATTAATCCGGGCGGAATTAAATTTCGTTTTAGGAGCCCGATACGAATTCGCTGGAATCCAATATGGCGGCTGCCGAAAGTGTTCCCGAGTAAATTAATTCGCGTGTGTCGCGTTTCGCGACAGCTTTTGCATCGACGACAGTTTTCCTACTGTCCTCGTTTCTCGTTTGGAGAAAGGAGCACGGACGAAAGAGTCAGCTGGGCTACAACAGCACCCGGTACCACTCACGGCGGCTAAGAAATTAAGAGACGATGTATAACAGGGCGAGTCGAAAATGAATGACAACGCCGGGCGCGAGAGAAAAATAGTCTACGAAAGGAAACGTTCTGTCGCGTCTGTCCGCCTCGTGGAACGATAAAAGGTAATGGCGACCTGGCGAGAAACGTGGAAGAAGAATAAGGAGAACCGACCGTTTCCGGTCTCCGCTTTTAGATTCACGAACATGCTCTTTCTATCGATCGGCCCGAGCTCTTCGGTTTAGATGTCTTTTGGTGCAATACGATCGCTATTCGAGCCCCTTACTCGATACAACTCCATTTTATTTTGGTCTTAGAAAACCCCAACAGTAATACTTTATATAAAAATTGAATTTTTTAGTCGTGTATAAACTCGCATATATTTGTGACCCATTTTCCCCTCGGTCAGCACTTTCGATCGTTAATAAAAGTTGCGGGGAAAAGTGACACGACGCTGAGCGAATTATTAAAAAAATGGCGAACGATGTTTTCGTCGTTTTACGTCACTTTTTGCAACCTTTGATACTTTCAGAAATATATTAAGCAAATATAGCGCGCCCCTCTGGTTTAGTCGCGGGAAGAGGGCAGGTAGAAATTTTTCAAACGAACGAGTCTGTCCAGTATTTAATTGGTCAAAAACATACGGAGAGACTTCTATTAAACGCAATAAACTGTTTCACCCCTTTCGTCTGCGCTGTCGTGTTCTTTTCGTAAATAATACTCGCAAAAACTTCTGTTCGTACAATATCCTTTGTCGTTGTTGCGAAATATTTTTCGCAAGTTACAAATTTTTCTATTTAAGCAGACACGATGCTGTTTCTGAAAACTTTTCACATGTATTCTTTCATCTCGAACAGAAAGGAATGTTTTCAGGGCGATGGTGAATACCGAGATTGCAACAATACATCCCCGACGAAAAGATAAACTCCGCGGGATCCTTTGACTTTGTTTCCGGTAGCTACTTTTAAAGATTCACCGGTATTATTTAACAGGGATAATATTCCCTGCAATCTTTCCGTCGTAAGAACTAAATTTCGTGTTTCGAACAGAGTCTTTTTAACGATCAAGCTGAATCTCGAAAGCTTTTTAACAGCGTTTCTACAGTAATAATATTTTCGCATTGAAACTGGCAGTTTAGTTAGCACGTAAACGTTTTAAATTAAAAAATTTCGAATCGTTCTAAACAAATTATTATCAGTTGTGGCGGTCAATTACAATTATTTTTGGTGAGTAAATATACCACTAAAATCCTACGCCCTTTTGAGAAAAAATTCGAGTAGATGCCTAAATTTTTCGGTGAAAAAAAAATTTCAAATCGTTCTGAAAAAATGATTTTTAGTTGCAGGGGTCAATTACAATCACTTTTGGACAATAAACATACCCCCGAAATACTACGCACTTTCAAGAAAAAAATTCCTTACCGAAAATATAGTTTCAGGCCAGAAATGTCACTTGAAAATTACGCGCGTCTCTTTAAAACGTCATAACTTCTGAACAGATTGAAGCACTGCAATGTTTCAAAAGGCAAATAACGCGTATTTTAGTGAAGAATACGTAGAAATTCTAATAATATTGAAAAATTTGTTCCTTGACCCCGTAAAGTGAGAAAAACCCAATGAAAATGGTCCAATTTTCAAACAGCTATAACTCCTACAATAGTGAATATATTTCAGTGAAACTTTTTCCTGCAGTAGAGCTCATGGGTACCTACAAAAAAGTATTAGACAACTTTTCTATAGGGCGGCAAACAAAATTACTAAAAATGCAAAACTAATTTTTAAGAAAAATCAACAAGGTGGTATCATTTTTGGTGAATACACATACCCCCGAAATTCTACGTGCTTTAGAGAAAAAAAATTCTTTATCGAAAATATACTGTGTGGCCAGAAATTTTCCACTTTACTATTTTTTATCAAACATTAGTGGCCTTAAATGATACGATTGTTCCAAGCGTAAAATCTGTCGTGACCTTGGTTTCAAAGATTTCGAGCCGGAGTGAAACCGACGATGAGGATTAGCGAAAGTGGCGCCGCGAAGTGTGTTTCTGACGACGAGGATTAGCGAAAGTGGCGCCGCGGAGCGTGAAACGTAGGAATTTGAGGACCTACCTTCCATTGAAAGTCGGAAGAGGGATCGGTGAAGAACCACTTCTGCGGCCAAGGTTTTATCGTTCCCTCGGGCGTCTTGAAGATTAACCCTTCGAGACTTAGGCCGTGTGCGAGCACGCTCGTGGTGATGTTCCCTTTCTTGTACGAGGCTATGCCCGCCTTCATGTACTTTTTGGGTACTGTTTCGTTCTCCCTGAGCTTCAGCGTCACTCTGGGCAGCTTCGCCTTCCTCGGCGAATTCGCCAGCGTCGCGGCGATTTCGATCGACGTGCTCGTTACCGTCTTTAGGGTCGTCGGAGGCGACGTCGACGTCGTTGGCTGCGTGACGGACGTCGACGTCTGTCGGTGGCTGTTCTGCGCCTCCGAGACCATCTGAAGACGCTGCGTGCTGCTCGCGACAGGGTCTGTAAAATTATCTGACAGTTCGAAATTTTACTTTCATACGAATTTATATCTTTTATGTAACTTTAAATTATATTAAATTGCTTCGAGGCAGACGTAAACGTAGTCTTTCTCGGTAAAAGCAACGAGAACTTTCGACCGTCATGGCCGCCATGTTTGTTACGCTCGAGGCGCGGGAATTTAAAAAATCGAAGTAACCCACGCGGTTAAACGTTGAAAGAATTGCACAGAATTTTTTACCTTGATCGAGTATATTAAAACACTGGTAAATTAAGCGTTCGAACTTATTTTTGTTACGATGAATTGTTTTTAGTGGGAATTGAGATGTTAAATAATTTGAAAAATGGTAATCCCCAATATAGAATGTTGATTATTTTAGAAATATGAAATTTATGAATTGTCGAAGATAGAGCAATAATAATTCCAGTCTGTAACGTCAAATGCATCGGGTAGCGATGAATAATGAATGTTGTACGCCAACAAAGGGCGAATATTTTTTCCCCGCGCTATAAATGTCACGTAAAATCGTAATATTCGCACGAAAGTTTTGCATGTCGTCGCACGCGTTGCATAAAATCAAGCAAAAGGGGTTAACGGCGATTGCATGGGCATCGTCAATTTGTTCGTACTGCAGCTGGAGTGGTTATTAAAATTTCAACAAAACTTTTGTGGGACCGATCGAAGAGCGACTTCAATTATCAACGCTTTAAAATCTTTCGCCAGAGCCCTTGATCTAAATTGACTTCAAATTAATAAACGAACACTGTAAACTCTAGCTCGAGTATTCGTGTTCATTTTCTGTGTACAAAAACGTTTATAAAAATAATTTCTCGTAGTCGAATATTGCAGTGATTTTAATAAAATTGTGTATATTTCTTTAAAAATATTTTTAAACGTGAACGTGGAATACAAAAGTATAGATATTTAAACCGTATCGATTATTGAGTCTCTGGTGATAAATAAAAGGTTGAAGAACTTTTTCATTTCCTGAAATGTCGTTTGCTTGTGACTAGCGTTCATTTTTGTTTAATAAATATTATTTTTATTTGCTTCTTTGCGAACGAACTGCTAATGCAATTGAAATTTCCGGTTGTTCGATGAAAATATTAATTTCAAATAATTAACGTGTAACTTTTGGCTTCGATTATTCATTGCAACGGTCAAATAAAAATGTTTTTCTCTCTACAGTATTAAAAGTCCCATTTTCCAAAGTATGAATTTACATTGTCTAATTAAAAACTTAATTGAAAAGGCTCTCGTTAATTTATTAAATGTATGACCGAAGAAATTCTCTTATTATTTACATTTTTTTTTTTCGTTATCTCGCGTTGTATTCTTTGGGATTTATTTGTCGATCCAATCAAATCTAGTATATTTGAGTAACGTGCAATAATATCGAAGATGTCGATGTTTATTGCTGATAACTATTCAGGACTTCGAGCGCATCTGTGAGAGAAGAATAGAGATGAAAACTCGACAGTTATCTGGAAGAGCGATTGGATCGATCAGTTTCTTCAAAATTAAATTCCGCGTTTTATTCCATCGGGAAAAATACGTTTTCACTTTAAGTAATTCCAGGCGGCAATATTATTAATAGCGACACGTTGCCACATCGCGATTAAATATTATTTTAATCGGGAATCCTATTAAATACAGGGAATATTAAAACTGTAAGAAATGGAGAGTAAACCTATCTTAATATTCGCATTTTTGGGATATTTATTAACATTTTTTAAAATTATTTACGTTTACGAAAAAAGAAGCTCTTCAAGCACTTTATCTGCAAATATTTTTCGTTTCCTCGGTAGAATATGCACAGATATTTATTATTGTAGTAAACGTTTAAGAAAGAGGAAAAGCCTGGTACGCGTAAACGTAAAGACCACGTCCAAAGTTATTTGTTTCTTCTCTAAAAACGGGGGTGATATTTTCCAGCGCATTACTAAGGAAAATGCAAAACTTCCTTGGGAACGGAATACAGGAAACAAGGGGACGTAAATTTAAAAAAATAACTCTCGTCTTCGACTCTTTGCCGCCTAAAAATACAAGCAAGAATTTAATCTGACTATTTAAATAAGATTGTCGTTTTGTTCTGAAAAAATACGAGTAATTCTGGAGTTAAATTCCTCTCCAGAATTTTACTTGTTAAACTCCGAATCTCGAGAAATCGTACGGCGGGGCTTGACAAATATTTAACATATTTTAAGTGCGTAAACATCCACGGTCTAGCAATTTTTACGAAATAAAACTGTAAACGGTCGAAATTAAAAACGGGGACTGAATTACAAACTTCACAGGACGTGTTCTCGCCAGCTATTCACGATCTTTCACAGTTAATTCATTAATTATACCCCATTTTCCATTCCGTACGCTAAGTAATTTTAACCTCCAGATTCCCATTGTTATTCCTCCGTTCTTTGCAATATAATTTACATGTCACTTGCGAACGATCTACAGAAATTAATAAATGGTAAACTTTAATCAAATGGAAATCTAATTAAATTTCAATTTAATTAAATATTTTATTCTAGAAATAAAATAAATACTAAAAAATTAATGGACGAATTTATCCAATAAACCAAACCGGCGTTCTGCTTTATTATCTTCGTTTGAAAAATTTAAAAATAACTAAACTTTCATGCTGCACGTTTTGGAATAAAAATCGAAACCAGGTCAGACAATTGTTATTGCGAAAACCAATACCCTCTGGGATCTATAAATAAGTGCACGAATAAAAGGCTAGAATATTAGTCGCAGAATATTCTGCGCCGGGTCACGGAGCCTGCTTAAATTAAATTTAAATTTCTTGCTAAGTCCGTGACATTTCCATAAATTAATTTAAAAAAAAAGTAGATGCCTTTCAGATATCCATTGGTTGTGTTTCTCTACAATACTTCGTAATATTTAACTTTCCAATAATATACACAGGCGCGACTCATTCATTCGTTTAACCATCTTTATAGCTAATATTTCTGCAAATTAAGAAGCCCATATTCTTCATTGGAAAACGAAGAGCAAGTAAAGAAAATTTCATCTCGATCGGTAAAAGATCCTACTAGTTACAGGGGGATCACAAACGCACAGACTCTAGACCTTACATTAAGAATCTCAGTGGTTGCACAATACACACCACCTAATAACGAGCAGGCTATGAGATCGAATAAAAGAAAATCTATAGAATTTTAATACAGCGTGTTCCAAACGTAAAGGACAGCTGTTTTAATTTTTATCGACATTACGTACAGTGGAAATTTCTCACCTGTGTTCGTGAAGTTTAGAATCCCCTCTTCCTCCGTCATCAGGACCCCTAACGCCGAAGTCATTCCATCCTCGGCGCCCTGCTTCCTGTAGGCCTCCGTCGACGACATAGTCATCGTGTCCAAGAGTCTGCTTCTGCTTCTGTTCGTATTCTCACCCTGACTCCTCGACATGTTTCTAAGGATTGTGTTGTGGCCGACGCGACCCATCGCGAGTATGGTGCTGGCGAACAGGCTCTGATCGTCCTGGTTCATCAGAAACGGCGTCGCGACGCAGGACAGAATCATGAGGATCATCAGCGTCCCCATGGTGTATTTGATGATCCTCGGCCGTGATTTACTGTAGGTCTGAGGGAATCCCGACGAGGTGAGCTGGTCCGTTTGCGGTAGAATAGTATACTGCAGGCTGGCATCGCCCTTTCGTACCGTTTTGTACATAATTAATAAACCTGTTGGAGGAACAGAACGACCTGTAGTTGGCAAGCTTGCTTCGACTCTGATCGGTGGTAAATAACGAACGGGGGTCGAGCGTCTTTTAGAAATTTCTTAGGTGGCCCGAAGTCACGAAAATTTCAACAGTTAGGTTGCCCTTTATTCCCCAGGTAAACCTTGAAAATTCATCAATTTTACATCCCCTGCGATTCTAATCATTTTTAATGCACGAGTCAGCCACGTTGAATATTGAAATTTGCTTCGACTCTGATCGGTGGTAAATAACGAACGGGGGTCGAGCGTCTTTTTAAAATTTTTTAGGTTGCCCGAAGTCACGAAAATTTCAACAGTTAGGTTGCCCTTTTTCCCCCAGGTAAACCTTGAAAATTGATCACTTTTACATCCCTTGCGATTTTAATCATTTTTAACGCACGAGTCATCCACGTTGAATATTGAAATTTGCTTCGACTCTGATCGGTGGTAAATAACGAATGGGGGTCGAGAGTCTTTTAGAAATTTTTTAGCTGGCCCGAAGTCTCGAAAATTTCAACAGTTAGGTTGCCCTTTATTCCCCAGGTAAACCTTGAAAATTCATCGATTTTACATCCCTTGCGATTCCAATCATTTCTAATGCACGAGTCAGCCACGTTGAATATTGAAATTTGCTTCGACTCTGATCGGTGGTAAATAACGAATGGGGGTTGAGCGTCTTTTTAAAATTTTTTAGGTGGCCCGAAGTCACAAAAATTTCAACAGTTAGGTTGCCCTTTATTCCCCAGGTAAACCTTGAAAATTTATCAATTTTACATCCCTTGCGATTCCAATCATTTTTAACGCACGAGTCAGCCACGTTGAATATTGAAATTTGCTTCGACTCTGATCGGTGGTAAATAACGAACGGGGGTCGAGCGTCTTTTAGAAATTTCTTAGGTGGCCCGAAGTCACGAAAATTTCAACAGTTAGGTTGCCCTTTTTCCCCCAGGTAAACCTTGAAAATTGATCACTTTTACATCCCTTGCGATTTTAATCATTTTTAACGCACGAGTCATCCACGTTGAATATTGAAATTTGCTTCGACTCTGATCGGTGGTAAATAACGAATGGGGGTCGAGAGTCTTTTAGAAATTTTTTAGCTGGCCCGAAGTCTCGAAAATTTCAACAGTTAGGTTGCCCTTTATTCCCCAGGTAAACCTTGAAAATTTATCAATTTTACATCCCTTGCGATTCCAATCATTTTTAACGCACGAGTCAGCCACGTTGAATATTGAAATTTGCTTCGACTCTGATCGGTGGTAAATAACGAACGGGGTACGAGCGTCTTTTAGAAATTTCTTAGGTGGCCCGAAGTCACGAAAATTTCATGTTTTTTACAGCAGTCCCAAAAAACTGTAATATGTTAAAATTTAAATCCTGCAACGTTTTAGTGTACAAGGGGCAATTTTTAATTTTAGAACTTGCATGGCAGATATGTGATCTGCGATCCTAAAGACGCTCGTATGTTAATTTCGATGCAAATCTGAGATTCCTATTTGCAGTCGTGTCTTCCGTGCTCTGAGACCACCGTGATGTGTGACGTATAGCTTCTAATGATGTATATTATACTACTCGACAGCGAAATCCCCACTCGGGTATAGCCATGTAAGTACATTGTACAGATTTTGATGTGCTAATTCCGAGACTGGCAATCAGTTTTCTAATAAGGTGTTAAATTTAAAAAAAAGACTAATTCTAGAGCAATATTAACAATGATATTGCTTCGAAATCAATTTTGACTAATTACAACTATCTCTCAAAAATTTGACACTATAGTGATTACAAAAATTACTCGCACAGAATGTTCGCGGTTTTCACGTCTAAATATGGATTCCACGAATGTGAACGGTTTGTTAGAAAATTACAAGCAAATATTGAACGCGGCACGAAATAGGTAACAGATCTTCCATTTCTGAGTAGATAAGGTCAATCGTATTTATCTTATCTGTGCATTCGCACGATGCTATAAATTATGCTCAAACGGAACTGGCTGAGGACTATTCCTTTGGGTAATGCGACCATGAGGTCTTACACCTATTGATTTCTACCTATGGTGGACTCTAAAACAAAAGCCTCGCTGTACCAGTCTAAGTAAATTCGCATCAAGAAACGATACAACCAATTAATCCAATTACTGAAATACAATAAAATTCTCAAAATACACCCAGCACGATAAATAAACGTTGCATCTTTTTGTCATTTATAAACGAACAAAAATGACGTTTTGTAACAAGAGAAATTCAGCGTGTTCGTAATAATTAATCCGTTACTATGTCTATTAAACATCAAGGATCCATAAACATTAATGCAAAGAAAATACGAAATTAAACACGATATAAGAAATTCATAAACGAAAAAGTTGAATTTATCTTTCGATAACGTAATTCCTTCGCTTGGCGCAACGGTTGCTTCTTAGAGCTTTCGAATCGAACTGTGCAATTCTTTTTACATAAATAAATTCCTCCCGCCGTTCAGCGTGCGAACGTGTTAAAGTACGACCATTGAAAACGCAACATTTTACGAGATACTTCATACTTTATGCCGGGATAACATTTTACTCCAACAGGTGTTCAAACATTTTATTACCCGTTTTTTAAAACTTTTTAAATCGTATTACAGTTACATTCTCCGATCAATTTTAATTCAAATCTTACGTTATCATTCCAGTTTCTTTTCCGAATTCGCGAACGTGTAACTCGTGCACCAGCGAAACTACAAGCAGTTACAAGTGGCGGGGATAACTACGTGCAATTAGAGGGGACAGAAGTGTGGCATTTAGAGGGACATTATTATATCGACAAGAGGACAGCCCCGAAGTGAGTTAAATACCAAGTGTCCATAAAAATGAATGTAAAGAAACTGTGAATTTCTGTCAACCGTTACTCGAGCACATTTAACAGAATAGCAAGAATGTGGAAAGTAGAATAAATAGAAAGCTCGTCGATCTTCCTTTTCGTTTCTGTAAAAGAATTGATTGGCACTCTGCAACGAAAACGATATAAATATGCAAAACGATGTAGAATTGCATAAAACAAACAAAAAAATTCCTGCTACGAAAACATTGCCATGCTTTCAATCTGCATATCAATTTTTACAAAATATCGAAAACCTTTAAACGCTTTAAGAAACCTTTGCAGCCTTATATTTTAGTTTAAATTTATAATATTCATATTCCGTAAAGCAATATTAATTCGGATAATATAGTACCAACAAATATCGTTATTTTAAATGATTAATTCCAAAGTGTTTTAAGCGTATTAAGGAAACTTTTAAAACCGGATAAAAAAATATTTGTTCTAATCCCAACACGTGCTTAGGTACAGAAGCAATACATAACAAATATAGAGCAATTCTGTCGAAAATAGACTGTTATGAGTCGATTAACGATTGACTGTTCAAACGAACTACATTTATATTCGAACGCGTCGGAATTTCGATATCTGTAATATCAATAAAGCGGGTGGCGTGCAAATTAACGGGGGGAAAAAATAATTGTTGGCAAATTCCTTCGACGGAGGGCTCGCGCCGCTATCGAACTTCTAATTTCACAGCGACGGCGACCTATTCTTAAAATTCCCAAAGGTCGAGGATGGTCGTCGAAAAGAAGCGACAACAGACCTCGACATTTTCCTACGGGTTGAATCGATTTTCGATTTTCGGTCTGTACGCGTTAAATCGTCAACATATATCATACGCGTAGACAACACAGGGCTTCGTTCGAAGGTTAAGCCCTTCGTGTCGACGCCAAGATCCAACATTTATATCCCTTTTCTTAAATCCCGTCTAATCGCAAACAATCGTTACGATAAAAGAAATTTTGTTTCAACCATAATACGGAATCGTAAATTATTTGATCGTTCCGCCATAAAGTATCACCGTTTGAAAACACACGGTTTATGGCGATGATAAAAATCGTTTAAATCTAACGTGTATCGAAACGGACGGACACGAACGGGTTAAACTCCGAGACGCCGCGGAAACAAATAAAAAGCAGCGTGAATATATAGTTCGTGGCGAGGAACAGACCACTGGAAACTGGAAACTGGAAACTTCACCCGTTCACGGAGGCGAATTAACAAAGGCACCGACGTTCGACGGGAACTTATGAAAGAAACAGCGAACTCGGCGTGAAACAAACGAATTCGGTGGACGTTGGCTGCGCGCGATACGACGGCCGTGATTAGCGGAGAAGAAAACTTAGCGGAGGCGTCACGGATGAGGTGGCATGTGACGATGAACAGGTACTCACGATATGTGAACAACTGAAGGGTTTGCTATTCTCCGTTTCCACTTCCGGCAGCCTGCTCTGTCGAACGAACACGACAATCCGGGACAGACAGAACCTCCCCTGTGAGAGAATTTCACCAAAAAACTGCGCAGGCTCGTCCCACCGAGTGGCGGAGGCCGCAGTGCGCGCGCGCGCGCGCCGCCGGCCAACTTCCGGAAATCCGTCACCGTTTGAACGTCGACAGGATTGCGAGGGACCAACATCGGTTCAAGGACGTTTGAGTACTCCTCGACCTTGAACTCCCCTTGCAACGTTCCTGTTTCGCATATGGCTAAAAGTGCCCGCTACATTCCCCGCCATTTTGAATAAAACACGAGCCCCGTACGTGGTGGTTTTAATTTGGAAACTTCGCCCGTCGATCGTTCCGTGTTATACGTTTTTTTCCCCCCGTGTGTTTACTTTAGGCAAAAAGAGCCAGCGGTACTAACTCGCGCGCGTATATTGTTATACGTACGAGGGTCGTTCGATAAGTCCTTGGAAAATCCAAAAGCTTTTGTTTTTAGTAAGCATCATGACTCACTGGACAGCTGTAAAATTCCCAGTTATATCCACCACACGATTTCATTTTTATTGTCCATTGAGGCAAGAAACTTTTGCTTATTTAGAAAAATGGAGAAAAATGAATTTCGAGTGGTGATTAAACGCTTGTGTTTAAAAGGCCGAAAGGGATCGAAGCTGAGTTGGATGAAGTTCATGGCACATCTGCTCCTGTGTTTGCAACTATTTACAATTGTGCAAATGAGTTTAAACGTGGCCGTACATGCACCAATGATGAAACGTCGTTCGAGGCGTCCAGTGGATGTGACTACTCCCGAAATGATTGACAAAATCCACGATATGGTTTTGAGTGATCGTGAAATAGTTGAGGCCAGACGCATATCGCAAGGTACAGTGTTTTCAATTTTGCACGAAAAATTGGGTGTGAAAGAAATCTCGACAAGATGGGTGCCGCGTTTGCTCTCAGTGGAAAATAAACGCAATCGTGTGGTCGACTCTGAGGCTGTTTTGGCACTTTTCTGCGTCGATAAATAACCGTGGACGAAACGTGGGTACACCGTTACACTCCAGACACAAAGAAACAGTCAAAACAGTGGGTTTTTGAACGCGAACGGGCTCCGAAGAAGGCGAAGACGGTGAAATCCGGTTGGCAAGGTGATGGCCACAATTTTTTCGGATGCACGCGGAATTATCTACTTGCAAAAAGGAAAAACAATAACTGGAAAGCATTATGCGTCGTTAGGCGAAGAAATCAAGAAAAAACGTCCTCATTTAAAAAAGAAAAAGATCCTCTTGGAATTAGAGTACGAATTATTACAACATCCACCATATTCACCGGATTTGGCCCCCAGTGACCTTTTCTTATTTACAAATTTTTAAAAATGGCTCGGCGGACAACGATCCACGTCAAACGTGGAGGTCATCGCTCAAATAGATGCCTATTTTGAGGACCTTCCGAAATCTTACTTTTTAGATGGCTTAAAATAGTTGGAGAAACGCTTGGAAAAGTGTATAGAGTTAAAAGGAGATTATGTTGTAAAATTTTAAAAAATCAACCAAAATAATTTGTTTTTCTGTCTTTTTCTAAGGACTTTGGTGTACTGTGAACACTTCAAACTTTGAATTACACGTAAATAGGCTACCGGGCAAATAGTTAATCTTTGAAACTAGTTTTGTAAGTATTTTACAAATTTAGGTATTTTCATTTTTAAAAAGTTAACGTTAACTCTTTGTGGTAGTTTCTAATTTATTGATTGGTTTTTTACGCCGCTTATTTCGTCGTTGATAAACTTTGCACTGCGCAGAGATCGTAAGTTGACGAGTATCCGTAAACTTTTCGTCTCAGGGGCGAAGAGATAGGGCCTCCGGTTTGCCTAATCCTCACCTTTAGATTGCTATTAACCTGATCCGTTGGCAACTTTCGATCAGTGTGCAGTACATTTGCAATCTCTAATTAAATTTGCGTATCGACGAACTACTAAAATTTATCACTTGTCACAAAATGTCACTTCCAGTTTTGCGAGTTTAGATTCTATATCAAACGAAGTGATTGCAAAGATTGCAGATTAATCAAATGCGACAGTTTCTGGACAACTTGAAACTTGAACGTTATCAGGACTGTCGACTAAAAGTTATCCCGGATTAGTGCAATTAAAGATTTCATTCCAACTTGGCGTAGATCCAGAAAAGTATATAACGGTCATTAGACACATAGAGCAAGGAAGTGTGCCAAGAAGCACCTTAGCAATTGAATCCACGGAGTTTCATTAAAGTCACCGGGGCATTAGATGTTTCATTTACATTGATAAATACGAGTAATGATATTCTGATCATAGTTTTATTATTTTATTACAAAATATAGATTTATTAAACATTATAGGAACACTTCGTCTAAGGAATTGCGTCTGAATATTTCAGACTAATGGAAGACATTACTGTATTTACATATTGTCAGGAAATTACGAATTACCCTTTTCAAGAGAAACTGTTCGCCTCCTACTTGTTTTTGGGGCAAAGCTGATAGAATAATTCCATATTCAATACGAACAATCTTTGAACGAAATAAGGTGCTCAGATTATTGCATAGTCGGCATGGCCGTTGAGGATGCAATGTCAGTGGCGTCACCGGACCTCCACAATTGTGTTATGGTTTTCGTTTGCGTGTGGAAATTTATGCCCTAGAAACAAATCATACATTTTACAATTCTAACAGTACAGGAGAATTCATAGCTTCACTTACATATTTTCCATAGAAATGATTGTCGCCTAAGAACGACCCTTTATTCCCCGTAAAACTGAACATCGGTAACGGCACTGGAATTGGAACATTTATACCAATTTGACCGGCCTCGACCCTGTTTGAAAATGCCCTGGCTGTCGCGCCGTTCGTCGTAAATACAGCAGTACCGTTTCCATAATGATTTTTATTAATAATGGTAATAGCCTCGTCCATAGTGTCGGTGAATATACACAGGAGAACAGGTCCAAAAATCTCCTCGGTGTAACACTGCATGGAAGGCTAACGCAAGATATAGAAATTAATGCCGTGCTTAGATTCGATCAAGTAAGATTCATCGTCTCGTAAGGCCAAATAATTACTATCAAGAGAATAAATTAATTTCAACAACGCTACCTGCACGTTCACGAGCACCGTTGGCCCCACGAAGTTTCCTTTCTCGAATCCATCGACTACGATTCCTCTGCCATCGAGAGCCAAGGTGGCACCCTCTTTCACCCCCGACTCGATAAGATCGCATATCCTCTGCTTCGACTGGGGCGATATAACTGGTCCAAGGTCCGTGCCAGGTATATACCCAGCATTGACCTTCAACCTTTTCGCGGCCTCCACTAATTCTGGCACCCACTCCTTCGATCTGCCAACAAATATGGCGATCGACAGAGCCATGCACCTCTGCCCGGCCGCGCCGAAAGCGGCGCCCACGATCTGCGAGATGGTTTTGTTCTTATTCGCGTCTGGGAGCACCACGCAATGGTTCTTCGCTCCCATATTGCATTGCACCCGTTTCCCGTGCGCGCTGCTGTGTTTGTAGATGTACTTTCCCTGCAAAACCAAAGATCGAATGTTTGTTTCCCTTTATACAAAAGGAGTTTCTAAAATCAGTTTTACATGTTTCTACGAAAACGAAATGCGATCGATATACGGATCGAACGTGGGTCTCGCTAGCGCTCAACGAGCCCCACTCTTGCTTTAGACGAAAGTGGGGAGAACTTCTACGGTATGAGCTATAGTACTACGAACGAAGGAACTGGAATAAACGCGATAGCTACGCACAGCTACTGGACCGTCGGCTCTGTTACAAACGGAACTAAAACTTTTAAATGAAATTGTATGAAATACGCATGGATAAAAACCACCTAACGATTTTAATTAATTAAAGTCTCCCTTGACTCTTTCGTTGAGGGTATCCGTATATAAAATACGTTTCTATATGCGATAAACACGAATGGAGGTTTACCCGATAGAACGTACCGCTTGATCGGAACCGACGAAAGAGACCGCCCTGATGTCCGGATGCTCGCAGATAAAGGTGACGGCCGCGTGCTGGCCGTGAATAACGTTCAGCAATCCTGGCGGTGCACCAGCCTCGGCGAAAAGCTCGGCGAGGATCATCGAAGCACCCGGTACACGCTCTGACGGTTTCAAGATAGTCGCGTTCCCGCATGCGACCGATACAGGAAACGACCAAAGAGGTATCATCGCTGGGAAATTGAATGGACAGATGGAGGCGGTCACGCCTAGAGGAACTCTATAAGAGACTATATCCATGTCTGTGGCGACGTTCGGTGTGCTTTCGCCCATTTGGAGAACGGGAATCGCGGTACATGCGTCGACCACCTCTGCAACAAACAAATATGGCGCGCAATATATTATTCTCCGATCCAATTATACAGGGTGTCTCACCCGATTTTTACATCTTGATTTTCTCGCCATTGTTACTCGTAACAAAAAATGTTTCAGCGGAAGCTTGAATGGTATCGAGTAGAGCATATTCTGATGTTATTAGTTTTTTCGTGAGTGGACGCGTAATGGTCATATAAAGGTCAACTTTGTTTTTTTAAATGGAATGAGGTATTTTTTAATACATCGATCGATTCAGCTGGACAATCGTTATAAAAAAGTACTAACTATGTAACGTCGAAAAATTAGTAGTTCGGGAGATATTTCAATTGGAATACGCTGCAACTACATCTACTCTTTCGGCTCTTGAGTACTTCATTTTAGAACAAACAGATAGATGTCTAAGAGAAACTAAACTCAAACTCAAGAATGATTGTCATAATCGAATAGTTCTCAAATGTTTACATTTCAACGTTACCGACCTCAGTCAATCGTTTTTGCTAGTCCAACGTTGGTAAACAGAGCTTACCGCGAGCTTAGCGCGATAGTAATGGCGCTACAGGACGCAGATACACGTCATCGTTTGGGGCTCTAAATTTTCAGCAAAAACATTGTTCCGACACTGAGACCTTTCGCATAATGTTTTTAAGGCTTCAAACTATTATTTAAGCCAAAAAAAAAAAATCGAATTTTTCAATATTCTAGAGTTACCAGACCCCTTAAGAATTTAAATAATTTAAATTGAAATATCTCCTGAACTACTCATTTTTCGACGTTACATTGTTAGTACTTTTTTATAACGATTGTCCAGCTGAATCGATCGATGTATTAAAAAATACCTCATTCCATTTAAAAAAACAAAGTTGACCTTTATATGACCTTTACGCGTCCACTCACGAAAAAACTCCGCTGAAACATTTTTTGTTACGAGTAACAATAGCGAGAAAATCAAGATGTCAAAATCGGGTGAGACACCCTGTATATCATTCTTAAACTTTTCTACGATATTTTTCCAACAACACTCACGGAGTCCTCGAAGAACGTCCCCCTCGGCGTCCGCCATTGTTTTGCCATTCTCTTTGACCAAATTCTCTGCGATTTTTTTCTGAAAACACGAGACATTTGTACGATTGAAAAAGTGAATGTCGATCGTCGGATACCTTGCGTATCATCTATTTTCCAACGTACCGAGTGTTCGCAAATAAGTGCTTGGTACTTGAGCATCAGAGTCTGTCTGGTGAGTACGCTGGTGTCTTTCCATTGTTCGAAAGCTTTCTTCGCGCTTCGAACAGCGGTCTCCATTTCTTCATTCGTGCACTTTGGTGTGCGACATAACAGCTCGTTCGTTGCCGGATCGTGGACATCCGTGAATTCGGTGGCTTTCGATTCTGAAACAAATCGAAACCTCTCTGTGATTAGAAAAGAAATATTTTTTATGAGAGCACAGATAGGTGATTTTTGTGTACGTCTGTGTTTATGTCGAAAAATAATTAAAATATTTCAAGCAGAGATCCTCTACTCCACCTCACATAATTGGCCTTATTCGTGCCGCTTTTAAATATTCTTTACAACGTCGATTCTCAACATTAAATTCAATCCTTTTCTGTTTTCAATGGGTACTCGAGCAACAATCGTGAGCTCCAGAAGTGGACTTTAATTATTCATAAAAGGCTGTATGAAAAATAGGTTGTAAAATACCTCTGAAATGCCTCTTTCATACAAATAATTTATCACTTGTAAAATGCTTCTTTCTCCATAATCATTTATCACAGTTTTTCCTTTGTGCTCCAAAGCTTTTTAAATTGTCAAAATTAGTAACTTCAATTTGTTTAAAATTCTCAATCTATCTGGGAGTAATAGAAAATAAATAATATTTTTCATCGAGATCGTTTTTGCGTCACGCAATATTCATTTAATTAAAATAGTTGATATTTTTTTTTAAATTTTTTACCTGCACCGTTCCACTTTATAACGAAATATTAATTGAAGTTCCCTTTCTCCGTTCCGCGGAGAAAAACTGTATTTTGATTAAAAAATTTGTAATTTCGATCGATTTATATTAAATTGATTTAGATAATGTCATAATACGACATGCATAAACACGAAACAAACTTGTAGAATAATATCTATTTCTATTTTCATGTTAATGAACTTTGCTACTAATCTAAAATTTTTTTTTTAACAATTTTTAATGCAATAATATAATTACCTACGAATTGGCCATCAATGTACATCTTAACCGTCGGTACGCTACTGCTGTATGTCCTTCTGGCAAGTAGCGCCTAAAATATCATTCAATTAACATTACATAAACTTGAATTCAAAAAAAAAAAAGCGAAATTAATGAATTTATAAATTCCACGTTAATTTATTCACAATAAAAAGTTTAAAATCCTCCGATCCATTCAGAAGTTATCATGTTTTAAACACACGCATGAAATTTCAGAAAAACATTTCTAACCTCACTTTAGAGAAGAATTTTTTTCTCGAAAGCGAGTAGGATTTTGGAGGAATGTGTATTGACCCAAAACGATTGTAATTAACCCCTACAATTGAAAATAATTTTTCCAGAACGATTTTAAATTTTTTAATTTCGCCCCAAAATTTCACACCTGCTCGAATTTTTTTCTCGAAACTGAGTAGGATTTCGGGGGTATGTCTGTTGACCAAAAATGCTTGTAATTGACCCCTGCAACTAAAAATAATTTTTCCAAGACAATTCGAAATTTTTTTTTTTTCACCCAAAACTTTCAACTACATGAATTTTTTTCTCGAAATTGAGTAAGATTTCGGGGGTATGTATATTCATAAAAAATGATTATAATTGACCCTCGCAACCGAAAATAATTTTTCCAGAACGATTTAAAATTTTTTAATTTAATTGTTATTAACTTTTTAACGAAGCCTCAGTCAAGAAATTGATATTCTTGATTTTCGTCTTATTTTGGCTTCTAGAATCTCCCATTAAAATTTTTCCCACGGGTGGCCGAACACCCTGTATATCGAACTATCGTGTGTCGCTAAACGAGGACGTTATCTTTAAAACTATCAGTAATCAACAAAGTAATTTCCCTGTTAAATATGTAACACAGTGTTTATTTCGAGAAGCTCGAATCGCATCGGAATAAAGAATTCATCGGATTGCCCCGGTTTTCGGAGTGCCTAAGACCGTGATAAGGAGCCCCCCCTTCCCACCGAGATCAATGGTTTGTTCCACACGCGGTAAACGTCACTTTGACACGATACTCTGGTTGGCCAATCGATTAATCGCGAACCACGCGTTACGTAAAGTATGCAAGCCCCATTACGCGGGATTGATAATGGCATTCCCCTTTGCAACCTCTACCGGGCCCCCGTCAATTTGGTAGTAAATCCATTTGGATCAAAAATACCTAATCCCGCGTGAAAAACGAGCATGACCGTCGCGACGTTCGAACGAATTTAAAATAAGAAATAATTTCAATGTCCGGCGGCTCTCGCAATCGATTTAATAAATGGTAATAACGGCAGTTCGATGACAGTGGTTTCCTGTTTTCGCGCATTATTCATCGAACGTTCGTAAATAATTATTATTAATATATGTAATGTTTTATTCGATAAGGCCACGGTGCTCTAGAAACTTGCGTTTTTATTCTATTTTCTAAAGGGGGGATTTTCTTGTATATTTTTTTTAGGGTTAAATCACCCTGGCGCGGTCAAAAGATTGTGTAATTTTGGTAATTTGTACGGATGCTTCTGGGACTCCTCAATATTTCGAGCGTAATATGAGGAGTGAAAACGGTTACCGTATATGTGGATTTTAATATGCAAAGTTTATCATGAATCATGATAAACAAGATGCCTTGCATAATACAGAATCGTTTTACGTGCTGTATAACATTAACGATAAGAGAATCTGCTGATAATGTGATCGCTAATACGTGAGCTTCGAAGTAACAAGTTTAGAGAAATAATATCATACATCCTCGTGTTGCACTATCCGATCAAAATTAAAATACAAATATTAAGATATTTCTATTGCAAGTATATGGGGAATATTAGAATTTCGTGGGTAATTATATTAAGAGAAAATTATTTTTTATATCCTAAGATAAATGACACTATATTACACGTGTTGAAAATTAATTTATTTAAGTACAACAGTCTAGGAATACACACTTACGTAGAGCACAAATAATGTATCTTTTACATATATTATTTAATCGTGTATACTTTATTAATTGCATAAAATAGCTCTAATACTCGTACAATACTTTGCCGGCGTGTGTCATTGCCAAGGTCCAACGTTAACTCGATTATAAATCATTAACGAACCGAGCCACTCGAATCAATGGAAGTCTAACCTCGGTCTAACAGCCGACAGTTTTGATACTACATACATGGTCGGACAAATTTATCAACCGTCGGAAAAGGCTGCATCTTCGATAACTTAGACTATAAACAAACGATGCAAACGAGATTTGCTACTGTGTCGTACCGATTCACTCGTTCGCTTGATAACAAACTTCGAAATTCAACCAGGATACATATTCGGTGCACTTCTCGGCTATCTGTTCTACGTACGAGACTGTAAAATTCGAAACGATAACGTTTATTGCAAATCTTTAACGTACCTCGAACTTGGCGATTCTCGCGGGGAACGCCATGATTTCAGAACACGTTCGTAGCTGTCTGCGGTGGAACTGATAGCTTCTAAGATAAAAATGGCCTTGCCCACGTTAGAACGCGAGAGTCGATATTTTTAACACGGTTAGTCGTCGGTGTTTACAACGCTTGGAACGGTCGATGTTTCTAGGAAAGTTTCACGTAGATCTGGCTCGAAGACGCCCGCACAATGTTACCAGACAACAAGCCGGTGCCCAGAGGCAACTGCCCCTTCATTTATCCATGTTAATACACAGCCATCTCGTACGTGAGTCGTGGCGCTTCGGGCAGCTTCGGGGATTCGAGAAAGAAGCCTTTCTCTCTCTCTCTCGAAACATCTGATCGTTCGATGGAACTTCTGGGTGCATGAACAGATATGCCAACCTCATAAAATATCAGTGCCTTTAGGGCAATATTTTCACCAAAGCAGTGTTGCACGAATGATAGTTGACAGGATCAGTGATGGGTTCTGAAAGCCACATTTAATGATTTTATATTTCAAAATTACTTCCCAGCATCTGAATCTCGAAACCTCTGCAGATTGCCATGTTAGACTCGGAATCAGCTATTTGAAGGGCGACAAAGAGGGACTCAGATTCGCCATCTTTCTCGAATTTCCGAAGCTGTCGAAGCACAGGAGCTCACATACAAGATGACTGTGCATTAGTGTGCGTAAACTGGTGGGGCATTCTTCTTTATCTGGTTATCGATTCGCTATTTGCTCTCATTGTTATTTAACACTATAATTTTAATTGCGAGACGATAGTAAGTTTGGTATTTTATTGACTGTTTGAATCACAGACGAGGTATACAAGTAGACTTTTCACCTTATGGATTTTCGCGGCCGAATCTGACTGCCATACCGACCTGAAAATTCGGAGCTGATTTTAGCGGCCTCTTCTCATGGATGGCGGTTAGTTGAGAAACTATTCATTGAATTAGCATTGATGGGCAGACAGTTGTAGTGTATGCGTAAGTACATGTGAGTTGACTATGGAAGGGATTAAAATTAATTTTTGAATCTATTGGTAACGTTGCGAATGACACGAAAATGGTAATAGGGTTTCGAGACTCCATAAAAATGGTGCCAAAAAATCAATTGGGTGAAAGACCTACCTGTATACTTCGTCTGTGACAATACTCTTGAATCTTTGATGAATCAATGAGAATTAAAACTAACCCAGTGAAGAAGTTTTATATTTATGATGATCTATGCAAAGCGGATCGCAGCCAATTTGCTAATATTATTCAGTTTTTAATTAATAATTGCATTACCCAGCTAAGAGTGATACGATTATTAATTAAACGGTAATTAATATTACCCAGGTCTCACCACGTGGAGGTTGCTGCGAATGGAGACCCGCCCTAACCGATTCCCAACCACCCTCCATTAATAAAAATCTTCTCTGACCCACGATCGTTGGTCGAAGAAGAAACAAACGAAAGTGCAACCAATGAAAGATGCATAATCAACAGAGAGAGTTAAAAGAATTTTCAAAAGAATTTGTCTTCAAATAAAAATAACCTGCCTAACATAATGGTTAACCAAACACCTGCCTAACTATAAATCTAAATTCGTTTATTATATCAAGAAACAATTCTAAATTCGCAGCCATTAGCTCGGTGTCACCCATGAAGAATAACTTTTCTATCGTGGGTGACACCGATTACCAGGTCTCACCACGTGGAGGTTGCTGCGAGTGGAGACCCGAAGGGAGATAGATCGAATTAAAGTTCCATCGATCTCCCTTTTAGCTAAGTTTAGCTGGATTACTAAACTAGAGAGATAAAAGGAAGCAATGTTCCTTCGATCTTCTAGTTTAGTTGTACCAAGTAATTATTTCGTTTGAAAAGGGGTGAAGCTATATTGTGGGATACGCGACGCGATGCGATGCTGAACCGTGCGGCAGATCTTCGAATCGAATCAACACTGCCCTTGGTAGATTGATTTCTATTTCCAGAAATCGATCCATCATGGGTAGGCGACTAGATCTTTCGGACAAACTGGACGGTCGATCACATGTTTCAATCGATGAAACAGCGGTGATCGAAGCTAGGAACCAAAGAACGAGTCGAGAGAAGCTACTTGTTAAATAATTACTTGGCAATATTGGGAGACGCATATAATAGAGACTTAAAATTAACGTCGAAGCTCAAGTCTGGTCAAGTTAAAACTAAAATTCGGACGATAGAAGGAAACAAAGTTCCTTGGATGGTCTGGTTTAGTTGTACCAAGCAATTATTTGGTTAAAAAGAGGGACGAAGTTAATTTGAGAGGCACGCGAAGCGACGCGATGCGACGCTGAACCGTGCAGCGGATCCGAGGATCGAACCTACTGCCCTTGCTAACTAGATCTCTATAGGATAACGGACGTTATCTGCGACTCCGAATCGAAGGTCTCCATTTCTCCAACGCAACCCGCCGGGAGCCCGAAGGACCCGACTCAAGTTGTCTGACATAGAGAGAGTACCTGAAACAGTGTCGACTTCCGCTGGAAGGTATGCGTTTCCGCAGGATACGGAAACTCCACACCTTCCAGCAGAGTACCATTTTCCCTCGATCGAGCTACTAAAGGGAAGGCGATTAGATCTTTCGGATCAGCTACACGGCCGATCACATGTTTCAATCTATGAAACAGCGGTGACCGAAGCTAGGAACGAGGGAACGAGCGAGAGACAAGCTACTTATTGAATAATTGTTTGGTAGGACGCGGAGATACGTATAATAAAGAAGGCTTCGACGTTAATTTTAATACTCGCGACGAAGCTTAAGACTAATCAACTTGCAATTAAAGGTCCCTCGGCGGTTGTGGCGTTCTCCCTCGATGTCCTTGCGATTAACTCAAATTTAAACTGAAATCAAAACTCATATGTATATTAGTGAGATATGGTAGGAAATTTAATGAACACTTTAAAATGATCTATCACCTAGCTAAAGGGAATTGAACATAGTATATTAGCAAAATGTTAGAAGAATTTAAGCTGAGAAGTAAAAATAAAAATCTTATATTAATCAGTGTCGAACAACGAACACGAACGAAAAAACGAGTCAGAGACATCGAAACAAATACGGTATATGCATCGTCACAATGTTATTCATATCAAAACGAACACTCCTAATAATGAAAGAAACTTGGATCGAGACACCAAGTTGAATCAACACCAAACGATCAAACGAAAAGGAAGAATCAAACAAAGTACCTCCGTAGAATATTACGAGAATTCGAGCAACAACGTAAAAATATGAATTCATGAATTTGTATAGAAACAAATATAGTGTATGATTGTAAACAATATTATATTACTATATCCTGCAATATTATACATATCGAAGCAGTCACGTAAATTCGCAAAACAATGTAAAAGTAGAAACAGAGAAAAGGAACATTCATAATAACCAAATAAAATCAGATAGATAAATAAAGTTGAATTCACATCAAACAAACAAATAAAAATAATAAAATATAAATAAGTGGAGTGGACTTACTACTTGTTGTCAGTATATAGGGTAGTTACCATAAGGGCCAGCTGTAAAGTAAGAAAATATTCATATTATAGCAACATCGGTTAGATAAACAAGGCAAAATCAATTCATTGAAGCAAAATTGGCATCAAATGATAGAATAGAAGAGGGGAGAGAATTTTTAAACAGTTCTTACCGTTGGTCATCACCGTCCGGCACTGGTCAGTAGTGGTCAGTAGTGGTCATTGGTAGCAGGAACGCGGAATCAGCACTGGTCAGTATTGGTCAGTATTGGTCAGCCATGGTCAGCTGTGGTCAGCGCTGGCCAGTAGTGGACAGCAGCGGCCAGCAGAGGTCAGCAGCGGTCCCCGGTTCTCCTCTGGCTATTTGTACACTCCCGAATTCGCGACGCGACTGAAGAAATCTTCGCAGTGACCCTGCTTATATGTCTAAGGTGATGAAAGGGTGGGGAGACCAGTCAGAGCCAAAGTTGAAGATAACAGGTAAGTCTGTCTCGTCTACAAAGAAACTATTTCGATTGGTCCCACCTCTTGACCATTTCTGGATCTTCACTGGACCACTGACCTTGATGTCCATCTCACTGTTGACCACCAGTGACCATTAAAGCCTTCTTACGAGGATTCCCTTACAATTTGATGCATGATCTATTTAACATTTTGTTCCACTTTGGAAGAGTGTATCTCGTTAATTTTTGTCTTTTTGTACGTCAGTTCGAACAATTGCCATACTGAGCGAAAAATTCGGAGGTGATTTCAGCGTCCTCTTCTCATGGATGGCGGTCGGTTGAGAAACTATTCATTGAATTAGCATTAATGGGCAAACAGCTGTAGTGTATGCGTAAGTACATGTGAATTGACTATGGAAGGGATTAAAATTCATTTCTGAATCTGTTTGTAACCTTGCGAGTGACACAAAAATGGTAATGGGGTCCCGGGACCCCAGAAACTCGGGCCGTAAAATTATATTAGGTGAAAGCACAGACGAGGTATATGATTAAACTGATTTCGAGTCGCAAATACGTTTCTGCCGAGTTATTTTTTTAATAAATGATGTATTACAATTTAAAATAAAAAATAGAGAATTTGCGGTATACGTATCAATGAAATACATCCTTAGGAATTTTAATAATCTTGAAATTTTTAAATACTCTTAATCGATTGATTACTCCAATGAAATTAATCGATTAATGTCCAATGATGGACCGTACAGCTTTAATTCCGTTAAAAAATAATAAAATTTATCTAATTTTATTTTCTGTCTCACTTCCTTTTGTGTTAATATCTGGATCTGTTGATAACGTTGCGAGTGACACGAAAATGGTAATGGGGTCCCGGGACCCCAGAAACTCGGGCCGAAAAATTACATTAGGTGAAAGGTCTATTCATATACCTCGTCTGTGGTGGTATCATACGAACTGAATTATCGACTGCGTAAAGTACCAACATGTTTAGAGCGACCTCATCATCTAAGAATGGTGATTATGAGAACTATATTTTTAATATCGATTGTTCTTTTTCGTCACTAATTTCTCTAGTAATTTTTCAATGAGAACTCTGAAATCGGCTCTTTAATCTTTTGTTGCGTATTTTCATGTATCGACACACTATACTACGGACCTGAGACACACTATACTACATACTCTGCTCGATTGTGACTCATTGTCACACCGGACCAATGAAAGTGCCATCACGTGATGATCTGTTTACATACACTCTATCTCTACTTCAAACGAATAGTTCGAAAACATTTCTGAACAGCACGTTGATTTTCAAAATTGGCGAATTGCATTCGAAGAGAACGAACGCCGTCCGAGGATAATAAATTTCGCGAAACGACGCCCGAGTATCATAAATCACGTGCCATTTTTATTCACAGTTTCGAAGACAAGGAGACTGAACGTGCAACGGATACCATAGAAATGCTTTATACCGTAATAAGAAGGTACGTAACAGTGTTGCGAACTAATGTAATTACGCGCGTAATCGCGATGGGTTTCTCGAGTGACAGAAGAACGTTTTCTTCTGTAGGAGGAGGATGTATCGTCGGTTTCAAATCGGTAAGTTTCTTTCCGCGATTAGGCGAAATTATTTCAATCGTGCTAGAGGGTGAGCGAAACGAGGGGTTCGGTGACGGTTACAGGTTGGAAAAGAAGAGAAATTGTGTGTATATGTGTGCGAGAGAGAGAATAATACATAGTCTGGAAGAGAAGAAACTGTGCGTGTATACAGTGGCAGACATGCATTTACGAACAATATATTTTCGATATTATAATATTGGTTTTAAGGGACAAAATTGTGTCAAATATTATTATAACTTGTGGTAACTCTGGTATTTAGTCTGTATAATATTTAGTACAACATAATAGAGACAATGAAAACGTAATTATTTGCGTGTTCGTAAGTATATGTCCGCCATGGGAGGGGGGTACGAAATCGAATACAATTTTTACTATAATTTTTTTATAAATAGTCAAATAACACTTCAATAAGTATGAGATCACATACTTCATTTAAATATCATATGTTAATAAAAAGCTATTAATTTTAAGTAATCAATTCTTGTGAAAACATCACTTAATTGTTTTCTACGGAGTGCTATAAAATGTAGAATATACCAAAACCCATGTACAAAGTACTGATCGTGAAATATAATTTCCTAACATTCTGTCTAGAGTTTTTATTCGTCGTCTATTATTCCAATAAAATTCTGTCCATCTCTGACGCGAAGTAGAGGGAGTCAAAGACTGAAACGAGAGAAAAGAGTGTCGCGTATGAGAGTAAATAGAAAATTATGACGTGCAATAGCCGATTACTTTGATGTTTGAAAGTGATTCTGGCGATATTATGGTGGTGGAACATCGCGACTGCCGAAAGCGACGTGGTACGGAACGAGGATGTCTGCGGGCGTCAGAACGGACGACGTCTGTACTTGGAGCTCGGGGAGAAGGGCATCCTGTACGGGAAGAACGTGTCCTTCGCGAAGAACGAAGCGAGGCAAGATGGCTCGCGTGTTTACCCGAGCAACAGTTCTCACGCGCAGTGCAGCCTCGAGTTGGTGACGTGTCCGTCGTGCGTGATAATTGTCACCTTCCAACACATCGGTTTGTCTCACCACTGCGGCGATGGCAGCGTCGTGATGGACAGCCCGTGTAGGTAAGATGGCGCTAGTGGTACGATGAAGTCCAACGAGTCCCAGAGTATTACTACCACTGTTTTCTTCTATTATTTTTTTTCATAACAATTAATCTGCATTTAACAGGCTATAAGCAAATGTAGCGTAAGTATAGACTTTTTAATAAAATGAACACCTCACGTGCTTCTTTGTACGCTATGAGCTTGTGCAGTTAGCAAAACGATGGAGGTCCAGTATGTGGTGTCTTTTAAGTTGAGCGTGCCAGTAGTCTGGTAGCTGGTGCATTCGAATGTGCTTTTAGGATAAAAATGTTTGCGTTTGCTTCAGGTGCGACTACGTCTGGATCTCGGAGCCACCGTACGAGGACGTGTCAGGAACACCATTTTGCGGACTGTACGCCCCAATCACGTACAGATCGAGCACCAGGATCCTGTCGATCACTCTGCTCTACAGCCAATCGCACAAACATGCGTTCACGCTCGAGTACACGGCAGAAAGTAAGTGTCCAGAGGCGATTCGTTCCCGATAGGTCGAGATTGATCGTATTGGGTCAAATGTAAAGTACAAATAAATTCGACTTGCGATTCTCCGTCGTGCAGGGAACAGATTGCATTTAAGAGGAACGGAACTAACTGGACAAACGGCGAAGGGACTGAACAGCACCGGCGGCGGAATTCTAACGTCCCCGTTTTTCCCTGCCCGTTACCCTCGTGATCTGGGCATGGAGTACGTGGTCACGTGTCCCAACGAAGCACCGTCTTGTCGTATCAGGCTGCTGTTCAGTGACTTCCAATTGGCCACGGTGTCCATCATGGAAGTAAGCAACGACTGGGTCGAACGTTATCGTCGAACCCTCCGACCCAGAGACGGGGAACCTTTTGCTATTGGAAGACTGTCCTTCGACTGATTCCTCTTAAGACACGCTGTGAAACACGAAGACAAATCTCATCGGGCACCTAACAAACGGCAGATTCCTCGTCCCTAGGTTCCTACAGTCTCTGGTCATCGAAAGGCCTTTCTTTTATCAAAGTTATAGTCATTCGAAGAAACGTTTAATGAATGACCAGGGATGGGACGGTAGTTTATTCTCGGTTTAGCGCGCTGACCCGGCTGATTCACGAATTACACACAGTTCTACGATTGGAACGGGCAACGACTGGACGTGAGCAGCGGCGCCAGGTTCCGTCCACCCGTGATAATGAGCTCTGGTCCATCGTTGCTGATACGTTTCTACGCGAACGGTGGCACCGGATTGGGCTACAAGGCATTCTACTCGTTCGTGGTCGGCCACGCGTTGGACAAGTCCGTGCAACCGATCACCGACTGTGGCGGCTACGTGGAAAACCTCGGCGGTACCATTACGATGATGGATATGGTCGGCGAAGGGGTGAAGACCTACGATTGCGTTTGGCTGATCAGACCGCCCAAGAACTTTTTGCACATGAAGACACATATGTACCTGAAAGTCGTAACCTTCGCGGATATGGGTAAGTATTAGAAGTTTGGAGGTTCTGTTTATGAGAGATGGGGATGCAGGACAAAAGGGCGGGCCTGCTAGTGGACTCATCGATAAAGACTTCCTAGTAGGCCCTGCCTTAGAGAGAGTTGAGGAGTGTATATTGTTGGATGACCAACACGACCAGACAAACACCACTCCGTCACCTCGCAAACATTACTCATCCAAAACATCCTAGTCCAGATTTCTAATCCTTACTCATCCTGAGCCTCGTACCCTTCCTGAGTCACACTATCCCTTGACCATCGTCCCTACCTCTACCCATCTCTACCAATAACATATAAATGCCTGCAATACCGAAAAACGGACAGAAAGAGTCTAGTCTTCGGTCGGCGTAATAGTTGTACGAGTTTCCTTTTCTTAAATAAAGTGTTGGAATCCAACAATATTATAGCAACGGAGGGATTGGTCGAGCGCTTGCGAGAGAAACAAGAGCGTAGCCCTCTGGTGGCGAGTACGGGAGGCGACGGCCCCCACAAGAGTATTTCATAATCGTTGGGTATTTAATTTTCGTCGTTTTTGCTACCGTTTTAGCTGGAAACACGGAGCTGGTGGTGAGACAAGGCCCTACCTCGGCCCTTTTGCCGTTAGAAATTTTGCGACACCCGGCGAGTCAAGTGCAACCCCCGGGACACAGAGAACACGTGGAGCCTGTCGCTAATGGCTTCCACGTCAGCCTGCGAGGAACATTCAGTCCATCCTCGCACCTGGCGATTGCCTACGCGGCCTTTAGCTACTTGGGTAGGTATGTGTGCGTGTGTTTGGAAGGATAGGAAATTCAATTCCTATAGTCAAAGGCTAGAATACTAAATGCTACTTCAAGTCAAACTGGTAGATCTACAGGGTGGTCCACGCAATTGTTTCAAGTCATAACTCCGTTATTATTGCATTTACGAAAAAATGCCAAAGGAGAAAGATAAATGGTTCGAAGAGCACTACATCTGTAGGCCTTTAAATTTTGTTTAGATGCAGCAGTGCATGTGCAATTAACAATTGCATCATTTCTTTAAATGGAAATGCATATTTTTGTTTACACAGATCGATTCTTCTGTTCATTCTATGTAAAAAATGATTAGGGTACCATGGCAAAAAAATTATTAGATCTCGAGATATTTTTAAAAAATGTCTTTATTGAAGAAGATACTCAAACAAATGCAATAATAACGGAGTTATGACTTGAAACAATTGCGTGGACCACCCTGTATATTGCTCGTTTGTTCGCAGATTGCTTCGCGGGATCCGATTTCCTTTGCCGAAATCATAGGTGCATACAAAGTCAGTTGAACTGCGACGGTTTTGATCATTGTGGCGATAACAGCGACGAACCGGCCACCTGCTTTCGAGGTAGCTACAATAATGTTTCCGTATCCGTACGGGTTACGATATTGCCATTTGTTTTGCTATTAAATCGGAAGTGTTGGACTTCATGTAAATCTTTGGGCGAGACTTTATTTCCGAAACAAATGGAACTTGATCATTTGTTTGGTTCTCGTTTCGTAGATTGGGAATTGGAACCGCAGGATCGAAAATGGCACGTGAACAAAGCGAACTATTACTTCCCGAAGATCGATCGGTACCCGGACTTGAAGACGGCCACCCTCGTGTTCGTCGCCAGTAGCCTCGGACTGATCGTTCTGATATCGGCTCTGATCGTTTTGTTGTACAGAATGGGCGCCAGGGCTAGACAACAGAGAGAACTGCAGTCTCGATTACAGACGATCAGCGAGTTATTAGGTAGGAAGCCGATCGACCGATTCACCGAGTTTGCCGATGTCGTTGGGCGTTTGTACACGATAGACCAGTGTTTCTCAACGTTCTTCGCCGCGCGGTTGAACTGGTTTTTGTCCCGACGTGTCGTTGAGATTAAAGGAATGTCAATGACAACCACGAATAAGTTCGATTGGAACGTTGTTAATGGCACGATGTTTCTCGTTTGAACAGTTCCTTTGTGAGAACAAAAAACATTGCAGACGGTGCGCGAATCGACGAAATCTCGGTGCCGGACGATCCACCGGTCTACGAGGCTCCACCCGGCTACGACGAGGTCGTCAAGTTCGGATTCGATACGGAGATCGTCTCCAGGAAGAAGAGGAGAGCGTTTGGCCGAGAACCGCGTAGCAGATGCTCGCCAGGTCGAAATTGCTCGTGAGTAGCTCATCTCGAATATTCGCAGCTTGTATTATCCGACAATAGCTCGATCCTACTAATTTGGAGATCTGTGAGGTCACCTCTCGTACTCGCCACTAGAGGGCTACGTTCTTGTTTCTCTCGCAAGCGCTTGACTGACTCTTCCATTCATATACAGAGTGGGGCATTTTAAATAGTTCACCTGAATAACTTGCTTGCTTTTGAAGATAGGAGAAAGTGCATTAGACCAAACTTACTTGGTATCGGGGGGCTCATAATCTGGTATTACCAATTTTTTTCTGTAGGTGAAGGCGTCAAGGAGATATGAAGGTCAATTCTGTTTTTTTAAATGGAATAGTATGTTTTTTTACTTACTTTCTGATAGAGTGTTTCAAGGCGAATACAATGACCTATTATTAAGGTCATTCAAGGTCACCCAAAGTGAACTGCAATAGAAAATAAATTGTCTCAAAGCACTCTTCGAACACTTGGATACTTTGATACTGCTACTACAAGTGTTCAAAATGGCGACCTTGAACATGGATACATAGTCTATATCGTTGCAATAGTGATGACACTACATGGCAAATTTCATTTGTATCTATTACAGAGCAAACTCTTCTTATACATTCTTGCATGTCAAGTTTGGTAGTTGGTTTTTCGCGGTACACTTCTGCCTTTAATTTTCCCCACAAATAAAAATCAAGAGGTATCAGGTCTGGGGATCGTGCCGGCCATTTGTTACTTCCTGATCGACCTGACACCTCTCAATTTTTGCTAGGTAGTGTCATCACTAGACTGCGGATCTTTATGCAAATTCACATTTTCATTAATAGAATTAATGAAACGGAAGCTTCGCAGAGGACTGTCTCAACCTCTAAATATAATAATTCGTATCTTACTTTAAGTACTTCTTATATTTTTGCAAATTAAATGCATTCTGTAGTTTTTTGAGGATTAAAATTTCCCATAAATGCATAAACATCCGCAGTCTAGTCATCACTATTGCAACGATTTAGACTATGTATCAATGTTCAAGGTCGCCATTTTGAACACTTGTAGGAGCAGTGTCAAAGTATCCAAGTGTTCGAAGAGTGCTTTGAGACAATTTATTTTCTATTGCAATTCACTTTGGGTGACCTTGAATGACCTTAATAATAGGGCATTGTATTCGCCTTGAAACACACCTATCAGAAAGTAAGTAAAAAAACATACTATTCCAATTAAAAAAAACAGAGTTGACCTTCATATCTCTTTGACGCCTCCACCTACAGAAAAAAATGGTAATACCAGATTATGAGCCCCCCGATACCAAGTAAGTTTAGTCTAATGCATTTTCTCCTATCTTCAAAAACAAGCGAGTTATTCAGGTGACCTGTTTAAAATGCCCCATCCTGTATTCCGATCCTTTCCCAACTTCTCTATCTCATCGATTCTCTCGTCGCTGTGAGGACGGACGTTCCTCAATCGTCCGAATGCTCGATGACCGAGACGACGAGCAGCACCAGTCGTGACAACGGGACGACGTCGACCCAGAACACCGACGCCATTGTTATACCAAGGGCCAACCGAACGTGCTGCTTGCCGGACAGCCCACCGCCACCGTACGTTACTCCACCGGGATCGATATCGCGAAATTTCAGCGCGCCTAGCTCGACGACTCTATCAAACCCAGGTGAGTATACTAGCGCTGTTGGTCATCTAGGAAAATGCGAACCAAATAATAAATATGCACTCGGTTCCCGAATAAACGTTCCGAGCCTACGTCTGTGAAGATATAGAACAATCCTCTAGCCCCAATGTTGAAAATGGCGGGTCGTTTCACTGTTCGAGCAGTTGAAGGCGAGCCAAACGACGGTCGAGTACAGCAAGAGGTGACCACCGAACAATCGAGGCGGGATTGGTATCGTCGAAGCGGACAGTTCTCGCTGTCTCTTCCCGGGGTCTACGACTCGTCGCTGACGTCGGCGGAGACTCCCGTACGAGTCTCACAGTCGGTCGATGCCGATATTCTCGGTGCGTATCTTCGGAATCGCGACGTTTCGAGTTCGTTTCGCACGGTCGACGCATCCTGTGATTCGCAGCCGAGGAGCTCGTGCGTTGCCTCGAGCGACATCGAGCCAGACTGCGACGACCAAGAGGACGACGAGCCAACGACCGAGGTGTCCAGCCTGAAGGACGAGCAAGTCGAGGGAACGGACGACCGACGAGCAGATCGAGAGTTCGAGGAAGGCGACATCGATAGCAGCGCCACCAAGTCGGACGACGGCTCGCCGTTCGCGTGTTCCTGCGAGGGAGCCTGCGGTTGCGCCACGGTTCGAGAATCGACGTCGAGCAGGGAACGACGCGAGCTCGACGTCGCCCGTCGATGGCCGTTTAGACGCGGTTCCGTCGAGCGGGACGACGAGGAAACGGAGAAGGAAGGAGAGTACGAGGGGGAGCAGTCCTCTCGAAGGAAGAACGCTATTGTTAGGTTGCTTGGCGCGAGGGCCAGCAGATGGCAGTGCGGTAGCGGTGGCTCGACGAGCGCTTCGACGCCGTGCGGAACGCTTCGCCGGTCCTCGAGGAGGTTCAACGTTTGCTCACGGGACGGTCACATACGGCGGATATCTACCATCGGATCGATCAGCAGCTACGAGAAACTGAGCAACTGCGAGTTCGAGGTCGCGCGGAAAACCCTTCTGCACATTTCTGATCCTAGTTCGGTTGACTCGAATGGTCAACGACGACGCGCTCGACGTTACTCCAGCTGTGATCTGGAAGGGTTCTGCGAGGGTATCAGGGTACTGGACGGAGTTCTGACGCGAAGAGGTCTCGCGATGACGCACGGACGCAAGCAATCGGTCACGATCATGCTGTTCGGCACGCCGGAACACGGCGCGATGCGTCGTCGTCAGGCGATCGACGCGGAGGAATCTCTTCCAGTCTCGCGATATAGTTTAGACACCATTTCTAATTGATCTCTCTCTATCTTCCATTCGATGTTTCTTCTCTTCGATATTTTCTTCTGCGAGCATGACCCGTTTGCCGAAGTCACATGTAAGTACTCTCGGACAAATTGTTTACAGTGTCGTTTTAAGAACGAACGCAAATCACGAACGCTTTCAAATTCGTGGAAAATAATTGAATCGAAACATCAAACGGCGATCTGTTACAGTTGTAAATTGTACAAATAAGTAAAAACTGTAAAACCAATGATTATTTCTCTTTTCTCCCGAATGTAAACTAAGAACTAACTTTAGGCGAGACCTCGTCTCGAATACCTCTGGTGTCTGACTCCAAGAAAACACTTTTCAAACATTTGTTACAAAAAATGGTTTATTCCTCGTAGGTACACTTCGTTGAACATGAACCACGCAGCTTCGAAAACGATCGTTGTTTGGATACCGCGCGACGCGCATCAATAGTATTTCTTTAGTGGTTGCGCGCCACGATTGTAAAGTAAAATGGCGTTTAAAGATGTAGTAAAATATAGGCACGCGCGCGCGCGCGTGTATATGTTTATATATACATACATATACGTACATGTGGATATGTTTTGTTCGCGCGCGTTTCGATTCGATATGCTTCACGATTTATTTCTGCCCGCTTTATAGCGAGTTGCCATCGATCACAGATACCGCGACTCGGGGATTCCCGTCCACGACGGGGATCGCGAAATCGCAAGGATAACAAACGCAAAGATTCGCGTCGGCGCAGATCGAATTTGGCACTTTTGACAGGTGATCGCGAATCCGAGCGACGTCGGACAACTAAAATTAACGTCATCTCTATTGGCCGCTCAAGGTCACCTCCGATACATACTTTACTCTTTCCCCGACGATAAAATAGATTAAGAACTGCTGCCTCGAGGCATAATTATAGTTTGTCTAGACGAAAAACTAATTCCTTTATTAATTGCATTCTCTGGAAGCTTATGATCTTAAAATTAAGTATTGAACATTGTACGTCAATACGCAGGTCAACGATACATTATGAATCTTTAAAGGGATTCTACTCGGAATGGCTTTTCTTAACCCGATTGTGACATAACCTCGTAGCAGCCAAGCGATTGGCTTGAAATTTTAGTCGCATGTGTCAACAAACATCCGTTTATAACTAGTACTAATACTATCGGAGCACCAGTTCCTATTTCTGCTTTATTAAGCAAAATTATTCTAGTCAAACAAAGAATTCGAACTTCGATCTTTCTTTCTAAATAAATTTAATACTAATCATAGCACCATTCGCACAAACCACAAAAATTGTTTCCTTATTACTACAAATTCGGGGCCTCCTAAAATAATAATTTTTAGTAAACGATAGTTATACGTATTCATTGTTTAAACGTTAATACATAATGATGGAAAATTATAAAATCTTGTGATGATTTAAAAAATACACATTCTTGGAAATGGCACGTCTTGTTGCCTAACAAATCAAACACTGTCTTAATACGTTCACTGTGATAACTTTCATATCCCGTATCGTTAATTAACGTAATCTTTATTATCTGACAACGGAAATGAGAATATAGACTCTTCAGTCGTAATCTCTGAGGTACACCCAGCCAAAATTATTCTACCCGTATTACTGTAGTATTTATGGCACTATAAACAGAATTATCTCAACCAAGTGTAGTAACAGAAATCTCAGATGGTGCTAATCTCGTCATCCGTTGTCTTCGGAACAAACTTATAACATTAAGCGAAAAAGAAAACTAATAGGCATTTTTCTCAACTTCCGTTGATGTGTCCCGCACCACAGTGAACGTGTTCAGCAACCAACATGGCAGAAAGGACAAGTAGCACAGCTGCAGAGTCAATATATCCCCCGATCAATTAACAGTCTCTCGGAGTCAATACCCTGACCGGATAATAGAGTTGACCGTCGCTTCAGTTAAAGGGGAACGTTGTATTTCGATTAGACAGGCCACTCATAGGCCGGACATATGTCCTATCTTACGCAATGGCAATACTGTTTCATCCCTCGATCGAGACACTTGGCGCCCGATGCGTAAGGGTTGATTCTGCTCACTTCGTGATCGGACACCGTGTAAGTGTCGTTCTCGTGGTACCTGACGGTCACCTCGAACTTCGCGTCGCCCGGCGTGACTTGTATCATATAAAAGAAGACTAGCTCGGTAGAATTGGTAACGTCGATCGCTCGGTCCACGTGATGGAGCTTCTTGAGGCGTAACTTCGCGCACAGACGGCGGCCCTTCTTGTCCCTGTACGCGGCCACGTGGCCGTCCACGTGTTTCAGGAAGGCTTGGGCCCCGTTTTCGACGACCGGATCGTGGGGGTCGGCAGGTTTGAACGGCGTGCAGGCGCACCAGTGGGAGGAGATCCCCGCGTCCGAGCAGCCTCTTTGAAAAGGCACTGGCCTCGCTCCCAAAAGGTTGTGACAAGTTGGACACGACGGGGATTGGTTCGCCTTGCCCCCGGATAGACTCACCACGTCGCGTAGCGTTTCGTAAAGGTCGAAGGGCGAGGTCAGGCGGTGCTGGTTCGCGCGCAACGACGAGTACGCGTCGGGACGCTCCGCGCGGAACCATTGCGGTATCCAAATATAAATGAAAGGCAGTCTTTCCTCGTACCAACCTACGAACGTGTTCCTGATCGGACCCCAGCGCATCCCGTGATCGCTTAGGAAGACAACCATCGTGTCGTTTAACACACCCTCGCGTTCCAGGTACTTGAGCTTGTTAAGCAGACGACCTTCCATCGACGACAGCCCGTTCGCGTTTTCGTGGCTGACGCTGGTCGTCCAGAAAAAGCCGAAATAAGGCAGACCGAGAAAGGTGCGCGCGAAATCCAACGCGTAGTCGAGGATCCTGTCGAAATTGGTCTCGGGCCCGGAGCAATACTTTAGACCGAATCTGGAAAAACGAAATCAATGTTTAAATTTTTTCAAAACTTTTTCATTATTTTTTAAAATAGAAAATATAACTTTTCAACGTGTTTACTAGGACCTCTTTTCTTCCATTCGGTGGATACTGTCTTGAGAGTCCCGAACTGTCAATTTCCATAGTCGCTATATTTGTTGTTCAATAAATGGCTTTTAAGGTATCTTAAAATTGCAATTGTAACGTTTTTTATCGTTTGCAACTCCCATTTTATTTCACTTCAAAGTTGTATCGCTTTTATTGAAAAACACGTTGCGTTGCCCGTACTCGGATAAAGAATTTTAAATTACTGTATCTTATTACACCAAAACTAGCGCGATAAAAGTATAAAACAAATAAATATGTGTATTAATAAAATGAAAAATATTCCAACGAGTGTGCTGTAGTTAAAGTTTAAAATAACGTGTAGAACCGTCGACCGAAAGATCACTGTTATCTCATAGCGGCGCATACGACTCGTCGCGTTTAGGTTCAAGGTGAGTGCCTATCATTATCAAACACGTGCACTTAGCGCAAACGTTGTATTCTTTTCTATACTAACACAGTGGTGGTGGGCTTTATTTTTCTGCAAACGTTTTGCAACCTACGCAATTATTAACAGATATATGCTCGTATCATATACGCGTTTCATAATACGTGTGTTCACGCGATACATCATCGCAAAGAACAAACATTATTGTATCACGTACAATTAATTTACTGCCATTAGTAATAAACGTTTTAGAAGGTTAAAAGAAGGTTGTTCCATCGCGTGATCAGAACACAATGATTCTGCGTATTTTTGTCCCCCGAGTCCCTTACAATTCTGGACAGTTATGGTACTCAAGGGTATCAGATTCCCCTGAGTCACAGATAGGCTGTGCCCAAGCTAATTTAATTACGTAGAAGCTATATGACCAAATAAAAACATTATCAGCGGCTATATTAGACCCGTATCTACCATATGTTGATTAGATAAACCTTCCGTTATCAATATCCAATAATCTAACATTAGGTGTACAAATGAATAATCCAAATTATCTCAAGCATTTATAAAATCTAGTTTAATCTCTTAGCTTACAATGTCGTCTCAGAGACGTGATAAGTATACCAGGCCAAACCTTGGTGTCGCTTTTGACACGCGTAGTTGGAAATTAAATCGTAAGGCTATAAATCAGCGACTATATTAGACCCGTATCTACCATATGTTGATTAGATAAACCTTCCGTTATCAATATCCAATAATCTAACATTAGGTGTACAAATGAATAATCCAAATTATCTCAAGCATTTATAAAATCTAGTTTAATCTCTTAGCTAACAATGTCGTCTCAGAGACGTGATAAGTATACCAGGCCAAACCTTGGTGTCGCTTTTGACACGCGCAGTTGGAAATTAAATCGTAAGGCAAGGGGTTAAAGTCAATAAATTTTATAGTGTTGACATATAGCTAGTTAAAACAAAAGATAGTTTAGCGAATGGGCCAACATAATCTTCAAAAGTATTCAATTCAGTAGAGTCGAAAATGGTAACAGATAAAGTCCATATCCAACACCGCATTCTTTACGAATTCCAACAACGGAAAAATGCTGCAAGAGTATTCGAATCGATTTGTTCCTTTCTCGGTGAAGGTGTTGTACCGTATGATGGGTGCACATTTTGGTTTAAGCGGTTTAAAAGCGATGATTTGAGTCTAATCGACGAACAACTCCCGAGAGGCCCTCGGAAGAGCAACAACGACGATTTGGAACAGCTGCTCGCTGAGAATGCGGCACAAACGCAAAAAGAACTTGCAGAACAGTTAGGAGTAACCCAGCAAACGATTTCCAAACGCCTACGTGAGATGGGAAAGATCCAGAAGGAAGGAAAATGGGTGCCGCATGAACTCACTGCAACCACCAAAAATCAACGAGTGGCAGCGTGTCTTTTTCATCTCAATAAGCAGCGTCGAAGGTCTTTCTTGTGGATAATCGTTACGGGCGATGAGAAGTGGATACTCTATGACAATCCAAAACGCAGAAAGCCATGGGTAAATCCCGGCGAAGCATCAACATCGGTTGCAAAACCCAATCGCTTCGGAAAGGAGGTTCTTCTCTGCATTTGGTGGGATATCAAAGGCGTGGTTTATTATGAGTTGTTGGAACCGGATGAAACAGTTACTGCGGACTGCTACCAACGTCAATTGATCTACTTGAGTCAAGCATTGGGACGAAAACGTCCGTATACTGGCAAAGAAGTACGTCCAGAGAAATTGTTGCATGACAACGCTAGGCCACATATTGCTTCCCATACAAAAGACACTATAATGAGTCTTGGCTGGGACGTCTTTCAACACCTGGCGTATTCACCAGACATTGCTCCATCTGGTTATCACCTGTTCCGGTCGATGCAACACGCCTTAACCGATATGCACTTCCAATCAGTGGATGAGATCCGAAAATGGCTCGACGACTTTATCGGGTCCAAAAACGTAAAATTGTTATGAGATGGAATTCATCAGCTGCCTGAAAGATGACTTAAAATTATAGAAAGTAACGGCGAATACTTTGATTGAACAATTCGATTTACTTTCAATTGAAATAAACGTTGAATGTGGCTGAAAAAATTGGATTATTCATTTGTACACCTAATACATAATGCACTAGTGATTCGCGACAGATGAGGTACTAGAAGGAAGTGTACACAGAATTAAAATACAAGATTCAACATCATATACTGAATTCTGTTTGTAAACAGTTAGATGAATAGTTCTGTTCCAACATACAGGGTGTAAACGATAACTTTGGCAAAAATTACGGCGATCTTTTACTTCGGTCTTTAGCTCCTGATGGATAGAAAACCCATCGTACTGGAAACTGTTTCTTTTGAGGTGGGTCAGTCGTGTAGGTGACAAAGATGACAAACATTGAAAGTTTTACGATGAACAACGTAAACATTTAATGAAATCATGGTCAAGAAACAATAACCAAAAAAAGTTTGCCTACCCATCAGGCGCGAAAGACCAAAATTAAAGATCGCCGTAATTCTTTACTGGTGCATTCCCATGCTCAAAATACTTGCCTATGGGACCTCTACTTACCCTATGATTTTTGCCAAAGATATCGTTTACACTCTGTATAGAACTCGCTATAACTCAAAAGCAAGATTAAACTTTATGTTTATATTTTTGTTTAATTGTTTCATTTGGTTAAATTGATTCATTTTCGTACCTTTTCTTCACCTTGAGGAGCTTCTCGCAGGCGAGAATGTACGGTCGGAGGTAGAAGTCGGTTGGTGGATCGACGAAGCCTACTTTGAGATAATTGAAGGTGCTCAGACCGGTCTCATCCTCACCGTAGGCAGTCACGTAGCCGGCGTTGCGAAAGTTTTGCCAAAGAAAGGGGCATTGGTCGAGCTTATAAGGAACGGTAGGCTTGCACTTTTCGTAGGCCAGGCTTTGATTCTGACCAGTCAAGATCGCCATCAAATTCGGAAAGGTGTTGTCCGCCATCTTGTTGTATCCGTCCAAGTGAACCCAACCGGTCTCACGCAGATACTTATCAACGGATGGCGCGCTGCGCAGGAAATTTAGCCTACTGACGCTATCGATACCCATCACGAGAACGCTGAGCTTCCTCGAGAGCTCGCCGGTCGCCGTCGATTGGTTCCCGTTGCGGCGCAAACGATCACGAACCTTTTCGACGCCCATGACCGCATGGACGTTCTGATAGAACGGTTTGCCACTGGCTGACCCTCGATTCTTGGACTTCAGGCTGCAGTTTACGATCGCCGCTTCGATATTCACGGGCAAGATCTTTTGGCTATCGAACTTCTCGCACGGTTTCACTCTGTAAAACAAACGAGTTATTAAGAGCTCGACAACGTTCGTTTCTTCTTTGGTGCTGCAGACTTACAATTAATTGACCAGGACACGAAATCAGTCGACGCGTAGGATACCATGATAACGGAACAACGTGAGCGCATTGTTATCGACGGGACGCGTAAAAATAAGCTTAACAGATACTTAGTTATCGACGGGTCACGTAAAATCACATAAGAAGGAGAATGTTTATTTTATCCCTCTCTTTGCATTCGAACGTCTTCTCTGAAGCGACACAAAGAAGAAGAGATTTTTGTAATCTTTTGGATTCGACACTCACATGATCGTCGATTCCAAGTCGTTTTTATCTTTACCGGACTTCCCCATTGCCCGCTTCTCTGGTCGAAGGATGGCCGACCAGCAACACTCCAGACCCGGATGAAGGGTCGTGGCCGCCGGGTCGATGAACAGCACCACGCTGCCGTTCTCCTCCCGAATTAGACTCGTCAGGTTGATGTCGTTCGAGCAGTTCTCGAATTTCTCCTTCTTCACGAAGGAACGAATCGCTGGGTCCAGCGGCTCCATCGCAAGCATCTGACATTTCGGATTCCACACCAGGTACCCGTCCACCGTTTCTACGGAACACAAAATACACCAAATTATATAAGGGAGGAAAAAGGGAAACCCGAGATATACAAGGGATTCGAACCGATGGATCTTCAGACTGCTAGCTAATCGTCCTACCAACCCCGCTATCGCCGTACCGTTACTATTCCGGTGTTAATGATTCTGTGGCGTCGCCTCCCATGCTAGCCACCAGAGGGGTCGCGCTCTCACAAGCGCTCGACCGACCCCTCGGTTGCTATATATACATTCCTCGAACGACTTCCCAATATCCCAGTCGTCTAAGGCAGGGCCTGCTAGAAAGCCTTACTGACGAGTCCCCTAGCAGACCCGGACGAAACGCGCCTCCCTCCTTTCCTTTTCTGTCCTCCTACGAATTCTCACGAGTTCCCTACCCGCAGCGAAGCAGCGCCACAATTCCTTTTCCGCGGGTTGGTAACGAAGTTTCATTATTATTTAAGCTGATCTTATTCGACGGATATTTGTATTTAGAATAAAGAATAATATTAAAAAATATACAGAGTGTTCGGCCACCTCGGGGAAAAATTTTAATAGGAGATTCTAGAGGCCAAAATAAGACGAAAATCAAGAATACCAATTTCTTGATTAAAGCTTTGTTAAAAAGTTATTAAAAAATTAAATTAAAAAATTTTAAATCATTTTAAGAAAATTAGTTTCGGTTGCAGGGGTCAATTATAATAATTTTTGATCATTAAACATACCCCCGAAATCTTATTCACTTTCGAGAAAAAAATTCCTTACCGAAAATATAATCTGAGGCCTGAAATGGTTCCCCGAAAATGTGAATCTTTAAAACATCATAACTCTCGAACGAATGGGACGATTTTCATGTTTCAAAATGCAAACAACGCGTATTTTGGTGAAGAATATGTGACAATTCCAAAAATATACGAAAAGCTATCCCTTGACTGCGCGAAATGGGAAGAACCCCATAAAATTGGACCAATTTTCAAAAAGCCATAACTCCTACAATAGAGAATATATTTCAATGAAACTTTTTTCTTAAGTATAGCTCATGAGCACCTACAAAAAAGTATTAGACAACTTTTCTGTAAGACGTCAAACAAAATTACTAAAAATCAAAAACAAATTTGTAAGAAAAATCGACAAGGTGCCTACATTATTCGATGAAAAAAAATTTCAAATCGTTGTGGAAAAATTATTTTTGGTTGTGGGGGTCAATTACAATCATTTTTGGTGAATAAACATACCCCGGAAATCCTGCGCATTTTCGAGAAATAAATTCAGTACGAGTGGAACTTTAAACGTTAATAACTGTTTAATAAAGTCTCCATCAACAAATTGGTATTCCTGATTTTCGTCCTATTTTGGCCTCTAGAATCCCCCATTACAATTTTTCCCAGGGGTAACCGAACACCCTGTATGTCTGAGAAATTATACTTCTATTTAAAAATATTCATTAATACTTCTAAAATAACACAATAAAATTATGCCCTAAATTTACGTGAAATTAGCTATAATTTAAAAATTTTAACTCAAATGCGGCACAGGTTCCCGAGTCTGGGAAAAATTTTAATGGGAGATTCTAGGAGTCAAAATAAGACGAAAATCAAGAATACCAATTTGTTGATCGGGGCTTTGTTATAAAGTTATTAACGTTTAAAGTTACGCCTGTAGAACGGCAATCTGCGAACAGCTGTGTACGCACGATAGTGGTTCTCACTCAGCATGAGAAATTCTACTTACCGACGTATCGACAGCCTTACAGTTCTCTGAGTGAAAACCACAGTCGAAGTATACGAGTAGACCTTACTTCTAATGTATTTTTTGGTCCATTTTTCTAGGGCTCTAGAACCCCATTAGTACCCATTGATGCATTTTAAAATGCTTAAAATCCTCCAATCCGTTCAGAAGTTATCATGTTTTAAACATACGCATGACAGAAAAACATTTCTAACCTCACTTTAGTAAAGAATTTTTTCCTCGAAAGTGAGTAGAATTTTGAAGGTATGTGTATTGACCCAAAACGATTGTAATTAACCCCTGCAATTGAAAATAATTTTTTTGAAACGATTTGAAATTTTTGAATTTCGCCCAAAAATTTCACACCTACTCGAATTTTTTTCTCGAAAGTGCGCAGGATTTCGGGAGTATGTGTATTTACCAAAAATAATTGTAATTAACCTCTACAACTGAAAATAATTTTTCCAGAACGATTTGAAATTTTTGAATTTCGACCAAAAATTTCACACCTACTCGAATCTTGTTCTCGAATGTGCGTAGGATTTCGGGAGTATGTGTATTCACCAAAAACGATTGTAATTGACCCCCGCAACCGAAAATAATTTTTCTAAAACGATTTGAAGTTTTTTAATTTCGCCGAAGAATTTTCCGGTCTATATGGAATTGTAAATTGTTATTCTTGGTTTTCGTCTTATTTTTGCCTCCAGAATCGCCCATTAAAATTTTTCCCAGGGTTGGTCGAACACCCTATATACCTTCGTTTCTCGAAGAATATTGTAAAGTATCAAAAATTGGACTTCCCCTCTTCCTTTTTTCTCCAATGTTGATCATCGACGAGAAAAACGCTTTATTGCGAACACTCGGTATATCAGATAAAGTTCATCGTTATTAGAGAATTTAATTATGCCCTTGTTTTGCGTGCTCATGCAAGAATATCGATTTAGAATATCGCCTAAACTATCAAATATCCGACTAAACGGGAAATGAAACATTTTACAGTGCTCTGTCTACCTTTTATTATCTTCTTTTACCAGTTCTCTTATCAGATCAAAGGTCGGAATAATTTATGTTGTTTATTGATGTTTATTAGAGTGTTACGCGTCGCGTTATAACTTGCATGTTGCAATTTGCACATTACATTACATTCGTTCAGTGCGCTAACGTTTATGCTGCCAAGCGATTTCGTTCGAACTCTGCTGACGTTGCATCACGTCGCGTAAACTGACCGACGTTATCGACGTCAGAGTTGCTCAGTTTTGTTTGAATAATAAATAATCAAGGTACGGGGATTTGTTCTTGACATTTGATCGATCGAAAGGTTAAATTTGTATACATTATTCTTAAAATACATCCTTCATCCTATATTTAAAATATTCATTTCCCCATTAATGTTAACTTTGACTTTAATTTTCGTTTTAATTTTAATTATTCGTACGGTCGGTATTTGTTGATGTCGATCATATTATTTCAATTTGAATTTCGCTGTATCAAAATTGAAAAATAATTCGATCGTTCAACTATTTTCGACCGTTCGGTTCAGGTACCAAAACCGAAGTTTCTAATTTTATGCACTTGTATGTGTCCCGCAGAGCTAACTATATCAGTTCACCACCTATTACGGACGCATTGGGCCAAACGGTGACCTCGACTCCTCGAGGCAGGCGTCTAACAGCATGCAAAGATATACGAGGAATGTCATTTATCGGTCAGGTATTCAATAAACACAAAACAATTATATCGCTGGCAACTCGATCGATATCTCGGTCAAATTACGTTCCCACTGAAACATAGACTGCAAAGCGGGACGCAACTAAACCCAAATAACGGCTTGATCGGTATACAGGGTGATAATCGAACCTCGGGACTTGTGATAGTGATCGTTCTGGATTCAAGTTCGTTCATAATTCGAACTTTTAAATTTGTTTTCCCGTATGTTTATATCAGCTTTTTATTGTATTCTATAAACGCCGGGTACATACGGGGAAACAAATTTTAAAGTTCAAATTAGGAATGAACTTGAATCAACTAGTACTTAATAACAGCCAGGAAAACAATAAAGTAAAACTTTCTATGTTCGAGCTTCCGTTACACGAGTATTTACTATTGTCTGAACGTTCTATTATTCAAACAGCCTATATCCTTACACAATAGTCTACGCACAACTAAACCTATTCATTACAAATTAACACTAGACTTACAGACACTGACTGTACATATTTTTATCGAAACCTGCCATGGTGACGGTTACATTAAAACGTGCTTTTCCTTTTGATTAGGATGTACATTCGCGTCGTTAAACTATAAATTGCTAACAAACAATATTTCAGCCGTCAAATTGACGGGTTCCGTAAACCCCAGCGTTAATCATGAACCGTAATGGGAGGCATGAAACTTCGACCCGTGACAATGCAACTTATGCACAATGACATTCGTAAAAGTAACAAAGAAAAATAGAATCGATTTTTCCGAACGTCCAGAGCAGAGGAATCCCCTTGAGCGTTTCAAGTGCGCGCACACGACTGCGCGTTGCATCTGTCTGGACCAGTCCTTGCGATATAACCCTACGGTATTATTCGGTGACAGCAGCTGTTTATCCACTTACCCTCGTTAACGTTGTACGTCCTATACATAGAGTGATACCGTGGCTCGAACCCGTAACCGTCGTCCGTCGAAGCGACGTAGAGGCTCGCCAGGAGACCGGCCGGCAACAACAACAACACCAGCCCGGGCCGTCCGCAAAGCCACTCGACGATACGCGATCGTTTCTTCGCTTTTCGCATCGTGGCTTTGTTCCTGCCTTCGCGATTCCTGTCAAACTTGACGAGCACCTACGGCACTCGCGTCTGTCGGCTGTCGCTGTCCGCCGTTCACGTGAGCGATACCATAACGACGCTGACGTATTCCTCTCCGCACGATGCCGCCTCGACGCGACCGCGGCGTTCGCGGTCAGGCAGGACATCGAGCGAATTCACCTGGTCGCCTATCGAACGCGGGCGAACGATACTGCGAGCAGAGCGCGCGAAATTAGCCACGCACGGCCGACGAGTCTCAGACTTACGGCCACGGACACCGGCCAAACAACCAATACCGATCGAACGTGCCCGTGACGTTCACGCGCGAACGTCGTGGTCCGGTGTTTCTATTGTAACGGGTTCGATTACGTAACGACGAGACAGAACCGAACGAACCCTTTCACCTACTTACGTCGACGGAGTCCCGGAGATCACTGACGAAACTCGATGCAGTGCAGTGAATTGAAGTGGTACTCGCGAAACGCGACCGTTGGGGTTCGGACGGCGACGGGACACGACGAGCGCCGACGACGCACGACGCAGGGGTGTCCATTTCGTACGTTTCGTTCGTTCGGTGGTTAGATCGTTCTACTCGACAGGTCGAAACGCTTTTCACTACTTTCGCCACTGCCGGAACAGGTACGGCGCTGTTCACTTGGCGTTGCATATATGTATAATTTTTTTTTTAACCCTTCGTTGTCCTATGGCGAGGAACAAAACAAATCGATGAGTAAAAATTGTCGGTGAAAAGATTGTTGACTAGAGTCGAACGACGAATAGAAATATTAGATTTCTAACTAATAAAAATGTTCATATCTAATATATACATATATTCAGATAAATACACACGCATGGAATTTTATGTAGTCATGAGTGATACATGAGCTAAATCTTATAAATAGTTGATTTAAGTGGCGATAATTGTCAAGGTGCGATTATGTTATCGTAAATGTAACTCGACGATGCCTATAGCACGGTTAGGAGAGCAAAGCATTCGCTATCGACGAGCATCACCTGGTGACTCTGGAGACCTTTCGACGCTGCACGCAGTCGCGGATATATGATATATCGTCTACCATTTCGATCTCATACGTGGTCGAATACAAGTTCAGCATCCATGTTGACGTCTTTGTCCATGTTTTTGTCTTTGGCGCGCCTTTCTGGAACCGAGAGCCCGTCTGAAAAAAATGTAGACTGGTAACAAGAAGGGTACTTCCCAGTCAAATTAATCTGAGTTAGATTTAATTTGATAAAACATGATATTCTTTTATTAATACATTGAAAGTAACCGTTTGTTAAAAAAAACTTTACTGCATATTTTAACACGATCGCGAATAAAATTAAGGTTGATTCAAAACATTGTACGTATACTTTAATTTATATTGTCTAAATTAGGGAACCAAGTGTCTGATGACTTGGTATATTAAATTGTCGATAAAATTTGTATATTTTTAAACAGAGACTTGTGAAATAACATCGTATCAAAAGTGCAATTGATCAATATGGTGGGTGAAAAAGAATCTAATGTCACTCGACGATTCGAACCCTAGACCAACTGACCCACTTGGGAAGAAGATGCTCCTGGCACTCATCCAATTCACGTTCTTGTTGGCTACGTCAATTTAAAGTCTTTTATAGAACAAATTTCAACTGTTCGTAATAAAGTGCCTTTTGAGACAAAATATTCCATAGGATATCATCGATTAAAAATTATCTTGTAAGATAATATAGTATCCCTTTTAAGCTGACGATAACAAAAAATAATCGACAAAGATTACTATTTAAATTACAGTATCAAGTTATGTTTCACATTTAGTGAATTGTAGTGTGCCTGAATAATTGTTTATCTATTATTGGAATAATTATAGTATAGTTAAATAAAAAATAAACGACTGTTTATTTATCGCTCGTTAAATGAAAATAAAAATTTTAATTATAGTATGAGATATGTTACAACAAACGAATAAATGTTTAAGTCTTTGGAATCATAGAAGATCGGACCTCAAAGGAGATAGGATCGTATTGGGTCAGACATAGTAGTCAGCCTTCGTAAGTAGTATGCACACTCCACGTTTCAATACACAGGGTGCTCGGCCACCCCTGGGAAAATTTTTAATGGGAGATTCTAGAGGCCAAAATAAGACGAAAATCAAGAATACCAATTTGTTGATAGAGGCTTTGTTAAAAAGTTATTAACGTTTAAAGTTCCGCCCGTACGGAATTTTTTTCTCGAAAATGCGCAGGATTTCGGGGGTATGTCTATTCACCAAAAATGATTGTAATTGATCCCCGCAACCGAAAATAATTTTTCCGGAACGATTTGAAATTTTTGAATTTAATTGTTAATAACTTTTTAACGTAGCCTCCATCAACAAATTGGTATTCTTGATTTTCGTCTTATTTTGACTTCTAGAATACCCCATTAAAATTTTTCCCAGGGGTGGCTGAACACCCTGTATGTATCAGTTTGTTTAAAAAATATACAGGGTGTTCGGTCACCCCTGGGAAAAATTTTAATGGAAGATTCTAGGAGCTAAAATAAGACGAAAATCAAGAATACCAATTTGTTGATCGAGGCTTCTTTAAGAAGTTATTAACGCCTGTAGAATGTGCTATGAAGATAGTGGTTCTCATTCACAAAACTGTAAGACTGTCGATACGTCTGTAAGTAGAGTTTCTCATGCAGAATGAGAACCACTATCACGCGCACGTAGCTGTTCGCAGATTGCCTATCTACAGGCGGAGCTTTAAACGTTAATAAATTTTTAACAAAGCCTCGATCAACAAATTGGTATTCCTGATTTTCGTCTTATTTTGGCTTCTAGAATCTCCCATTAAAATTTTTCCCAGAGATGGCCGAACACCCTGTGTACAAAATAGTTAGTTTTATATATAATTGTTTCACAAATTGATATCTCATGTTTGTAACAATTGATCAATATAAACTAAATATTGATAATGAATATTATATTTACAAAATTATGTACCTGTATCTTAACCGGATCCGTTGATCACTCTTACTCATACTCGCTTGGCCTAACTCTTTGAACGTTGACCTAGTACTGATTGCATGGTGTCGTCAATTAGCACTTAGTGTCCGACTCCTCGAGCAGTGAATGCGCCTTATACAATGAGGCTCCATCCGCCGTGCTCAAGTGTTGGAATGTTGGTATTGTGACAGTTTACGGCACTGTCAGCGTGCTCTTTCATTTCCTTTCTCTAGTCGTTTCCTTCGTCTTGCTAGATCTTTTAATGTTCGCCTTTCTAAACTGTCCTACTCGTTTACAACTTCCGGTCTACCTCTGAAGAGCCCGTTCAGGCCTGGTTAGTTCTCCAACACATTTAGCGACAAGGGTCTTCTATTTTTTCGTTCTCTTCGTTCAAATCAAAGTTGAGGATATAATTGAAAATTACTCGAAGTCTACTGACAATTTAGAGACAATCACGCTCCGTTGGAATCGTAAAATAATCCGTGAGAAAAGTTAGTAAGAATCGCAGTGCCTCGTTGTAGTGTTCGAGAGTTAAAAATCGTTTAATTTTGAAACAGATTAAGGGAATCATCGTTTAGCGGAAGAACGGGGAAAAAGATTTAAAGATCGTTTGGTCGATTTAGAAGTTTTTATTGTAAAAGTGCATCGAAAGGTTGCAACAAAGAAGAAAACACCGCGGCAGCGAGCATGATCGTTGCTTGCTTCCGAGGAAACTGGTCTTCGACGTTGACCCTTGTCCTCGAAGCGTCTTTGGTTGGTGCACCGTTCACAAATGGCGCGGGCATCGACGTTCCCTATCCTCCCGTCCCGTTTCCGCAGATTCCGTGGACGGTCGCGATGAACGCGTCGGCGGCGATTCGTTTGCTCCGATAATCATGTTTCGAGTGGGTTAAGGAAACGCAGTGCATCCTGAAAACAGATAACGTTCAATCTCGTCGCTTAGGACAAAAAAATCGATATCGTACCTCGGTACCGGAACAATGTACTACAACAGAAAATATGACTGGAACGGAAACGTTTGAAAGTGGCTAATAAATCGACTCGTGTCCGATTTTAATATAACCTCGCAGAATGGTAGATAGCACGCTATGCGTAAAATATAATTATACGGGATGTTCGGTCACCCCTAGGAAAAATTTCAATGGGAGATTCCAAAGGCCAAAATAAGACGAAAAACAAGAATACCAATTTCTTGATTAAAGCTTTGTTAAAAAGTTATTAAAAAATTAAATTAAAAAATTTTAAATCATTTTAAGAAAATTAGTTTCGGTTGCAGGGGTCAATTATAATAATTTTTGATCATTAAACATACCCCCGAAATCTTATTCACTTTCGAGAAAAAAATTCCTTACCGAAAATATAATCTCAGGCCTGAAATGGTTCCCCGAAAATGTGAATCTTTAAAACATCATAACTCTCGAACGAATGGGACGATTTTCATGTTTCAAAATGCAAACAACGCGTATTTTGGTGAAGAATATGTGACAATTCCAAAAATATACGAAAAGCTATCCCTTGACTGCGCGAAATGGGAAGAACCCCATAAAATTGGACCAATTTTCAAAAAGCCATAACTCCTACAATAGAGAATATATTTCAATGAAACTTTTTTCTTAAGTATAGCTCATGAGCACCTACAAAAAAGTATTAGACAACTTTTCTGTAGGACGTCAAACAAAATTACTAAAAATCAAGAAAAATCGACAAGGTGCCTACATTATTCGATGAAAAAAAATTTCAAATCGTTGTGGAAAAATTATTTTTGGTTGTGGGGGTCAATTACAATCATTTTTGGTGAATAAACATACCCCGGAAATCCTGCGCATTTTCGAGAAAAAAATTCAGTACGAGTGGAACTTTAAACGTTAATAACTGTTTAATAAAGTCTCCATCAACAAATTGGTATTCCTGATTTTCGTCCTATTTTGGCCTCTAGAATCCCCCATTACAATTTTTCCCAGGGGTAACCGAACACCCTGTATGTCTGAGAAATTATACTTCTATTTAAAAATATTCATTAATACTTCTAAAATAACACAATAAAATTATGTCCTAAATTGACGTGAAATTAGCTATAATTTAAAAATTTTAACTCAAATGCGGCACAGGTTCCCGAGTCTGGTAAAAATTTTAATGGGAGATTCTAGGAGCCAAAATAAGACGAAAATCAAGAATACCAATTTGTTGATCGGGGCTTTGTTATAAAGTTATTAACGTTTAAAGTTCCGCCTGTAGAACGGCAATCTGCGAACAGCTGCGTGCGCGTGATAGTGGTTCTCACTCATACAACTGTAAGACTGTCTTTCTTTCTTTCTTTCTTTCCTATATTTTTGGGAGCAATACTAGTAGTATCGGCTTTCTAACAACACCATTTACCATCTACTTTCTAAATCATCTATTTCCTACTTCCACCTGTCTCCTGTTCCTTACTCCAGGTATTCCCCTCTCTTCTGCTATTTTAACTCCTCCTCCTTCCCCTCATCTTCTCCTCTTTTCTTCTTAACTCTCCCGCAACCCTAACCTCGCTTCCAGCAGTCGCTTACAACTAAAATTAAAGGTAACATTAACCTAATACAAAAGAAAATAAAACTCTAGTCTTAATTCCTAATTATCACTACCCCATTAGGAACATCCTCCTCTCCCTCCTCTTCCTCCTAACTTTCTATCTTCCATCTTCTTTTCTTTCTTCACAAATCCTCCCCTATCTTATAAAAAAAAACCCTTCATTACCCTATATACCCTGATCCTATTCATCGCCAACAACCCTACCACATCTTCCCCTATCTTCGCTATTTCCTTTCTCAACCTCCCTCGCATCTCCTTTCTCTCCAGGTTATACAAACCACACTGAAACATTACTCCACCACATTCTCCTCCCCCTGCCCACACTCACACCTTCCGTCTCTAATCATCCGTTTCCTTGCCAATGACCCTCTTAGATTATAATGTAAGACTGTCGATACGTCAGTAAGTAGAGTTTCTCATGCTGAATGAGAACCACTATCACGCGCACACAGCTGTTCACAGGTTGCCTATCTACAGGCGGAACTTTAAACGTTAATAACATTATAATGAAGCCTCGATCAACAAATTGGTATTCTTGATTTGCGTCTTATTTTGGCCCCTAGAATCTCCTATTAAAATTTTCCCAGGGTTGGTCGAACACCCTCTATACAAAATGTCACTTTGCGTAGTTTTCGTGTCACCTTCCTCACAAATGATACCAAAGCGTTCCTCGGATTCTTCCGATTAAAACGAGTCCAAACACGATATAGATCGGACTACTTTTGATCGACAGCATTTATCTATTAACATCTTGAAAATTGTTCGTTTCCCGAAGCTAAAATTTTACGTTTGACATCCATTCCCCTTCCCCCTCCTCTGCAGTAAATTTCAGATCGATCGGCCGCGGGTGCCATTTGGAAGAATATCCGACAATAAACATCGAGGTATTGATAAATGAGTATTCTACTGACTGCAAACTGAGCAGTTCTTCTCGTCGGAGCCGTCTCCACAGCCATCGCGGCCACTGCAAGCAATGGCGTCCGAACGACACCTTCCGTTGTCGCATCTAAACGGGCACTGTCTGGCGGAAATCCTTCCGCGATTTCGAGTCCGACAAGCGCCTCTTGGTTCGTCGCTACCGTCTCGACAGGACACCACGGCATTGCAAAATTCGTACGCTGGCAGACACTGGCCGTTGTTGCATCTAAACGCACCCTCCGGACACCCTGGAAAACGATACGCGATTATTTCGTTTATTCCTATTTTGTTTCACCGCTTCATTCGCCGCGGTAGAAAAAAATACAAAATGGATTCGGCACGTTTCGAAAAATGTTGAAGCATATTCGAAAAAATAAATAATATTAGTTGAAAAAAACCGATGTACAATGTTGGATCGAAACATATTACCTTCGCGGAGGATTCGTTAAAAAATAAATTGCAAAACATCGTAAAACATGAAAGCTTAAGCGATATTTATTCGGTGCGATGAAATTAAAGGCAATAAAAATATTATCCCATCCTTAACACTATGAATCACAGATATGAACAATTGCGTTGCAATAAAAAAATGTTACTTTTAAATTTGTTGCTACGAAAAATTTGTTGAACCCCAACGATGAATCGGTACCATTTTCTTAGACAGATAAAGTCAACAGTTTTAAAGTAACAGTATGTTTAATGCATGATCAGTTGTCGTCATGGTGGCAACACTTTGAAATTCGTTTCCGAGAATTCCGAATGTTTATCTCCATTCATGACAACGCCGACGTGTATGCAAAATATTGATACAGACTCTGAATATACATTCTGTTTATCATTTTATAAAAAGGAAATGACAAAGAATGTCAAGTGTTGCCTTTTTTTGTTACACTTGTTGCGCTTACGATTCTTTGTTAGATTTTTCATATACAGGGTGTTCGGCCACCCCTGAGAAAAATTTTAATTGGGTATTCTAGAAGCCAAAATAAGACGAAAATCAAGAATACCAATTTGTTGATGGAGGCTTCGTTAAAAAGTTATTAACAATTAAATTCAAAAATTTCAAATCGATCTGGAAAAATTATTGTCGGTTGCGGGGGTCAATTACAATCATTTTTATGAATATACATACCCCCGAAATCTTACTCAGTTTCGAGAAAAAAATTCATGTAGTTGAAAGTTTTGGGTAAAAAAAAAGAATTTCGAATCGTCTTGGAAAAATTATTTTTAGTTGCAGGGGTCAATTATAAGCATTTTTGGTCAATAGACATACCCCCGAAATCCTGCGCATTTTCGAGAAAAAAATTCCGCACGGGCGGAACTTTAAACGTTAATAACTTTTTAACGTAGCCTCCATCAACAAATTGGTATTCTTGATTTTCGTCTTATTTTGGCCTCTAGAATCTCCCATTAAAATTTTTCCCAGGGGTGGCTGAATATCCTGTATAAGATTTTAGGATTTATTTGATATTTTAAATAAAATCACAACACAAAATGGCACACACATTATTGATCAAGTAAATTCTATATAAAATTGTCGGTATTTAATGTTCTCATAAAGAAACCTGAACGAACTTATTACACAACCTAATAGTTCGTTCAACGTCTTCGCAAGTCTTTGGTTATAGAAAGCGACTTTCTAGGTCGTCTTTATCGGACAGGTCTGAAATAGATAGACACACAGAAAACAGAAGTCTAAACTTTAGTAATGCAATGAAGTGTGTGCAGAAACAATTAGACAGAATTTGATGATTGCAAGAACAAATTGGAAACAGAAAACTATGAAGCAAGTGTGGGAGGGTATGGAGGGAAACAGGACGTTGTCAGGAGCCCGAAATAAACCCTCCCAGTCTTAATAACGATGATATATATTTTAAATAAATGATATATATTAGTCGGGCGCGCGCGAGTGTACGTGACAATCCTCGTCAAAGTCTTTGCTGTAACTGTCCGATGACCTGGCCTGCTTGGCCTTGCCATCCCTTTGCCGCTTTCCCTTTTCCCGTAAGGAACAAAGCGGCCTACGTCATGGGAAAACCCCTGTACCCTGTCCTCTCTAAGCTAAAGAGGCCCGTTAGCCTCCTACACAAGGACTTTTACTACTAGTTTTACTGCACATTCAGTCAGCAAAATATTTCAACAGAAAAGTAATTCAATGTAATTTACGACATTTGTTAAAACAACAAAGTATAAATATAAAATAATCCCGTATTATTGTTTCGAGTGTTTATATACGTTATCGTTATCAATAATTCGAAGATCAATGTTTTTTATCTTACGCTGAAAGTATTATTATCGTTCAAATATATTATCGCTTGGGATCAAAAGCGATAAAACATGTCTTTGAGATAAGTCATCCACTTGTTAAAGGTAACTCTAAATACTTAGCCATTTCTAATAAAAAATATCTCACGTATCGGTATTAAAAGCGATATAGTAGGATTTCCTTCGCGTCTTAAGGGGCCATTCTACCTTGTAGGCATGAAAAATACGTGTTCCTTTGTGATTTTTTTTTGCGGGTTATTAAAGAGCGATTAATTCCGGATTTTGTAGATACATTTATTATATATTTAGCTATATTTACGAATTTTTGCAACGCATAATATCTATTGATTACGCTGTTTTTGTTGATCATCAAACAACAGTTTTTACGAACGGCACACGACTGCGTAAGTACGTGATATCTTGCGAACAAGTTATTCGAAATCCTAAAACCAACGATATTCTTAATATAGATGAGTGTGGTTATAGCATGAACTAGGATCTTTTCAAAAAAACAAAAAATGGCAAAATGGCAGCTATTTTACGAAAAAATACTGAATATTTTCATATATTTGGTTGCTTTTTTGTTAATAAAAGAAAAAGTATTGCATATATCGCAATTATCCTAGTTCATGCTATAGGGAGACCAGTTCTGAAGATACTGTATAAATTTGATGTTGATATCTTGAATAGTTTTTTAGTTATCACGCACGCAGTGCCGAAAGATGTAGTTTCGAGAAAAACAACTTTAAAGTTTCACGTCTAGTTGTTATACCTACGCGCGGTACATTTCAGCAGGCTATAACTTCGTTAGGTTTCCGAATTTCAATTTAATATTTGGTAGACATATTTTCGAGACTACATATTAAAGGAAAATGCAAAAAAAAAATATCGATTTTTTTAATCCCACAAGGTAGAAAGGCCCCTTAAGGAAAATCTCCCCTCACTGGTGGAGACGAACACCGAATATTTATACCATAGATCAGTTCGGGTATGTAATCAACTTTTGGGCTCTTGTCCACTATCGAAGTAGATACAAAATACTTTGAAACATCTTGTATATCCCTACAACAAGGGTAACGAAATAGCGGCTCTTACTACTTACTTGCTTGGCCCCAATCAAAGAAAAGCGAACCCCTCCACAATCGTTTGGTTATTACGATTGAAAGGAAAGTGCCTACATGCAGCGAGTGGTGACTAAACACGTTGATAGTGGGCAAAATTAGTGTTGCCCGTGACGTGTCAGAAGTTCGTCAGCCCTGCCCTACAACCATACGAGAACTTACTTCGCCTGTTGTTGCAGCCGATTTCGTCCTCGCCGTACGGGCAGTCGCGACTCCCGTCGCACAGCGCCGCTCTCGAAACGCAGATTTTGCTTTTCTCGCAGCGAAACGCCTCCTCGGGGCATTCCAGATCGCGCTCGGTGCACCGTTCGTCCGATCCATCAGCGCAATCTGATCTCCCGTCGCAGACGAAGAACCAGCTGATGCAAACGCCGGAACTTCTGCATTGGAAGGTGCCAGCAGCGCACCCTCTTCTCTTCGCGCCGCAGCTCGAGTTCCCGCGGAATCCGCAGTCGCAAACGCCACCTATACACCTGGAATACGGATCCGCCAATCGGCACTCGAGATCGGAAACGCATTCAATTCCCAAACTGATGGCCGCTGCTGTGCTCGACTCGTGTCGATCCGTCTTTAAAGGTCCTACGAACAAGACAGACAAGATTCATACATTCATATAATCTTGAATACAAATATACACTTGATCAATTTAATTTCACCAATGACAAGACTTGATAAAGAATCTGATTGAACTTCATATTAATTTAAATTATTTACTTACCTAACGTCGAAACAGAGATCGTGCTTAACATTGTCGGGAACTCCGTAATTGCATCGACGATAATGGAGTCGTCATCGTCCGCTTCGTCGATCGGCAATGGCGGCTTGGCTGTCGCGTCCTCGATGATCGGCCCGGTGACCAGGTTCACTGGAATCAGGATAGGTGGTGCGCGTGTCGTCGTGGGCATCGTGTCGTTTTTTAACCAAGAAATTTGAACGCCTACAAAGATCCAATTGGATCGAATCGAAGATCGTTTTCGCACCCTATGAACCTTCTCACGGTTCACATTGTGAACTTCACAGGCGTGGCAACAATGTTTGTAGTTAGGTGAGAACGAAAGGAGGAGTCGAGGTGCAAACTCCATCGCCGATACGGTCGAATGCTTCGAGAATTATGGGTTAGGTAACGGGTGAATCTAACGATTTGCACTTCATTTAATTAACACATTCGTTATCACCGTTAAATTGGAAAACTGTTCCATCAGTAACGATGTTAGATTTGCAGACATTCTATTAGACTTAGCGAATATCTTTAACCTGAGGTTTTACTAATAAATATTACAAGACTCAGCGACCTAAATATTTACCTGTTTCCTCTTGCTGATTCTCGGGTATCGAAGTACGATCATCATCGATCTCGTCGATTTCCAGTGCCATTTCCGTCGAGCTCGAATAGTCTAAATCGTGATCAACGAGAGGTGGAGGTCTGACGAGATCGTCCAGACGGCAGACATCGTTCTCGCGACGCATTGGTGCCGTGCATTGACACCGGCCGAACAAGTCGGGAATCAAAAAGTCGCAGTGAGAATTTTTCTGCCAGAGTCTACAGTGAGCGTGCTCGTAACAAACCTCGCCCAATTTTGCCGCTGAAAATTAACAAATTTATTTTGACTAGTATCGCTAATATCGGAAGAAAGAATGTTTCGATAACCTAAAAATTACTGCACTTACGACCCAGGCACGTGTGCCGACGAAACTGAAGGAACCCATCCTTGCAGCCGCAGAAACCTTCGTAACATCCACTGTTGGCCACTTTCAGGGAACATTGCTCGTCGACGAAACACTCTTGGCCAAGAAGCGTAGCTTTATATCGTGAAACAAACGAATACACGTTACCTAGTGTTTTTTCGATTACTTTCGATTCTCGTCGCGTCGTACAGTGTTCTAAGTGACTGACTTATACTTTTTTACAGTCGGCCGGCGGTTTTAAAACACCGTGCATCCGTGGTCAATTCTCGTGAAACGATCGAAACAAATGCTCACCCTCGATACAGTGCGTCGCGTTGTACGCGGCGAAGTACGGCAAACATCGACAATATCCAAGGTGACATTGTCCACCGGCGATGCTCGACTCGCAGTCTTCGTCCCTGTTACACACATCTCCAAGCCTCGTGCTTCTCGTCATTGGCGAAGATAGGATTGCACCCTGAAACACGTAGAAATACCTTCAACTTCCCCATACCATCTATTAAAGTTGTTTCAGATAAGTATTGTATCGTATTAAAGGGGACATAACGAAAGGTGTTTAATTTTATGTTAACCTTTGTTAGATTCATAGAGATCTCGCGTAGGCTTCGATCAAGCCAAGCTTACCGTCCATCGAGATTCTCACGAGCTGTCGAACAATGCGCGTACAGTTTCGCACGAGAAATCCGTGGCAATGGAAACAGAGAAACGCGGAAGGAAAGGTAAGTGGAGACAGAAGCTCCAGATGATAGCGGAACAACTGTTGTCGGAGAAGAGTAGCGATAATGGCCACGACGAATAGTTCGTTGGGAAGCTGTGAGCAGCTGTGGGCAGCCACGACGAATAGTCCGTTGGGTAGCGATGGGGCTCGAAACTGATCAAATCTCTGACGTAGCGATGGGTTCAAAATCGAACAAATTGGTGACGTCAGATTCGAATTTTATTCTTAGAAAATATATCCAACTTCGAGTGCTTATGATACGAAACATACAGACAACTTAATTTTCAGTCTTTCAGAAATAAAAAATGTATTAACAAATATTATATAAAATTGTCAAAGCAGTACGGCCAATTAAAGCATTACGTCTATTTAACATCACGTACTCAAATACTCGCTCTTGTATTTTCTTTCTTGCTATAGTAAATGAGTAGAAATAAATATAAACAGACGACTGTGTTTTATCCCGGATCTACTGGTCGGACTTATCAATAAGGTTTATGTACCAGATTCTGACATAATTACGACACCATTAATTGTCTGCACGATCTGTTCGAACTAATTATGTACTAATAAACTATCGAGTAATTGCAGAGTGTTGAAACGGTTTGTAGCGTAACGACTATGATACGATCTGCTAGATAAGTCAAATAAATGGGTTCTACTAATGGGTCCTGGACGAATCGTAAACAATATTGTTTTTCATTCGCGTTGAACGTGCCGGTGGTCCCAGATTTGAATCATCTTCGATAATAATAATATGTATGGAATGTGCGAGATCGAATACGATTACTTACGAGTTACGATACGTTTTAATAAAAATTTAAAGTTTAAATTGGAAGTAAAAAATTTAATTTACAATCAATGGTAAGCAGTCGAATACCATCGAAAAAATTCTTTAGCCAATTCTATTCTCTTCTGTTAATTTCACAGTTTTCTTCTAGCAACATGACCGTTGCACCCGTTACTTCGTAGTAGTCTTCAGACTGTTTCGTGGGAAACTTGTTTCTCAGAAATATTTTCAAGTAGGAAGTTTATTCAGGATATAGTTGTCCTCGAAATATTGTTACACTAAACTGTAAATTATTTCCATATAAAAAAAAAAATTTCAAAATGTCCTTTACTATTCCATTATTGTATGCATGTTTAAATGTTCTAGATTTAAGGCGTTGGATTGGTCCAATTGAACTATTGGCGTTGAACGTTTCGAATCGTATCAAGGGATTCGAATGGCCATTGCTATAAGCAAGAGGAGTCGATGATACGAGCGCGTATACATACGCGCGCATTGCGCACCGTTAACCGGTTACCCGTGAGCGCGCGGCTCGCACTTTTGTTCGAAGAAGAGTCGTTGATTCGTTCTTCGCGAGCGACCACGGACAACGATAACGTTCTTCCGATTGTTGCGCGCCTTTTACGTTCTGTCGCGGCTGTTTAATTACAGCCAACGAACCACGACAATGGCAGCCGCGAAGTCGAGCAAGTACACGGTTCCATGGGGGTTCAGCTGCAATGGGAAGCATTCAAACATCGTCAGTTACGATCATGGGACGCCTGGGGGCGCTGGCGTCGTTTCTAACGCACAAAAACACCGATTATTACATAATACAGAGGAAGTCAGCTCCATTGACCTTGACCTTGACCTTGACCTTGAGCATAACCTTAACGTATATTGTAGAGAGCATCCATTTATTCGACCTTCGGAAGATTCTATCCGTCGCTAATCGTTAGTAAGAAAGTCATTAGCACTGGTTACTGTGTAATGTACCAGAAGTCAGTTCGAACAACCTTGACCTTGATCTCGATGCATGTTATAGAGGGCATTCTGTTGTTTACTCTCGAGAAGGTTTTATCGTTGTTTAAATATGCCTATTTTCATATTTACGTGTTAGAAAACTTCATAAAAAAAATATAGCGGCGTAAAACCTGATGACCGGGATAACCAGAAAACAGGACCACCACGTCCAGTTCATTTATATTCAAATCTTGTTTGTAATATTCTGCCCGTATATCTAGCAGAGTATGCTGAGCACCGTCATGTCGAGACCATATCTTCCTCTTCATATTCAATGGAGTACTTTTCAAAAATGTGGGACAAACGGTTATCTAAAATTCTCTATAAACTGCATTCGGTATACATGAAATTGTTTCCAAACAAAGAAAGCAATTTGATATATGTATACTTCTTTGTTTATTTTATTATTTAACAGAATGTCTGGTCTATTGTGACTTATTGCCTCGTCTGTTAGTATCGCTTAGTCCCGGTACAGGGTGTAGATTTTATTTTGAACCACTCTCTCTGATACGTATCTGTAATAAGGAATGTACTCTGTGACTAATTTGCATACTTTTGTTAGCTGCCAGTGTATATTCCCTAGTCAATTATGTTAATGCTTGTGTTATGTCCCATCTATTCCTGCGCATGCACCTGTTACATGTTGAATGCTATCCTATTCCTTATTGCATATTCGCCCATTTTCTTGCATGAATTCCTTTATTATGTATTTCCTGTGATTCCTAGTGTTTATGACTTGGCTAATGGGCCTTATTAGTAAGCCTAATCATATTAATGTGCCTCTAGATTTAAATAAGTGGTCGACAGTATTACAAAGTTACAGTATTAAGGTGCACTTTAGAAAAGCTCATGTTACATTTGCAAACTGGTAAAGTACAATTGCAATTGCTTTCGTGGTGTTACACAATCCTCTTGTCCATTAATATAATCTGACAAGTATTGACTACATGGCTGGAATGTAAGGGGTGGTTTACAAAATTAGCAGCAACAAAGGAAGTATAATTCTCAGTTCGAAACGACGAATGTTGTGAAATTGCAAAATTGGGGAGGGACAGATCGCGACGTTCCCTTGTCGAGCAACGATTTCGAATTTGCACCGACCGCCATGTTTTACGCGACGTTTGCTCGCTTCACGGGAATCTCCGTGACTCCCTCGTCATTATCCGCTGGGTTATCGGCACTAGAATCGTTAACGAGCCCCCACCCTCTCTGCACACGCCAAACCCCCCATTATCCCGTTTCCGTAGACATGAATTCCCGTTGGATCTTCCCGTTGTTGCGTTAGATCTGCGCGCGATCGTTCGAGTTTCGCGTAAATAAAACTATCGATCGCAGATCTCCCGTAACCGAGAATCGAGATTCGACTAGTTCAATTTTAAAGGTTTAACCCGCCATTTTCACACCTCTAACAAGGGAAGGACACGAATTGTCCAACTTCGATTTTAAACGTGATTTTGCAGAATGATAGTATATGTTTTTAACAATAGTTTTTAAGATAAAAATAATTGAAATTATACATCATCAAACATTTTGGGATTTCCGATTTACCGGGGAAAAAAATTAATCGCTATCTCGATAATTTATAAAACACTTTGTAAGTGTAAGTGTATACGCTCGTAAGTGTATGCACACATCTGTGACGAACATAAACCACTTGAGAATGACTTTCGATCGTTGACAAAGAAAATAAATATTTATGAAGCGACTAGTTAGAAATATTGAAAAAATGGGTTATTTTGAAGCAAACTGATGTCAGCACAAATAGAAACCGAATCGGGACCAAAAGTATATACTTACATTGGATATTATATACAATGTATTATACAATATATAATTTTGATGTATCTTCAGGACCACAGAATCACTTTAATAATTTTAGAATAATTAACTACATGCATTTAAATTATACATATAAATTATAAATATGTATATAATTTCTCAGAATTTCTTACCTAAATACATATATAATTTTGATCCGTTTTCTTGGCCATAGAATTATATTAATCATTTTCATACGGCTGACTAAACCTCGACACAAAAAAAATTGTAAATCGTCACTCGAATATATTAAGATCGCCTCGCACGCCACAAGAATTAAAATAAAAAAAATGAAATACTCGAGACGGCATTAATTTGTTTCGTAGAAAATTGTCAATATCCTAGAGAATGCAATCACTGTTTGAGGAAGGGAACGATTGTTCGCACTCACCAAACAATTGCACGCGACGCACAGAAGTAGAATCGTTCCACGATTCCCGCGCATGGTTCCTGCGCGAATAGATCGCTCCGTTATCCTTCGCCCTTCTGTACGGTCGACGATCGGCGAACGAACGAGATCGGTGCGTTTTTTTTTTCTTTTTTTACAAATTAAAATTTCGATTCGACTTCGATTCGAAAGATGCGCGCGAACGTGTGCGATCGTCGTGCGCGATGTATCGGCGCGTACTACGGGATGACTGAAAGCAAACTGAACGGACCCCCCGTTCACGAACGATGGAAAAGCGGACACAACCGCGTTCCCTCGGTCTTCCCCCTCCTTACCGCGGTCTCAGGGTCTTGGTCTCGCTCTGGATTTCTTCCGTCAAATTATTCTCCCTTCCGCAACCGTGTAACGTCTTCCGAGTTACGTTTCACAGAGTTGGGCACATTTTTATCTAGACGAACGGCGAATTTGACGCGTTCATTGCCAGTCCAACACCGTCAAAGTTTCTGCGAGACGAATATTTCGATTTCGGACAATCATAACCTAAAATTTGTCTTCGTATCTGTTTTTGTTTCACTAAAATTCTTACAGTTCTTCTTCTTATCGTCATTATTACCATTGTTGTTGTTTCAAACTAAACAAAATCATCATTCAACCTAGTACACTGGAAAGGCCCTATGGAAAACATATAATTTTGGAACGTTTATCGTAATGATTAACGATCTTATAAATAAGAAGTTGACTTTATAACCTAAAATTTATCTCCGTATCTAGTTTTGTACCTTCACTAAAATTCTTGCAGTTCTTCCTGTCATTGTCGTTGCTGTTTTTCTTTTTCTTCTTATCGTCATTATTACCATTGTTGTTGTTTCAAACCAAACAAAATCATCATTCAACCTAGTACACTGGAAAGGCCCTATGGAAAACATATTATTTTGGAACGTTTATCGTAATGGTCGACGATTTTAAAAATAAGAAGTTGACTTTATAACCTAAAATTTATCTCCGTATCTATTTTTGTACCTTCACTAAAATTCTTACAATTCTTCCTGTCATTGTCGTTGCTGTTTTTCTTTTTCTTCTTATCGTCATTATTACCATTGCTGTTTCAAACCAAACAAAATCATCATTCAACCAAGTACACTGGAAAGGCCCTATGGAAAACATATAATTTCGGAACGTTTATCGTAATGATTAACGATCTTAAAAATAAAGAGTCGACATTGTATTTTTAATTTTCAATGCATATTTGACCGGTGTCGGATCGACTCGAAATGGTGGTTAATTCATCGGCCGAGCGATCGTTCGAACCGCAAAATGAAGGAACTTATGCTGCACCTTCCTCGATTCGGTTAATATGCGTAACACGATGCGGTGACTAGCGATCGGACCGATACGTTGGGTATCGATGATACTTAAGCAATTCGATATTAAAGTACTCGGCGAAAAGTGTCGACAGGTATCAAAAGTTGTGGTTGTTGGTGTCAAAGGTTTCATACCAATACCATTTAATACCGAATAGATATCAATATCATAACACGTTGACTATCAATATTTTCTACCGGACCAAGATTTCAATCTTAAATAATAGTACATTACGTAACATGAAATTTGCCTTAGTACTTATTTTTGTAACCTCGCTGCCATTCATGAATCCTAACCAAATTTATTTCTTTTAACGTTTCAACTTAAGAATTAATTTGTTTAGTTCCATAGAGGAAAATCCTATCACCCATACTTGAGAAGGAATTGGGTCAACGAATAATAAGTTATTATAGTGGTTTTCGAGTAAGTGGGTTATTGAAATCGTGACAATCTCGGCTGATAATACCAAGCAATCTACTTGCTTTGATGGCAATATTGCTGATGTGCAGGGAATAAGACAAGCGATCATCGTAGGTCACTCGCAGGTCATAGGCGTTATTGATGGTAGAAAGCTGGTTGAGCATGTAAGGATACGTAATTATCTGCTGATTGTCGAGATAGCGAATTATATTCCATTACTAGAATAACGAATAATGCTTCATCCGGACCAGTGGTAGCCAAAAAAAATGTTAACAGATTTCTCTGATGTCCATACTGTTTTGCGATAATACGTAGCTACTTTACGACGTTTCTTCGCCCTCTCAAGCTCGAGCAAATGTCTATCGATAGTCGTTAATCTTCGCAGGCAATTAGTTAACTGTTTCCATTTCAAATTAATTCTTCGAAAGACCTCGATCCAAGTTAATAAGCCTTCATTGTTTTCGAGACTATTGTTTCCGGTCTAGGACTTGCAAAACCAACTTACGGTTATTGACCTCGCGCCATTAGCTTTGCAAATGTTTTCGGCGGCTTCTATAGCCGGATGACCCAGTTTAAAACTTATAAACATCCAGTGGCGCGAGTACATTTTTTCTATAGTCCATTTTCCACCTGAAGAAACTTGCTATTACATTAATAGTCGGATAGCGGATGGTCAACCGACGGAGTTGTGTCACTTCTGAACCATGTTTATGGGCTTCTTAGGCGACATAGCATGAACTTTAACAGATTTCTATTCCTCTATTAAAATACATAAATGATCATAAACGTTAATAACATAAGATACATAAGTGACCTTAAATATGTCAATTCTTCCTAAATTAACTCTTACCTAGGTCCTCCTAATGTTATCTTCAATTTTAGATCGCGTACAATTAGTATGCAATGACAAATTTTGGAGGCGAAAATGTTTTGTATTATTTATTTATCCTACATGCCTTCTGTGGCGATACAACGATTTACACGGTCCACAATTGTCTCAAATGACTGCGCTATGTCCTTTTGTGCAGTACCTTTGACGATACTAGTCACGGCCTTTCGAATGTCTGGAATATTGTCATAACACCTTTCATGGTCCTCTCGCTTTGTTTGCAGATTGTACTGAGAAGACCATGTCCCATCACCAGTAACAATTGATTCCGTAGCGCATCACTAAAATCGTCGTTCGATATAAATGTTCACATCGGTACAAGATTTCCCGTCGAACGTCTCATAAATAAAGCACCGATAATAGGTTAATGGCGGCTGATCCTCGTTTAGTTGTACTGCTCGATGCATATACCGTTTTTCCTTTACAGCGTACCGGAGTCGTTATTATTGTTATTGCTATCTAGTCTCGTAGGTCGACCTATCGTGACCTTGAGCAGCGTAGGGACGCGCGAAGGGGAAGCAGGAGGAAGAAGGAAGAGGCACGAAAAGCGCCGCCGCCGGGCATAGAATTCGGCTCACGCGCTACCTGCTTCGAAATTCATTGGTATTCCAGCGTGGCGCTCGTTGACGCGACCTCAACACCTTCTTCTCCTCCCCTTTTGCCGCCCAATCCCCTCCCCCCTCTCCCTTCCACCCCTGCGCCACCGCGACAACCACCCATGCTTCTGCGGTCGGTGCATCGTTGCGTGCGGCATTGCCACGCGGGCATCTCGAAACGTCGTGTACGAACAAACGGTACCTCGGTGGACCGTTTCGACGGCGGGGTGATTTCCCAACCCGTCCCGCCCGTTTGACCCCGCGCTCGAGAGACGACGACCGCGTCGTTTCCGGTCCTACTGCTTACGCCCATAGATGGAGCGAAGCCCCGTCCGTGTGTTACGACGCGTAAGTAAATTATTAGCTGAGAAACTCTCGTGGCAAAGAGACCAAAAGAAATTTAGCCCCTTGCGCTTCGGGACCGTTTTAACGTTTCGTTCCACCCACTGATCGAAAGACATTTCGAATAAAAATTGTACGATTACTAGTTTCGCGCTAAGGAGAAAGGAACACTTGACTCGACCCGGTCGAATGTCTTGTCGACGGCAAGAAAATGAAAAATTAATGCGAAATTACCCCATTGTGGGATGAGGATTTCGGGGGAAGGAGGGTAATTAGGCGGAATGAATAGCCTACCCCGCCATGGAATGTCAAAGCCCTGTCACACGAATGTTTTGGAAACGTGCAAATACAATTTATCACACACCATTTTTGTATATCTACATCTAACAGGATTGTACAACATTGTATTCAAATTATCTAATATGGAAGCAGAGTTAAAGTGTTAATGTACAAAATTAACTTGAAAAAGAAACGATTTAAACGTTGAAAAGTTTACTAGATATGTACCTTCTATTTACAAAAGCTTTTGCGGTTCGATACCTGTGACAAGCTGATCGTCGATCGACGTGCAGTAACGACAATCGATCGTTAATTCTCAGCCATCTGGCGGTTGTTTTTGGTAGATTGACAAGGAGGTCGCTGCGAACGAACAGTGAAAAACGGGAAGCGGGAAGCGAGAAGGGAATAGGCGCTCGAGTAACAGGAAGTGGCGCGATGAACTGCGTCGGAATGTAAATTGAGGATCAACCAAGCTTCGAACAAAAGAAGAGCCACAGACGCGAGAAACGCCGAGGGACGCCTCGAGCGCGAGGTAAAGGACCCGCGCGGAAATACTGTATAACCATAAAAGGACCGGGATAAAAACCAAACAGCGTCTTCATCGACGGTAGCGCCTTAACCCCACAAAGCACGTATCGGCACGCGTCACCGTAGCGAAATTCTTCGATACGGTTCGATACGGTTCGATACAGTTCGATTCGTAACGATTTGTCTCGATTCGCGATGCGTTGCATCGTTGGTCTTCTATTCCTTTAACCTGTTCTCTCCCATTGTACCTTTTCGAAGTCTCGCGCGAGCAGAATGATATTTTCCACGGTTTGTCGAAGACGAGCTGAAAGAATCGCGACATCATGGCAATGATAAAACTGATCTATCATTCACCAAGATTCCGTATAACTCTCTTTGGAGCTATTTATTTCTTTCGCTTTAACGTTTTCTTTAACATTTGATTGCTTATTATCTTCGAGATTAGGTTCGAATCTGTGAATAGGAAAATTTAACAAGTTCAAATATGTAGAAAGTAGAGAGAATCGATGAAGTGCTAGATGAGAATTAAATTAGCCTGCGATTCATTTATTTATGACATGCTTGAAAGTATAAACCGAATTCGAAACGATTGTTGTAAAGATCATTATCGCTGTTGCATACATATTGTAGGTATACATATGTACGTTATTACAATATTCAGTCTTGTGAAGCGATACAACGAAAAATTTAGTTTCACCCGGATGTCGAGCAGACGCATTGAATGGGACAAGGCCTAGAATGCATTTGCAATTTAGTTTTCCATCGACAAATTTGAATAGGAAATTAGTATCGCTCCACCTGCTGTAAGAAACTATTCACTTTTATATTTGCAAAAGAAGTAACACTAATTATAGTTTAAATAAAAGAATACGATTTATCTTAAGTGGTGCAAATCCAAAGATAATAAATTTCTCTCAGATCCAGAGAGATCTCGACACTGATCTCTATATAGATCTCTATGTAGATCAGTTTTTACGTATTGTCGAGCTATACGAATTTTTTCAAGTATAAATAATAGATTTTATTGAAACAATACATCGTTACAATGTACTACGAAGCTTGTGTACAAAGTTGATCTGATAACTCTTGTCGACTTTGAAATTTCGAAACTATTCCTATCAAAGGTGTGAAAATACCGCGATAGAAATAGCGTTAAAAAATGATCTTAAGGAAAAAATAAAAATAGTCACCGGCAGGATACAACGAACAGCAGTCATGGGTGACCATAGTCACCGTTAGCATCGAAATAGTTAATGTTTGAACAAGGGTTATTTATTTCGGCATACGACACTGATAATATGTGTTTCGTGTACGTGGACTATCAAATGTTGAGTAACGAATTCGAAAACGAGACGTGTAACAGTTTAGAAAGTAAATTGGAACGAAATAAGATGGAAAACATGGACGTTGAGGTATTGCAAAGCGTTGTTGAGTGATGCATAAGGAACTTATTGCATGTCACGCAGTTATTTATTCTCGAATACGATTACATTTCACGATACATTGAATCGTTACTTTGCAATTTCTCGCTTTAACGTAGTTTCAGACTAGGTCGATTCAAACGGGAATAGTTACAGAATGTGAACGCATACGTTTCCGTATTCGTTTTCACAATCATACTCTGGGAGAACAAGATAAAAGGATGAACGTCATTCGCAACGAATCATTTCACTAGTGATTAATTACGGGACGCACGAGTATGTAAGGATGTCCGGAACGTTTCGATATCTTTCCTAATTTATCTCTTACACTCTGGATGCGTCCCGATTATGAATGCTTATCTATCAAAGTATCTGCAAATTATGCTCTAACGACGATAAGTCTACGCCTCCGTTCCGTAGCTCGTTATCCTCTTGGAATTAATTAAGTCCCGCTTACTAATTTCATCACACGATTATTTGCATCCTTCTACCTTTCCTTCGGGAAGCACACTGTCGACAATGTCGACTTCGCGATCCCAGACTTTACTGTACTTTTTATCCAGCGAGGAGACTGTAAATAAGATCACGTGATTTGCGGAAGAATCTCATTGGTTAGTCGTGCACCTCCGACCAGGAGTGTATCATAGATCCGACGGTGAATAAAAACTACACTTTATTCATTGATAAATATAATTTAAATCTATGTTTTTCTATATTATTTTATTTGATTTCTTTATACAACAATAACTTTCAAATAAGGCCCTAAACGACATAAATAATAACTTGTATCTTCTGTTGGTTCCGTATGTAATCGGAACACAGTGCCCCACAATTTCGATCCTGCCACCCAGTCACGTGATTTTATTCGACACTTCTCGCCGAATGAAATGTAAAGTTTAGTCTTGAAAATTTTATTATTTCAAGTTTAGTGAAATAATCGTGTTTAAATATAATTATGATATTTTATATTATAATCTCTCATTCTATGTAAGTAAATGTATGGGATGTAATACTGACAAATCGTCTTTCTCTGAGAACCATTGTTTCAAAAGTTGTTCTATGCTCTCTGTGCTCTCCTATAATTAATTGCAGATAATTTATGTAAACAATGCTAGGATAAAGTAAAAATACCATTGCGCGTTCTAAACTTGCCTCATTTGTATTTGCATCGGACACGTTTAATTCCTTTTTTAGACGAATCGTGTCTAAAATCCAAATATGTGCGGATTTGTGAACAATCCATAAATTAGGGGATAGTAACCCAACAATAAAATTGGCATTATTACACACTTTTCTGTAATATTTATATAAAATATTAAATAACGATAAATAGTTTCATATATGTAGATATAATAACTTCGGTCACTTACTCGTTCAGAAAACCTTCAGTTACTTTTTTCAAATCCATGTCCCAGGGTACAATGGTTCTCATTAACAAATTGTGTTTATTCGGAATATTCATTGCATTCATTTTTTCCAATATTTTTTTTAACCTTTTATTAGTGTTACAATTTTTAGCATTTATTTCATTCTCTTCGATATCCTCCTTTTCTTTATTATCCTCTACTTTTTCATCCTGTGCGAGATCTCTGTAATAACCGCGTTCTTCGGATGATAATTTTTTCCAAAGATTAATTAACGCGTACGCAATTTGAGATGCTGTCAGAGCGGGATTCTTCTTTACGACTAAAAATTAAAAGTACCGATTACACACGTCGACTTCTTGTACGTATTATGCACAACGAATTAAAATATTCAATCAATTTACTTTTTGATTTCATATGATTAGAAAATTTAATGAAGCCCTCGCAAGTATTTCCATGGGTTTCACTTTCCAACGATTTATTGGACTCTTTATCGATGTAAGGTTGTACATCCGTACCTCCCTAATAAAATTAATTTTCCTACTTCATAATGTTCTTATAATCGAATTCATTTCGCAGTTTTACCTTTATACCAGGCACATGTCCCTTGCTCCATTCTTTTAATGTAACACGCTTTGTTGAAACCGATTTATTTTTCTTTGACTGCAAAACATGCGCGTTCGCGCTTTCTATCTTGTTTTCTTTATCGCTTGTATCTTCCGGCTTAGTCTCTGTGCTACGTGTCGCTAGTACATCTTCAAAATTAAAATCTTCACCTAAATCGACGATAGGTAATTGATTGAATGAATCAGAATGTGGAGTTAATTCAAATGGGGCACTATCGTCTGTGTCTTTCTTTGTATTTTTGTCGCTGCAAAAGATAAGAATATATTAAAAATTGTTATACTTGATGTATAATGCTTGAGATACTTACTTCGGATCATTCGAAATATCATTATCATCACCACAAAGTAATGCGAAGTTATGCGAATTATTCGAATCTGTATCGCTCAAATTCAAAGCTGGTAATGCAACATTAAAATTTTCTGAGATTTCCATGCAACTATTACCACTCTCTTTTTCATCATTTTTCTCATTTTTAACAATTTGCGCTTCTCCGTTATCTTTGGAATTACTATTAGCGGCATGACATAGATCTTTAACTATATTATCATCAGACTTTTGAGATGTGCACATGTATTCATTGATCCGTTTATTATCACGTTTTTCTGTGCATAATTTTCTTTTTTTAGACGCGGGTCGCTCAGTTTTTTCGTCATTATTACTCATCATTTGTGAAAATTTTTGATAATCGTTAAGCGATTCGTTGAAAACGTTTTCTTCTTGTTCTTCTCTTTGCATTCCATAAAAATCTGTTATATATTTATCCAGTGTATCAAAAACCACTTTCTGTACATACAATACACGTTATACATAAATTTCAAATTTGAGTTACAATTAATTTCACTGAAAGTTGAATTACCTGGTCTTTAAAAAGTATGGAATTCTTATTCGGCTCTAGATTAACATCAATATTTGCTGCATTTATTAAAATGTACAAAATAAATATTGGCTTCTTTGATGGTGAATCCAATGCTTCTGATATCGATTTAGTTATTATCTAAAAATAAGTTCTAAATTTCTTGTAATTGCATTATTTAATTCCAATAAAAGTGAAAAAAAATGTACCTTCTCTAATTCTTTGTCTTTAATAGGCCTGTTGTTTACAAAAATATATTGAGCTCCTGACTGAAACACTTCCAACATATTCTGTGTTTCTTTTTTAGGTACCATTAATTTCATATTAAACTAAAAAATATAATTTAGAAAATTAATATTTTTAATCGCATTGTATAACTGTAATTCATATAATTACCTCAGTACTTTCAACATTTATCCAAGACATATTAGATGTCACTTTTTTACCTAAAGTGTATGTCACAGCTTCTTCGAGAGTAGTTGTACTAGGTTTCACAAAAATAATATTACTATCTACTTTGTAACTCATCCGTATTGAAAATTTACAAATTCCGTAACTCTTGATTAAGGATTCTAATATTTTTATGTCTCGATTAGCTTTCTTTGAATTAGTAATTATCTGTCTTCGAACTGGTACTTGTTTAAATAATTGCCTGACTTGAACAGTTGTCCCTAAATGAATAAAATATTTTCAAAAAATAAACAAATAAAACAGTTTCATTTTTTTTCATACCAGTAGCTCTGTGACAGGATTCAGACTTTACAATATGTCCAGAATGATCTATAGTATATGATTGGGCTACTTCTTCTTCTTCTGTTTTTGTTATAATTGTGAGATCCGATACAGCACTCAAAGCATACAATGCTTCACCTCGGAATCCATATGTCTCTAATGTATCTATCGATAATATAAATATAACAGTTAGAAAATTATACAGAGTATTGTTTTATTAGTATTCCTTCAGAGTATAATAACTATTTACCTAAATCAGAAAAGTCACATATTTTGGATGTATAAGATTGTAAAGCCATGTTAGGTACATCTCGTTTGGCAATACCACAGCCATCATCCTTTACTTCTATCAAAGCAACACCGTTTTCTGTCTAATGATAGAGGTATGAATTTCATATTAAAACGACCGAAATTAGAGATGCAATAACAAAAAATAACACGTAAAAGGCAATACACGATTGTAAAATACGAAAACAGAGTAGAAAATACCAAATTGATCTCGATGTTTTTGGCATTGGCATCCAGCGCATTTTCTATTAATTCTTTCGCTGCATTAGATACCGAAGTTATTATTTGTGAGGTGGTTAGAAGTTTTGTCGTATCTTTATCTAAGGCGGAAATACTCATTTTCATGAAACATTAAATTTTTCGGCATCCAATTCTTCGTTCACAGTACTAAACTACTTTAATTATTTAACATTAATTTTGAAAAATGTTACGTTCAACCAGGGTCGTCAGTAGAATTGGCAATTCAGACAAATTCCGACCGCGACCTTACCACTCGTTTCACACCCCCAAAATCGTCCACGAAGTTCTTATTCCCCTACTTTTCTCTTCATCACGTGTATAATTGTATATTCTCTACTAGGGAGTGCTGGAGAGGAAACCGACACACAATGGTTTGGATATTCAAACACACGAATTAACTTAATAGTGTTATTAGTCGTACATTGTTCGTTATGAATGAAACGGGTTTAGGGGTTGTTTGAGTCGTAAAATTTGATTTTGATATTTTTTTTGTTACTGAGGAATAAGGAATTGCTCTGATATGCGTGTTCAATTTTCTGGATCGTTAAATTTCCATCAAAATCCAACGACACAATATGTACAGAATGTTATAGGTTAGCTTCACATCTTTATTATATTAATTGACAAGTCTGTGTTATTAATACTAATAATTGCATTTAACGAATTTATACGTATAAAATAGGATTTGTTATAGTCCTTCGATGATAGGTTTAGTAATTGCCACACATTCTCCCATAAAAACTGAAGCCTCACGATACATGTTATTGGTAGAGAATAATTTAAACCGAGAAAAAATACACTTATCCCTGTGAATAGTCCTTGTTTAATTTTAGATCTATCTGTGAGTATCCAGACATAGTTTAAATAAATCAAATTCAGAATTAGTAGATCTAGATTTTTATAGTTGTTTTCCAAAAATAATATTGAACTTAAATTGAGACAGTATAATTGTAGTACTGGGGATATTATTATACAGGCATAATATCATTCTTATAAATCAAGTCTTCAGAGTCAAGAGTATCTGTTATATTTTTTGGTAAAAGTACTAAAAGTGCTAATAGTAAAAGGTGTTGTATAGTGACATCTTTTTTTCATTAGTACAATTATCCCCTATAATACACCAATTTGGTAATGTTGCATACATGGATAATTAAGAAACAAGACTTGTTTTCATTCCAAAATATTGTTAATAGAATGTCACAGGCGTTAGGAATCTCTTCTCCTAACATAGTTTCAGGTTATAAACGAATGGCACTCAGGTTATTTACTTGAAAATATTTCACTATATTTTGTAATTAAAAAGTCAATCAACATTTCTCATTCATAACCATGTTCTTAACTTTCCTCTTCAAGTAATTCTTGTGTCTCGTTCTGCTATGCATTGGCAACCCTGTATCCACTATAACATTAACATAACAATTATGCGTTTTATTTATATTTTGCCGTCAACTTTTCAACTAATTTAACATATGCTTCTTTTGCATCGTTTTGCGACATGTCCTCCTTCGACTTCCACGCGTCCCATTTCGCTTTTGCCTTCAATTCCAACATACCGGGTCTAGCTGTAATTTTTTAAAATAATGTTTAATCTTTTTCACAAGCATAAGTGCGTATTTGCTTATTATATTCGAAACTAATATTTTAATATAGTCGATAGTTTTAAATATAAAGCATCTACGAGCATACGTCCAGAGAAAAATTATTTTTTATTCATGGTCCGAAATTTTGATTTCAAGTTTGACCATTCAATCCGTAAACATCCTGTACAATATGTTAATTGTAATAAATATTAAATATTTAAATGTAATCACCGATTGATTTATATTTTTATAAATACATCGGGACAACTGACAAGCGAAAGTATACATATGTATAACGAATTGTAAACGAATGGTTTAAGAAAAAAAACTTTAGTATCATTTCTATAAATAGAATAGTGGCTAAAGTTAGTCTTGAAAATATATTTCTTTTCAAACACAGGACGAAATGGGTAACTTACACGTATTGACGTTGCCCTCGGTCGCTTGTTTATACAATCCGTAAAGTTCTAAAAATTCTTGGTCTGTGGGACGTTTAGTGAGAAGTTTCACACCGTCCACTGCTGTCTGGAATTTCTGCAAAACGGTAACAGTCGTAATGTTATAAAGCTATATTGTTTATATATCTACAGATAAGTATTATTTTATTACAGTTCAGACTTTATTCATAATTTTGTATGCACGCTCGCAATTAACATTTTGACCTTTCAGTCAGAATGACTATGCAAAACGTGTAAATCTCCATTCGTATGATATATGTACATATATTGTTATTACAATCGAATACAATCAGTAAGTCGTTTTCTGTAGAAATTCGTTCTTATTTTTTTGCTGATCGATGTTCACGACGGTAATCGATAACATGGTGTTTAAAGATTACCGTTCAGATTACAGTCTTATCAGCGGTTGTATTCCCGAACGTTACAAATACTGTATGCATTTATGCTGTATACACCTTTATTCAAATAACAATTAAATAAATTCTGTTATAATTTTATTTATATAATAACGAAGAAACACGAAAAATATTAGTACAATAAATATAAACGTATTCGAATTCTAAAAATTACAAATACTCTGATGGTATTAACCGACTGTTTATAAAATGGGAAACTTTTATAAATAATTGAGATTGTACAATTTATTGAGTATAATTCGGTATTTTGTTTAAATATAATCGAACTTGTTTGTGTTACCATGCTATAATCAATTATATTTGTTCGAACTTGAGTAAATAATATAGACCGATTTCATCATGAATGATCGTCGTTTTTATACTTTTTGTACGATAGCGTGATTGATTAAAAACATACGATTCACGAAAAACAAACGAATAACGTCAATTTACCTCATTGACAGACATCTTTCACAGCAGTTGTTTTGCAGCGTTCGCTTAATCACTACTGACCAACGGAGCTTACTATGCATCGACTAAATAGCCGTCTCCGGAAGAAGTTCTTCCATCTCCATCCCCACTCCTTCGCAAACGTTCAGTATACACTGCGTGTACAAAAAACAAAGTATCTTACTTATCAATTTTTTAATGTTTAACGTTCAACTCTCCGATAGAACGGTCTGTAGCATACTTCAGAAATGTTTACGAAGCTACCAATGCGAAGGTGATCCCGTTATTGTATAAGACCTAGCAGAGGGGAGCGCATGACTCATACACGGATTTTAATGTGTTTTCATAGACAGATAAAAATCAAGGTATAATTTTTATTCAGCCGTTTATTAAGATATTTAATGGTTTATGAAACATTAAACGATGATCATAATTAATTCACTCGTTCGTTAAATATTTATGATATCACGATTTTTTCAAGTAGGACAACGGCCTGCGGTTATGGTTGAAGTCCCCACCCGTGCCCCCCCTCTCCCTTCACCCCTCTCCGACGCGCCAGATTCCTGCTATTTACATTTTGGTTGAATTTTTATGGAAAATAATATTACACAATCGATATCTTGGTATTTGAACTACTCTTGTTTCACGGAGGAAATTACTTAAATTAATGAAACTTCATACAGTGTATCGCGAAATCGAACACCAGTGTAGTTTTGTTAATTACGCACTGTAACTTAATGAAACATACAACGAACGGAAGAATGTTTCATGCTATGTTATTAAGGATTAATATTTTTTTTGTATAATCAACGTCCATATGCTGCCATTCTCCTATAAAGTGATCGGTTAAGACAACCTGTATGTAAATTAATGAATTTGTAGCAAACAAGATATATAATATATTTTTATAACGAATTAAATTTAATCAGTTTTTAGACATTTCTAAGTTATGAATAATATATGTTTTGCTGTAATTAACGCTTGCACTTGTTACCTAACAGCTTTATATAATGTCAGAAAAGATTTTCTACTTGTAAAATAAATAGAACTGAAAAACCTAATGACGGTCATTGCAGGCTGTATACACAGAGTGGAACATTTAGAACAGGCTGCTTGAATAACTCGTTTACTATAAAAGATAGAAAAGAATATTTGAGGTAAAGGTTGTTTGATTTCACAAGGATATAGTGTAATAACTAAATTTATACTAATCAAGATGCCATTTTGCCTTTTTGCTATAAATTAATAGAACAGTCAAACCATTTTTTTATACCTACATTCAGCCATACGTAGCATACGTAATTTTCATTATTTTAAGTTTTCTTTTGCAAAAAATATCCAAAAGAGGCTTAAAATTTACCTTCTAGAATGGACTGAATGTGCAATGCATCGGTCTACTTTTGAAAAAGATCTTCGTCGAAGATACGAATTCTGTTGGTCCGGCTCAGCTGCTAGAGACCAGAACGATGGATGCTTCGGAGAGAGAATGGGGCCAACGTGCCACATCATCGCAAGACTCACCTGCGTAGGAATGTAGGAATTCTCGAGCAGGGACGATCGGTTCAACCGTAAGCGACTCGAGCTCCATCTTGGTGGAGCGGTAAAACGAATGTTTTGAACGTTTGAAAGTTCGAAGTCTTCTACCGGTTCTCATCAGTTCGAGTTGGAACAGTGACGTCTATCTAATGAAATGGTGCGCTCGTATAACAATATTACATAAACGAGTTTATAATCTGTTAACATGTACTTTCTTTAATTGTATGTTTTATTCACATCCTAATATCTTCGTTATTTTTAGAAGAATTAGGAGACGAACAAAAACATAAATGATCGAAACGTTTAACAAGCGTACTAAACCATACCAAACGTTTAATAAACATACTTGTAATAGATTATCCTGTATATTACGTATTACAATTTATACTAATATCTATATTTAATTTAGAAAAGAATGTAAACTGTTTATCCATCCATATCCCTTTTCTATTTTTCCTTAATCTCTCTGAACCTGCACTAATGGGGACAGGAAAGTTTCACGATTCTTGCGCTTAATTTTCGACCAAGCGGACCTGTCCTCGACCACCTGACGAACTCCGGCTTCGCGCAACACGGGAATCCCAGATTCTCAGGGCCGTCTTCGAGAATGCGTCTGAAAATACCGTCCGCTTACTCTGAATTTCGTGAATGGTTTTATATCTTTAATAGCAGACGTCGCTTTAACCAAGACTAGAAAGAAAAACAGAAAAAGAAACGTTGCAAAACTAAAACATGGTACGTGCGACTATGCGTGACACGAGCAATATATCGTTCTGGGAAAAGTATGAGAAAGGCAGGGAGAAATCAACAGAAGAATGCGGAATTACTTCAAACGATTCAGAACTCGTAGACGCATCAAGAACGACCAATCTAACGAACCGTTCTGTATTACGTATAAGGATTACATAGCATATATCCGTATCTCTTTCACTCTTAAACGGTTATGCACCATCTCCACTAGACGACTGACATCAATCAATTTCATATTTAGAGAGGTTATAGGTTCTGCCGCGCTCGAATCGGGTAAACGTAACTTTGTGTATAATCGAAATACAGACATAACATAACTATCGATTGAAATTGTAATCTCGTCTATTATTAATAGGTAATTTATGATCGTACAACGAAAGTAAAACGAACGAAAATTCTCTCCATGTCGGTCGAACGCGCGAATGTGTGAAAGTTGAAAACTGAAGGGTGAACGATGGCGGGGAGTACGTCAGTGGTCGGACGAGCAGCGACGAAAATTGACGAAGACGACCGAATGCTGTACGCGGGACCCGTGGCCACCGGAGGCAGAGCAAATCGCTTTAAAAATTCAACGAGTACGCTTGATTTGTCATTCGATCGTCTCGATCGGATTCGACGCGAGGACAGTGCGTGTTTTACAGCACGTCGATCGTCACGCGGTCGCGATTCTCGATCAACGGAGTGTATAGTCGAGGCACGTGCGGACAGGTCTCGTAAACGCAACAAATATTTAATCGTGGACATCCTGATCGTGTCAAAGTTTGGTTTGTCAAGTGTTGTGCAAGTTTTATAAACATTGAATAAGTAAACAAAAAGTCAGGGTTTTTTCTTATTTACATTTCAATGTCCAATGATGAATGCCAAACAAATGTTTTTTTGGCTGTTAGCACAAGCTATACATAACATGCGTTTATTTTGAAACACTTTCAACGGTTCGATTGGGGAGAAAAAGAATTTGTTATTTACATAGAAAGTTAATACAAACAATTGAGTAGAATTTGCAGGAATTATTATCGTGTCCTCCCACTTAAGGATTTGTACAATTTCGTGGTCTTTTTCTACGAAAGTAAGATTAACTTTGTCAAGTATTTATAACCTACTTTTTATCACTTTTTATCTTAAAACATTCGAAATCCCCGGTAGCTGTCAAAAGGTTTGCACTTCTGAACTCACAAGACCCACAAGCTGCATCATCAGCTAACCTAGCAAGATGTTGAATGATTCATAGGCTGAGTTATCAGCCACGAATGTGTTAACCTAATTTATGTTCAACCACATTGTTTACAATTCGTCAAATACTATACTGTGAATTGTTCAAAGTGCTACGCAACCTCTTTGTACGTATATTGAACCTTCAAGAATACGTCAGATTGCGTACATTGGATGTTTCAAAATAAAGAATGAAGTTAACCTTCTCGTGTCACGAAAATAATCGAAAGTTTGTCGGACACGGAACGGATCGACCGTGAACAATGTCAACGCGATAATGAAAATATTTTCGCCGTTTCAGCTGCGTTTACCGTTCATTTCATAAACCACGGAATTTCGTACAACGTGACGTGACTGCGTAACTATTCGCAACGGATTATACGAGACAGCTTTCCGCGAACGGGTTGCCTGTCACGATGAGCGAACGGTCCATGACAATAGCTAACTGCACTTATCGAACACGATTCCCGCGGTATTCAAGATCGAGTATTATGTTTCGTCATAATTCAACCAAGGCACCGTAGCGCGGCAATCGTCGATATTTTTCACAACATAGAGAACATCGCGGCGATTGTGACATTTTGCTGATTGGGGAGAAAGAACTCCCGCCAAATATGCACAATTAATCGAAAATCCGAGTCATCGACGAAACGTCTAACAACGGAGGCTCGATCGTAGAGTTGATCAAAATTTGACTAGATTAGTAGGTAACCAATAAAATTACTGTGACGTCTATTCTATTTAACGGTTCAATTCTTATTTGCCGTAAAGTATTCGAAGTTTGTATAATGTCTGGCAGGCCGATATTTTCAGAAGAACGAGAATGTCGTAATCCAAACATCGCAGCGATTGTGACATTTTGCTGACTATCAAAATCGATTGGAAAACTGAACAGAGTTTTATTCGAATAATAGATAACCAACAAAATTACCACCAAACTGACACCTAATTGTGATTGCATAGTCTTATCTCTGTCGTTACTGTCGTTACCAGTCAGGTCCAAAATTGGCTAATTTCTACCACTGTTTTCACCATTATACGGCTGTCTAACACAGCTGTTAGCATGATCGAAACGTGTGGTAGCGTGTGACTAAACTTCACGCGTATGTGTATATTAACCATCCGATAACGGGGCCCGTTTCTGCCGTTATCGCTAATTCAGCGAAACCAGAGTCCTTACACGTACGTGTATCGAATATTTCTTATGCCAAATAGAACGGGACAGGAAGAGGCGATTCGATCCACGATGCAACAATTTTTCGTGCGGTCGTCGATACACCGACACTACACAGTGAAATATAATACTTAACGCACACGGGTTGCATGTCAGCGATACTCGCAATGATCCGAACAAAATTCCACTGGACTGTCGAATAGTTGATCGCCGATTCTTCGAGTGGAAAATATTAGCAAGAAGAAAACAAAAGAATGAGTATCTCGCCGGTTCCCAATAGAAGTTTCCTCCATGGAGATCGTAAGCCGTTCCCGACTTCTGAGAAAATCGTCTACGCGACCCTCGATAGTTTGGCTCTGAAGAGAGCCAGGTTACCTCTGCAGTTGCTGCCCGACGATGGAAATAAATTGGTCGCCGAGGAAACGGCCAAATCGAAGAAGAAAAAAAACACTGTCGCCGAAACAACTCCGAGGAAATTCAGCTCGAAGGTTTGCGTTCTTTCAATTACTGGAATATTAATCCTTATAAGATCGGTGTCGAAAACTGATTAATTAAATTATTAACTGATTAACCCCACCGTTACTAATAAAATAATATACAGGGAGTTTGGCCACCCTTGGAAAAAATTTTAATGAGAGATTCTAGAGGCCAAAATAAGAATTAAATTAAAAATTTTCAAATCATCCTGAAAATTTATTTTTGGTTGCGGGACCCAATTACAATAATTTTTAGCGAATAGACCTATCCCCGAAATCCTACCCACTTTCTAAAAAAAAATTCAGTACGGGTGAAACTTTAAATGTTAATAACTTTTTACCGAAGTCTCCATCAACAAATTAGTATTCTTGATTTTCGTCTTATTTTGGCCTCTAGAATTTTCCATTAAAATTTTTCCCAGGGGTGGCTGAACACCCTGTATATTTATAAGTTTTCTCGTGATTTTCAACGCCATTTTCGTTCTTCCAGGCTGATTACTCGAGATACTCGCATTTGGCAAACTTTTAATTCGCATTGCTTTTGCTGCCTCGAATTACGGAACATTTTGCGTATGAATTGAGATCTCGGGTATGCGAGCACACGAGCAAAACGATGCTAATGATTGAAGGCGCGGCTTATTAGTTTACAATGGTCGCTGGCCACCATTCGATACGAATCGAAGGGGACGGTATCTTCGACAGTGTCGCGACAGAGTACATAAATACATATCTGGTACAGATGTTTCGCACATTCTGACCCAGTGGTCCCCGAGGCAATTTCGCGGGCGTCGTGGCGCTGTCGAAAACCTTTTTAAACATTTTTTTAATTCTTATAGAAACGTTATTGGATATACAAGTACTGACCAAAAGTTTGGTATCCCTACTAGTGGCGGATAAAGAAAAAGAAAAGTAAAAGTCTTTACCACTAAGATGATACGGAGTGAAATTTCCATTCATCAATTTTTTTTTTAACTTTTTCACTTGAAATAAAGTCATAGCCCGTCCCAGTTATTAGATACGTCTCGTAGACGAGTAGATTATTAATCATCTTCAATGAATCATCGATTTCACTTACTGCAACGGTCCATCCGTTTCCGTGACTCAATATAATCGACTGATGACAAGATGTAATATTTAAGCATATTACCAGGATCTTTATTTCTCGAACATTGCAAATACAGGACGCGTTAAAATTGGTGGTCCAAACTTTAAACGTGTGCAGCAAACGTTCCAGTAATTAAAGAAACGCTGCTAAATTTATTTAGACACTTACGTGTAAAAATTAACAATGATCAAAGTGTCTTTCCCCTCATTGATGATTCGCGCACACCTAAGAATTTATAGAGAGCTTATAAAAATAAACAAGAAAGTGGTAGCAAACTTTGATCCAGAATGCAACAGTTTCCAAGTTGCAAGGCTAGTATTGTAAGGCAGTTACCTTTTTAGCAAGTGTTCTCTTTAGTAACGATTGCTATGTCGGTTTCTCTCGTCGAGAAGTACGGGAAAAACCTAGAATTCTTAAACGTATGCGAACCTCGACGAAGAATCGCGACGAGGCGTGCATCGGAACTGGGCGGAAGACAATTCGAACACCTGTTCCAATGGAATAACATTTTTCCTCACATCTCAAATATTGTTGATTCCCAGATCTATGTTGCTTATTTCGATGGGTACTGAGTGTATCCAAAATTTTGATCATCGATTTTAACTAATCTTGTATCAGAATGTCTTTCATTTGAGTATTAATATTTGCAAAATGGTATTTTAAAGTGAATAAGTCGTAAGTCAAATATTGGGATAATGATATTCGAGTACTAAACGTGGTATTGTTGTCAAAATAGCCCAGCCCCTGGTCCTGGCTGGATCCTCAACAAAATTTACAATCTAAATTTTTCGAAATTTTGTAAACCCCGGTATCCCGATTAACTCTCTCTTTATTCTCTCGTCGCGGCACCGTTCGCAGAAATTTCTCGATCTCTCGCTATACGTGATTCGCGTTCAAATGCTCCCGAAGGTCGTCGCGGTATTCCCTTCCACGCGAATAGAATGCAGTCTACGAGTGGCGGGACTGCGTTTGAAACAGTTACGTTTTCTATCGCATTCCGCGAAACGATTTTCTACAAAACCGTTAAGAATGCCGTCTGCGTCAAGGAGCAAGTGTATTCGTGCAAATCGAACGCAGAGATGCTGCTATCGATCAATAATTGGTACATCGATAGCTATCAAAAACAGAAAATTTAAGTATCAGGAAATACTTCGATGCTTCGTTCCAGGTTATATAGAGCGTGTTCGGTCACCCCTGGGAAAAATTTTAATGGGAGATTCTAGAGGCCAAAATAAGACGAAAATCAAGAATACTAATTTGTTGATTGAGGCTTCGTTAAAAAGTTATTAACGTTTAGAGTCCCGCCTGTAGAACGGCCATCTGCGAATTTTTTTCTCGAAACGGCGTAAGATTTCGGGGGTATGTGTATTCGCCAAAAAATGATTGTTATTGACCCCCGCAACTAAAAATAATTTTTCCAGAACGATTTGAAATTTTTGAATTTAATTGTTAATAACGTTTGAACGAAGCTTCCATCAACAAATTGGTATTTTTGATTTTCGTCTTATTTTGGCTTCTAGAATATCCCATTAAAATTTTTTCCAGGGGTGGCCAAACATCCTGTATACATATAGTGCTTTTAATTATAAATTAAGTTCTGACCCAATCCATTAAATAAGGTTGAATGTTTCGTTTAATCACGTATCGTTTTGAATTGAATAATTTTATTTTTTTAAATTAATTATAAATATATATTTAAATTAATTTTTGTGTACGAAATTATTCGTTTAGGTCGACGAGACTACCAATCCATCGAGTCAACAAACAACGACGCCCAGCCGGAAGGAAAGTGAGTTAACGACTGCTGGAGAGGTATCGGTTTCCGTTGCTGAGCAGAAGGTTCGAAGAAAAATTGCTTCCTCTCTGCGCGTCGATACAGATAACAGCATTGATAATGCCTCGATAATGATTGTGAAAGATGATCCGACAGACCAGAACTCGATTAACTCCGGCAACGAGAACGTACCGTCCTTCGAAGACTCCGGGCGCGAAAATAAAATTTGTCGCGTCGATCTAGCCGAGACGATATCCTCGTCGGACGATTACGAGAAAATAGAGCTGACGCCACAAATATTCGACAACGTTCAAGAGGAGACGATCAAAGAGAGGATCGATCGCGATGAATATTATTCGGAGAGCTTGTTTTTGAAATCCAAGTCCGCCATCGATCTGACGAGGAACAGTTTGTCGGACATAGGGCTGCACACCGTGGAAGAATTTCCCGAGAGAGATTCGTTGGAAGGGTCGCCCGTTAGCAACGATGACGTCGCTCTGAGCAAAAAGAAGAAACACTTTGCCAAAAACGTGCTGTACTTCGTGCCCGATTATCTCGTGAAAGGAACGAAGGGAACGAAGAAGAAGAAGAAGAGCAATCTGAGCGCGTCGTTGACTTCGTTGAAGTCGAGATCGGTAGACACGAAAAGCGAAATAAACTTCGGATCCAGGTACAAACCGATGAACCTTTCCAAGAAGGACTTGAAGTGTTTGAACATCTCCACCCCGACGAACTTCGTTCACGTGGCGTCCGCCACGAATCCGAGTCTGGTGTTGAACGAAAACACGGTCGGATTCGGTTTGGAGCAAGTTGTGATCAGGCACGAGGAAAAGTGTGCCACGCTGCCTCTTCTCGTCGGGAGGAACGAGGATCCGACGACCGAAAGTTTGATCGAGCAACGATCGATCGTAGCCGAGAAAATGCCCTTTCACGACGCATCGAATCACGGTAAATCGATTATTCTTGGCTCGAAACGGGTTTTCATATTGTCGGTACATTTAGAGTCGAACGAGTTCAGCTTTAGAGAGATCAAACGACAGTCGATGCTTCGCGTCGAATATTATTCAGATATTTAGAGAATGTGCAATTTGTAATCACATTGGAGCGTTTGAAAATAGTAAACATGGCTTGTGCCAACAGATAACGGAAGCATCGCTTATCTGTACTTGTCTCGTATCATACTAATTGTGAGTAGGACTTGTTTGTTATCTGTTCGGTCATCTCCGGTGGCTCGCGCATCAAAACAAGGAAATCGTCAAGGAAGTGGTTAACCTTTAATTATTCCATATAAAAAGTAGATTAGATATCACGTAGAACATATTTTCCATATATTCTGGGTATGAAGCAACGTTGGAGAGAGTGCAGTTAAAATTCCTTAGATTTGCATTATGCAAAAGAGATAATAGAATAGATGAACGAGTCATAGGAACACGACTGTAGTTTGGTGGATGTAAATAATGATGAGTAATTACGTAAACAATAGATGGGTCGTTTGCCTAACTTCGTTTGGTAATTTGAGCAATTTTCTTGATTGTAGTTTCTGATAATAGTCGAGATAACGAAAGCAGGAGATGCTTCTTCGCATTCTTCTTTGTTCATCTAATACGTAAAGAGTACAACATTTCACAAACTTAATTCCTAAACAGTAAACCAAAAATGACAAAAATATCTCCTGTTTGTAATGAGATAAAAACATAATTTGTTATTGCTATTACTCTACAACATTCACTACGCTTAACGTGACACTAGCTGATCAGAAAGTAGTTGACTTAACTTTTCTTCTCGAGGATCATTAATGAACAGATGTTCACTCTTATTAAGCCTCGTTAACTTTCACCTATCACCGTGACAATTAAGAGAAATCCGATTCTTCGCTGTCTCAAAGGTAAAAACGGATCTCATGATCCAATTATTACCCGCGTATAACACTGGTACATTTCTTTTCTTTTGCGCGATTAAATTCAATTAGGTTGGATATGATTCTCTAACGAAATGGAGTTTTCTTATTGTGTTCTACGCATAAAATGAAAAATATGGAATTTGGTATGTTCAATCGATCGTATTTCAAAATATTGTGTACACGCAACCCTGAAAAGTAGTACTGGAATTGAGTTGTTTGAATACATTACAATTTTATAAAAGTATTATATAAAAATTATAAAAGTAACACACGACGTATTTTCACGGCTCGTCGTTAGTGAATGTTGTTTATTATAGCAATACGTGTGTATGTGTTGGAGTATTATAAAGTGAAAGGGTGGACAGGGGAAGAGCTCGTTAACTCGCCTTCCCCTCTCCACGCATTCTTGATATTAAAATGTTTGAGTCCTCAAATATCAAGTCTTGAATATTGGTTTTCGTATATTTGAATATTTGAGTATTATTAATGAAATATTTGTGTACCGTATATCATAAACACGTAAATTCCAGGTAAAGGAAGCACGGGGCTCGACAATGCGAACCTGAGACGCGAATTCCTGCGCGAGCTGCGAGCGCGATCGGCAAAAGTATTGGAGCTGAGCCAGCAGGTGAAAACGAGCGAAAATCAAGCTGACGCGAGCCAGGGGAAAATATTCGAGTTGTCGCCGCGTGCCAACCCGAGTTTTCTTTGGAGCAGCCAGACGAAAAGCCTTTTACAGAATACGCGACTCGAGGATCAGTCATCCTTAGCTGGCGATAGTGTCGAGGTCATCGACGAACAAGAATATGATGACGTTGGACCGCTGAAGTTTTCTAATCAGGTGACGCACACATCATCCGTCTAAAACAATCATGAACAGATTTTTTCTAGTGCACAGCAGAAACTAAGGTTGATACTGTACAAACAAATTAGTACAGACATTTGAATAAGCCGACCAATTATCCTGTAACGTGATATGCACGTGTGCCAGCGGTCTTTAATTCCTATTGGGTTTGTTTATACTATACAGACATAAAATGCAGAATCGTCGCTGTCACGCACATCTGACGTTTACCTTTCATAAAGATCAGCGAGTCGCATGCACGATAGCAAACGTTCTACCTTTACTTACTTGTTAGTCCCAGAATTATGACTCAGTCATTATAACCATCCTGTACAAGGTGGTTAAAATAAAATATTACAACATAATTTCTCCAAAGCAACCGCAATTATCAACAAACGATCCAATTCTTTTCTATCTTCGCATATACATGTAGCCTGACCCAGTTACGATCTCTTATTCCATCTTTGGTGACGAATCATTTTACTGTTGCACAGATTCCAAGTCAGGAGGATTTCTACGACGACGTGGGTTCGCCAATGGCGCGCGTCGACGAGGATTGCATCGACGAGTCGACGTCCAAAAGTTCTGACTGTATCTACGACGACATCATGGCTCTCGGCGACGCGTCAGATGGTCCAGTTAGTCATCTTCAGCAGCACGAGAGCTCGATGTTCGCGGATAACGTGTCCAGGTCGAACACCACTAGGAAGGGTAACGGTGAGATTCGTGGTGACGAATCGAGCCAAATGGACGGCCATTATCTATTCGTTACCAACGAATATTCCAGCGTGGACGAGGACACGGATGAAATGCAGGATGACGAACAGGGTGTATACGATGACGTCGGTTTGCCGAGCATGGAAAAAGTCAACAGCCTCTACGCAGGCTCCACGACTGGTTCCATCGTCGGCAAGGAATCCGAGTGGGAGGATGTAGAGGATTCAACGATCGGTCGTTCTTGTCTCGCGAGGAGGAACAATCCATCGTAAGTCCAACGAAGAATTAGATCTAGACGATTCGTTATTTGGCGAGAATAATATATCGTCAAAGATCAGTCTCCTTTTTTCAATGAATCAATTGAATATTAGAAGGGAACGAGAAAAAGAGCAAATAGACGTTAGTGCCTTGCTTCAAATTAATTTTGTTAGAAGAAAAGACAACCAACAATCTTTTTCTGTTCCTTTTTCAGTAGAAAAAGTACGGAGATGCAAGCTATTTCTAGTAAGAAAAAGGCTGGTCAGAGATGGTCACGAAAAGTGAGACGACAGCGTTCCATGGCATCCAGGAAAAGTTGGAAATCGTTGACCAAACCGATCCGAGATTCCGCATACTGTGGTGAGTTATTAGCGAGTCATTCTTAAAATTTACACCTGGTTTGGTTATTTATGGTTTATTATCAGACGTTAAATTACCAAAACTTTAATATTCCAATTTCTGGTGGTGGAATTTTCCGAAACCTCGAAATCTTCAATTTCAATATTTTTTTAACACCCCCTTCGAGCTCCTCTATATACATCACTGACTCGAATCGAGATTACGTATGCAGCGTAAGACTATGAAGAAGTTGTTGCAACCGTTGCGTGACCCGTCACCGTCCGACACGATAATTTGCGACCATAGTTTCCGCATTAACGGGAAGACGATTGTAGTTGTTACATACCGTTATAATACTACAGTATTAGCTTACGCATCGATCGCAATAGATCGAGAATTATCAGATATTATTTCCGTCTTTGCAGAAACCTTTTATCGCGCTTCTGCAACCGATTTAGAGACAAAACAATGGCAGAAAATGGTAAATTTTGTAACGTAAATAAATCTTTATTCAAATAACGAATAACAAATTGAATTTTATTCGTCTACAACTCAGCTCCGAGCCTCGAAAAGCCTTGGTCCATATTCCCATAGCAGTTCTACGTTTCTAACGAGTTTCAAAATTAACCGTTTTCTACCATTGTCCTTTACGCAGCATCAACGCGCGATTATACACGCATTGACGAACGTTTCCGCGCAGTTAGCCCGTTCCCTTTTTGCTATGGGAAAATTAATGAATAAAAGTGCCGCGTCCAACGATTGCGCGTTTTCTCATCGCACAAAAACAATTCATTTTGTCGCGGCACACAGAAATACCACTTTCTTTCGCAAGGCGAGTGTCCGCGAACAACAGCACAACGGCGACACCTGTATCGTAAAAGTGTACGTCTTCCAAGCATTCGACGACGAAGCTCATAATACGAAGGACACGTGAAGGGAAATTCCAACGAGTGTCGTGTACCTTTAAGAATTCGCGTATAATTCGTACAGGGCAAAATGTATCTGAAAAAGTCAAGCGTAGGCACTACTGATATAAAGCGGGTTTCCATTCGGATCCATGCAAACTATTTCTTTCGTAGTCGTCCAGATAATTGCTGTAATAATTGTTTCGATTCTTGATAGTTGTTTGAAATTTATGTCCAGATAAGAATTTTGCCCATCTTTGCCCGTAAACAGGTCGCGTAACAACGAAAGTCCCGAAACTCTCACTTTAACGCGTGCACTAGTTTCCGTCGGGTCATCGACTATTGTGAAACCAAAAACGTTTGAAAATATTTCGTCATTCTGTGCTCGATGCCGTGCATAAATATTGAAGAAATGCCGCTTTCTTCCAAGAAATGTAGGTGTAGCGATCGATTGGACGCGGCGGTTTGTACCTTTGAGCGAAACGAGTGTCAAGGACGCGTGAGATCGCGACACAACAAAGCGCCTACTCTCCATCGGTTCCGACTTCCGTTGCATTCGTACGTGAGCAGACTGCGCGAAACACGCTCTTTAATATCGACACGCATGCGCAGTTCGAGCCATTAGCCGGCTAAACAGAAGCGGACGTTAGAGGACGAAACGGTCTCGACGGCCTGTCGATGAACCCGCGATTTCGCTGGAAAAGAAACATACTTTGTTCTTCTCGAGATCATCGTCGTGGAACAGCTCGCGCAATGCATTGTACCGTGCTATCGTTGAAGTGATCGCATAGTCGCGTAGCCCGAGTAAAAGTTAGCCACTCGTCGCGCGTGTTTCACGACGAACAAGACGCGCATTGTGCATGTACATATGTACGAGTACACTCGTACATGAAAGTATTTGAACGCTTGCATTTATAACATTCAACTAATGAAATATGTATGTCAGACTGAAACATTTCATATAGTATGACGCATATAACAAGGGTTGGGTCCTGAGACTACATAAATGGAATTAGAAAATAATGAAACAATATATGTATAGGCCTACGTCTGTTTTTATCCAATTACGCACCACGTAATGCAACACTTAAAACCATTTAATTCTTCCTAATGAAATTTTTTTGCCTTGATTTAACGCAATGGCTGGACCGTTGTGTGAGACACCCTGTATATACATACAGTGCTCAAGTGAGAGTGATGAACGATTTTCCGTGCGAGCTACTGAGTACGTAGAACATTATTTCGTAAACTGTCTTCCGTGTGACGTGAACAAGTATTCCGTAAAAATTAATAATTGAAGAGATACACTGAAACAAATTTTGCACGATTCTGGTTATTAACACATATTCTGGCATAGGCTATTAATCGGATAACAGACTGCTTTGCATAGACTCCATAAATTGCAATGGATTGCATGTATTTCTGGCGCACACGATTATGGAGTTTTCCATATTAACGTATGCCGTAAACAGAGCTGGTTTTAGAAGTGTGCAACCCGTGCAATTCGCACAGGGCGCCAAAAAATACCGGCATGTTTTCTTATTATGAAGTTTAGAACATGTTCAATTGCCGTTTGTTTTTAGGAATACAAACATTCTTAATAATTTCTACTTCCATAAGAAACGTGTTTTTAATAATTTCGGACTCGTGTGCCACTTGCGAACTAAGGAGCTCGCGATCAGATATTTGTGCCGGCGAAGTGTTCGGATATTCGACAAAGAATTTCTAGCCCGGTGTGTTTTGCAAGAGCACGGACGAAGGACAGTCGGTCAAGATTTCTGGACGATTGCCGAATAAGTCGGTATTGGGAGTAGGCGATCATTCGACATGCGTGAAAATACATACTTATCGACGAGTTCAGGCTGGAAACCGGACCCGAACAGATTGCCGCGAGGTGAAAGCGCGTATTGCGCTGCCTCAGTGTCAGTCACGGCCGAGCCGTTGGTCGCGTCGTACGAGTACACGGGTTACGAGGATCAAGAAGGAAAACGAGAAGAGTTTCTCGCCGTCTCTTGCACGCCGAATCTTTCCTGTTTTTCTGTCGCCAACCGTTTTCTCCCCTCCGCTCTACACATTTGACATTCATCGAACGGTATTTAAGCACGAGAGTCGCTCGTCGCGAGTCGAAATGTCGTGGAAATGAGACAGACCTTGAAAACTTTCCGACGACCGAATACACAAGGTAAGTTACACGGTTCATTCTTTACGATGGTACGCTGCACGCGCCCGACTCCAGCGCGAGGTTAGAAACGAGCAGAACAATGCGAAATTTCGAGTACAACGAACCTTGCGGCGAAACACTAAATTGTTATGAATTAAATCAGCGATCGCGGACGCTCGGACGCTCTTTGTGATGTGTCACTTTGCGAGGCACAGCACGATTGCATGGATATGTGACAAACAAACGAACATGGAAACCGGTTCCAATGTATATGTATACACTCGAAATCGTTTCGGCACAGAGAAAAGTAATCGACGTGATTCCACGAGCGAAACGATTTCGCTTTCTTCGTTCGCTCGATGCGCCATAGCTGGTGCCACCCGCCTCTTTCTCTTCTCCCCCCTCCCCGCTACCAATTCTCTGGATAGCCTTCGTATCTTCGGCTAATGTCGAGCAACGTATCCATGACAAGGACGGGGAAAATAATTATTTAAATGTAAATTTCGGGCAACGGATAAAACGCAAACAAATAAAGTTTTCTCTATTCTTTACCTCGACCACTTTTATAAGTACTAGCGCATATATTAAATATTTAAAATGTATTTCAATTATAAAATCGTTCGAATCTGCCCATCCCTGATCCACACAGGCGCGTGCAGTAAACACCCACACGCTAATAAATCGTGAAAGAATAACATTATAACGCTTTGACCGTGAACAATGATTTCAAGTGGCTGTGAGCCTTGGTAGCGGATCGGTATTGCTCGTTGGTTGTACCAGGAGACTAGAAGAATGGACCGGACAAGAATGCAACGTACAGCCCGTGCAGGAAAACTCCCAGAGAACGCAGGGTCTCGTTCAGATGAGGGTCATCAACCTAAACGAGGATGTGGACACACAGGAGACGTCATGCTATATTTACGAAGGTCCTTTGCAAGATCACAGGAAATTTTACTAATTAAAACACATACACTGTCTAAAATGTAAAACTTCGATTTTTTAATAAGTGCTCCAATAAAGACGAATATTCGCTTAACCATTATACAGTTATCTGCACAATCTACCCAGTATTACGTTTATGAGAAATGTTGCATGAAACCATGGAAATTTCGTTGGCTCATTCGTTCACGGTTTTACAGACAACGTATCCGATGACACCACCTACGAGAGTCTGTGCTCCTTCCAATCGGATGAATTCAGCTCGGGCTTGGAGTCGGATTCGGAGACGGAGACGATCGACGCGGAGGATCGAAGAACCACGTGCGTCGTGGCCAAGGTTCCTAACGAAACTCCCAACGCTTGCTTGGAGGCGCCCACGAAACCAAACCCTCCGCCACCCCGCGAAGCTAGTCTGACCCAAACGTTGGGTAGGAGGATGAAGATGCTACGAAGGACGTGGAGCATCACGAAAGGAAGTCTCAGTCGTATGCGTAGAAGGACGTCGGTCGACGACGATCACTCCTGCGAGGAGATCAAAGAGACCTGCAACGATCATCCAACCATCGATGCTGGTAGATACTTTGGATTTGCTAGACATTTCAAGAAGAGCGTTTCTGGCTTCTCGACGTTCTATTTGAACGGTTACACCGCGAATGGCAGCAACGATTCGACGAGGAGCAGCGACGATCAGTCGAACAAGGAGTCGACTTACAGCAACAGCAACAGAAAAGTGGGTGAGTCTCGCGAACACCAGGCAACAACGGACAGTTTCGTTCTAATTCCGAATGCTTTTTATAAATCGTGTGACTGTAGATCACTACAGCGTACTCGCCGATCAGGAACCTCTCTACCAGTTCTACGCGGCGGCCGCTGCCAGAGTGGCATTCGACTCCAACTCGGACGGTTACGAAGAGGTAACGTAGATCCTTGGGAACAATTTTATTCATTGTTAAATTATCTCTGAACGAAGATAATCGTCGATCACAGGTCGAGGACACGATCCCGTCGCAGGCCACGACGGATTTGGCTAGGCCAGGGCACAGAACATTGTGGTGTCAGACGCCTCAGGTCATCGGTAGCGGTCTTCTGCGTATGTAAACATAATTGTAGAAAATTGTATTACGTGGTCATTGAAAATTTAAGTCGGATCTCGTTTTCGCTTCGCTAGAGCGCTTAAGCCCCGAAGAGAGGAAAATTCAGGAAGCGAAGTTCGAAATTTTGACCTCGGAAGCTTCGTACTTGAATTCTCTGCGCGTTCTGGAGAACGAGTTCCTCGGCGAGTTCTCGATGAACGAAACGTTGACCTCTGTCGAGAGAGAGAAGCTATTCGGCGGCATACCGGCCGTACTCCAAGCGTCGGAACAATTTTTGACCGAATTGGAGACTTTGTGGAGGCAGGATCCAATGCTGCACAGACTGGCCGACGTGTTACTCAACTACGCTGACAGATTCTTGGATATTTATGTGTCGTATTGCACGAACCAAGTCAGTATAGACATGACTCTCAAAGATTTGAGGTAGGTAGGTCAATCCTCGAAACTAGACGTATCAAACTCTTTTAAAAATTAACAATTTGAGTTTTACTATCTCATCGAGACCTGCGGACGCACGATTAGTTTACCACGGTCAGAAATATTTTTAAGGCTAATTCTCCTTGTTATGTTGAATGTGAATACCATTTTAATTAACTTTTGGCATTCATAAAACGATTCACCGCCCCAGCCATAACGGATAAATCAGACAATAATTTTTTTTCCATAGTCGATTAAGTCACGCTGAATTCATTCCAGAACACGGAAGGGCGTGAAATTCTTAGAAACGGTTGCACAAATAGAAGCGCGTCCGATTTGCCAAAACTTGTCTTTGCATTCTTTTTTAATGTTACCGTTACAGCGAATAACGAGGTAAGATTGATTTTAAGTTTCACGAGGCGGAACGATTATAAGTTGTAAGAATATTTTTGTTTCAGGCTCCCTTTACTGGCCGACGCGGTTGTCTCTAGATTGCCTATCGAACACGCAGACAGGCGACATTGGGAGACGGTGCTGTCGAGTTTAAGTTACGTCGTTGCGGAATGCAACGAGGGTGCCCGTGCTGCGGCAACGGAAGCGGAGATGGAATGTTTAACCAGGTAACGGTAAAGACTTGTCTTGAGAAATTTTTCATGCAAAATGTGGACATGCACGTTCCAAAGGACGAATTCTTGAATGTTAGGAAACTGGAATACTCCGTGAAAATTACACCGATCACATTAAAGGATAAACATTTGGTGAAAAGCGGTCCTGTTGTACAGTTACTGACGAAAGCCGACTCAGAATATAAGCTGACGTTCGGGAAAAAATTCAACAAAACGCCGCTGTATCTTCTACTACTGACGGATTACCTTCTAGTCGCAAAATATAAGCCTAAGTATGAACATATGCGACGCGGCGCCATTTTTTCTCTCTGCAGTACTTACCAGTTTCGAGTAATACCATTTTGGAAAGCATACATTTCTTTCGTTTTGTATTCTAGTACTCACAACGAAACGTATACCGTAATAGATACTTGTAAGAGGAGTTTGATCACTTTGGAATCAGTCCCCGAAGACTCGCCGTTCGCCGGGCGTAATGCAATGCTATTGACTCTGTTGGAAAATTATTCCGGTCGCCAGGTTGAATATATATTAACTTGCGAAAGCAATACAGAAAGGCAGAGGTGGTTAGAAGCTGTTTCACCCTCGAATCAAGGTTTAGTGGGCGAGACTCTTTACGAAGTGTGGGATTGTCCTCAAGTAGTAGCACTGTACAGTTATTCTTCGAACCAACCAGACGAATTATCTTTGCATCCAGGTGAACGTCAATATAATCGAAAATGTTCCAAATCAACGACTACTCTAGCTAATCGCGAAAGTATTTTTTTTTTTTTGTTAGGGGATGTCATAAACGTGTTACAAAAAATGTCGGACGGTTGGTTCCACGGTAAAAAATTATTGGACGGCGATCAAGGCTGGTTTCCTGGAAATTACACGAAGGAGGTCGCTTCGGAGCACGTTCGCGCAAGAAATCTTAAACAAAGGCATCGTCTCCTCGCGTTAAGCAGTAGCGGTTTACATCGAAAGGCAAAACAACAAGCTGCCGGTTATTGAAGGATTAAATTATGAATTACCAATTAAAATAATACAACTTTGAATAAAATTTTCAGTGATACTCTACATTTTTCTAGTTACTTTCATTCTTAATTACAGCCTTTTATAATACCGCATCCTGTCGCTGCTCGTGATTAGATAAGGATACAAACGTCCGTAACAAAAGTATGTCATTATTTATTATTCTGGTATGAGTACAATATAAACTTCTCTAATCAATCTATCGATCCATAAATATAATTCGTATGTTTGTATTAAAATGCTGATGATTGATAAAATAAGTGATAATAAATGTTCCACAGTTTTAAACGATAAGCGGAATGTTTTATGTGTGCAAGTATGAAAATCAGTACAGTCTTATGCTGATGCAATTACAGCTTCTCGTAAAAAGGGAGTATTATGCTGTTATCAAGAATACAATGAACTTTAATCTAAATATATAATGTTCTGGAAGTAAAAAGTACTACGTTATCAAATTGGAAGTCCAGCAACTTTGACATTACTTTATCACAATAAACGTAGCAAATTTCTTTACCGAATCTCATCTTTAACACAGCAATTGATTACGACTATTTCATATGCCCATTTTTGAATATTTAGATGGTTTTACCTCAAAAAGTTTTCTTACAAAATATACTTGTATAGTCGTTGTTATCATTATGACGATTATTTGCATGACAGACCATGATTGGACATAAAAATTGTTATCCATTAACAAATTTAAATCTCGTGCTTCCCTACTCCTACTCAAATGCTGACTCTGAAGTATTTCGTTTATGTTTCTTTCCACGTGCGTTATTGCAGTCTAGAATGAAAGTAAACAATATACAATATTTGTTTATAAATTGAAAATACACAAGATACACACCGTAAAGTTTTCAACAGAAAGATTCAATTCCTCTAGCTCCTTGGAGTGTTTGGCCCATTCGTCGTATCTGTAAAATAAATTTGCAAAATAAAATCACACGAATTAAAAGAGTATATTGCCAGTTTAAGCATATTACCTGATCACAGTGATATATAAATTAACTAATTTTGAAGAAAATCCAGAGAACTGATTACTTATACATATACTATAGTAACCAGCATTCTTTGCAGTGTCTTGGTAGTCTGAATTAGCAAGCCACTGGTATGGATGAACTATTACTCCTTCTGGATTTCTCACTGCAAATCCAGCTTTACCATCTCCACCACGTATCACCTAAATTTGTAAATGTTCTTTGATCAATTTTTTTTGTTTCCATAAGAAGAGGATTGTAATTATAATATATAAAACATATAAAACCATATGGTGAAAAACTCGTGTTAAATGTCGAAAATATATTTATACTATCAAAGGAAATGCTTGCAAACAATCACAAACCGGTTGCAAATTTTTAATTTGAATGAATAAATAAGGGACTGATATTTTCGAGATAGTAATTGCCGTAAAAATAGCCATTTACCTGGAAATTTACGTAGAAAGTAGCGCCAGCATTAACATATTGAAAGTAACAATCTTCTTTTCTGGCGTCGATGTGGACTTTGTAATCCATAGCCACCGCCGGTAAGGTTTCATACCAGGGATGAGGCATGTCGGTCTTCGCGAAGCTAAAAAGCACCCCGAAAACTAGAATTCGTAAAAAATTAGACATTATGTACGTTTAAACAGATCATTACAATGATCCACCTATCCGACAATCACTTTCACACGACTGACGGATAAGTGTGTTTCGATGTACTCCTTCTCCGCTACCATGATCTTCAGTGTTTCTCAACTGTGTTCAACCGATCTTGAACTGTGAATTATTATCAAATTTTTATAGAGAATTATCAATCTTCGATAATATTAGATATATTTATTACATTGATATAGAGCCTACGTTCCGATATTATCGTTGTATTTATTTGTAACAAGGCAAAATTCTAATTTATTCGAATAAAAAATTGACTTTTCGATCAATTATATTTCCTGGTAGCTTAAGATCTTAAGTGTCTTTTTATATTCGAAAATTGAAAAATTCTTACAATCTTTTGAAGAAAACGCTGTTCAAAGTTTTCAAAACTTTCTCGATTTGACGTTGACAAAATCTAGACAAGTAATTAAACGATTAACGTAAACAAATTGAATGGTTTCGAAAGGAGCATAAGATAGTATAAACAGTTCTTTCGTAGGGGAACGTGTAAAAAGCATTTAGACGTCAACTTTGTTTTTTTAAATGGAAATATATATTTTTGAATACATTAATCAATCCAAGTGGTTGTTCTTTACAAAAAAATATTTACTTTCATTAAATTATATGTATATTTCAGATCGTAACTTATTATTAATTTACAAAGTTTTAGTATCATAACTAAATGCATGTATTCTAAGAAAAAAGGACCAAGTATGTCTAACGAACGTTGTTTCTCTTCATGACGTATTAAATTTTGTGACATTTATTGGGCAACAAGTGTCAGATAACCAATGCAATATAAATAGAGATGGCTAAAACTGCTACTTGTGAATCATAAACGATTCAATCACGTTCGTTCTTAATTACGGTGAGTTTTCATAGTAATTCATGGTAATTCGTAATCGCCTCTGATTAGTGAGAGCATGTATTTTGTACGCATCATAAAAATCGTCAGTTTAAATGCAAATACACCTGTATATTCTACATAAGGAGAGTTTTTATTCTCCATCATTTTATACAAGCTGGCTCATTTAAATCGACCCAATCGAATATTTTCAAAACCTCTTTATTTGTTTAAGTTCCCTCAAAGTTGTTAAGACTCAAAATAAAAGAATCATGATCACTGTGATAAATAACGATTAGTGATTTTGCATATCGTTTTTATTTTCACCGAATCTAGGGATTTTTTCTTTTTATATTGGCTGTCGTTACCCCCCGTTTCAACATTTCAAACATCAAGCTGTTATACGTAGCTTCAGTTCATCGATACGTTCAGATTGCTTGGTTGATTTCGAGTATCGCTTGTTCCAAAATGAAAGTTTTGATGTGATAGATTCTAATTAAATAACGGTTTTCTATGAAAACGGATACGATTAGTGAATATGCAGAGAAATATTTACAATGATATGTGGTATGTTTGTGAGAATGGGAAGTGTTTTAAAAATACTAGAATACAGTGAAAGGAAAATATCGTTATTGTCTGTGCGGTGCATAGCATAGGAATGGTATCTCCGTCCAAAATTCAGCATCAAGAGCAAACGCAGCCTCCAAAAGAAAATAAATTTAGGAAGCATTCACGTACGTCCAACATATGTACATAAATATTTATTCGACATGTACGGTCCCCATACACGAGACCCAGATCTCTACATTGTGAACCATTTCTCTTCAATATACGTAATAAGTCACGTATTTACGTAAAAGTCTTTCTTCCGCTTGAGCACGTAAATGTATGTCTTCTGTGACATTTGCATGATGATCTCATCGCACGGTACGACGTTGCTACGCCTAACCAACGAAAGAACTTGTTGTTTAACTTTCTTTCCTCAATGGTGTTTCAATCGATTTCTACTGAGTTCGTTTTTCTCTTTAAAATCTTCAGAAGAACATTCATGTATTTTAAAAGCAACAAAAATCGTTTCTCATTCTATTCGTAAAATAAATACGTCGATCACAAACCTTATACCGAACGTATTTTCGTCAGCTGCAACAAAGTTAATAACTTTGTACAATATTTCAGATGTTCGTGCACAGAAAGATTTGAAACCGTTAGAGGGGGAATCTTTTTACTTGGACATAAAGAACCATGCTACTACAGCTAAAATAGAGGCAAAAATCAAAGATTTGGGCGGGGTAAGTGCTCAGTAGCGTGTGATCTTATTCATGAAACCTTCACTTTTTACCCCCTTCATTTTCCTACCGTTGATTCGGTATACATAGTTTTAATGCATTTGTGATAACTCTTCCTTTCCCCTCTCTTTCACTCGTGATCGTTTGCTTTCTCGCTCGTTCTCGTATACTCTGTTCGCTGTCTCTCTTCCCGCCATTTTCACCGACCATCTCTCTCTACATCCTATTAACATTAACTCGGCGTGCAACGCGTGTGTCATGTAACGTGCATATAATTCAAAATCGTAGGCACGTGATTTGATATTTTCGGTGAAACAGGTTTCATTCGGAATAGCCGAACGATCTCTAAATTCTTTAACCGGGGAAAAACGGGAAAACGAAGCGGTAGTAACGAAGTCTTGTCGAAGAATGACACAACAAAAACCGTACGTAAATCGCAGATATTTAAAAGAATTGATGATCGTGAATTTCATCGAAAGCTTATTCGCGTATCGAAAACGATTAGCATATATACAATGACGAAGACGTACACCGTAACTTGGAAGATTCGAAGCACATATAGAGACGTCGTAAAATATTTCTGTTGATAAACAGTCGCTGAAAAACCGGGTCGCGTCGCGCCATCTTTAGGATAGCCTCGGAAGTATAACGAAGTGTACCAGATTCGTCACCAGCGGCTGTTGTGTTGTGGTGGTTTGAAATAGGAAAAAAAAAATGGACGTGAAAATACAGCGAAAACTATTTTTCACGTATTCAGCGAAACTATCGCGTTCATTTTGCCGCGGTGTTTGTCGACGGATAGCGAGCAAGAACGCGAAGCGCCGCCTCCAGGCTCGTCTGCCAAGCTGTTAACGGCGAATGGCCATTTTGTGCGTGACAGTTCTCCCCCGCGAGTAACGATCTCGTCGCGCGTCCCAGTGCTCTTTTCCTTTGCCTCCTTCGTTTCGTTTGTTCCCTCGAGACAGATCTCGATGAACTTTCCTTTCCGGATACGTTTTTATCGTGCACCGCATTTTGAAGTGTTCCTGACTCGTATATTCGTGATATTCGCGAATTCGCGAACCGATAAACAGTGTGCCGTTCGAGGAAGTTGTTTTGTGTGAAGGCTCCGTGCGTTTCAAGACCGTTTGACAGTGATCGTGTGCAAATTCACCAATTACATCGACTCCTGTGGATTTCGTTCGAAGAGTTAGTTTCTATCAATTTTTCGATCAAAACACCTTGAATTATTCCTTTAGTTCGATACCCCACGTGCTTCGTTATCGTCCTGGTTCTCTGCGAGTCTTAGCGTATTATTAGAACGCGGTGTGTAACAATGCAGCAACCATTGTTGACTACATGAAGATTTCCATCTACACACGCATGGCTCCGCGTTTCTGCGAATTCGATTGATAGTGCGCTTAGGCGCGTTTGAGAGGAACACGAGATTACTTGACGTCAGCATACCGCGATGTAAACGTGTGTCGGTGCGTCCGTCAACGGGTCACTTATCACCGGGCATCCACACTCTGCGCACCCTTTTCCATGAAGCTACCAGCCTTTTTCGCGTGAGTTGAATCGTCGAAAATGCCGCTAGTTCTCGGTCCTTTGTTTGCGCCTCTTAATACCGTATTATGTTACGTTCGACGAGACTACACGATTTTGCATTAATTCCTAATACTACTCCGTTCGCCGTCATTGTAAATTAATTCACAATCTCGATACACTCCGACTTCTTAAATTCTATTTTTATCTCTTTTTTAGGTGATAGAATTATTTTTAGTACGAAGCGTTAATCTGGTAGTTAGCGACAAGGTAGATAAAACCGGTTGCGTAAACTTTGGGAAACATAAATGGGGTTCTATCAGTGGAGGCAGCGGGGGACCTCCCTCGCTGAGGAGTGTAGAAACTCCAACCCCCATGACAACTCCTCCAACATCGTACTTTAGTCCTGACTGTCCCTTGTCCAACTCAATCGTACGAAGGGGTCAAACTACCCAAAGATCTGTAAGTATCACGGTTAAAAGTTATTTAATCGCATTATACCAGACTTAAATTTCTATGTTCTATATAAAAAATTTTATAGAAATCGCGGGTGGATGCAATGTTGGAGCGTGCTCTGATACAGCCACAACAGTGTTCCGTGGATCCACTTTATAACGCCCAAAATTGGGGAATTCCTATTTGGGCTGTTGATAAACTTCAGGCTTGGCTCGATAAAATTTATGCATCTGTTAAAAACACAGATCATTTAAAACAGTCAAAGCATTCGAGTCAACAAAGTTCAACTAAAGATTTAAAGGTCAAACATTTCAAAGGACCTTATTTAAAATTTGAGGCCTTTCAGAGGTACGTATATCCTTACAAGTTTCTTTCGAATGCATCGACGCGTCAAAGTATATAATTTCACAATCGTGCAGGACCACTAGACCTGTTTTCATCGAACTGCCTGTGTGGCCAAAGTTAAACTTTTCTGGGGATCCAGGTTCCTGTCCTTTCAATACGAAAAGACGAGAAAAACTGGAAAAATTACAAGCAGAAGTAAAAGAAAACAGAGAAGCTATTCAGCCTATCAAACAAGAGGAGGTAATGATTAAATGTGCAATTTTTATTTTATAAAGTTTTATCTATGAAATATGCAATATTACATTAAATATAAACAGGATAGAGAAATGACTCGGCGACCACGCACAACTACCACTCGTGCTCGCAGAACTGAACAGTTAACTTCTGGTTATTGTGAAATTTGTCGTATCAGTTACCGAGATCTGACCAAACATGTACAAAGCGAACAACATCTTAGTTTCGTGCGAAACAACGACAATTTTTTGTCTTTGGATTCTCTGATCAATGCAGGAGCGAATGTGGAGGCATTTCTTAAATTAAATAGAACAAAAGATATAGAGTATGTACAATATATTCATAAATACGGACTACTCGATCGTGTATTGTATATCGGTTAATTAAATTTGTTTGTATTTATTCAACAGAAAAGACTGTAATTTGTTTTCCAATGAGGATCGTAATCTTCATGACATAGTACTGCCAGAAGGAAAGGTGAAAAGAAACTCAAAAAGTTTAGGGGATTTTCAAGTCAATGATGTAAAAATGGTGCAGTGTAATGGAGCACGTAGGAATCTCAATTTAAAATTAAGTTCACCCCATAATTTACGTACTCGTGCGAAACACGAAAGCGGGCACTTATTAAGGTCGAAAGGTAGCCCATGGCACGAGGTCGAGAAAACAGAAAAGTTTTACGATAAATTTGAGGGTTTTACCATAAAAAAACGGGCGAAAGGAACGATTTGGATCGAAGAAGACGACACGGTAGACGACTTGATTCAAGAACAAGAATTAACGGAACCTAAGCAGACCGAGTACAAGATCAAATCATTTTCGACGGAATTGGGTGGAAAGCGCGACGATGAGAAGGAGTGCGGTGTAGTGTGTAATAAACGTGATGATTCTGGTAATCAGGATGTACAGAGGACGATAACTTGTAATAATGTTCAGAACGATGTTGTGAATGCGGAATATGTTAAGCAGGATCTCGATCCTGTAAAACATAGGAATCACGATCAAATAAACGGTAGTGTAAAAAGTAGTTATAACGAAAATGCTCTAATTACAAATAACGACGGTTGCAACGATTCCTGTAGAGCGTCTAGAAGCGAAACTCTTAAAGAAGCGAACTACAAATTACAGTTAGGTAACGTCGCGTCAAGTACAAAAAAGATTTTCGACGAATGCGACGGTATTAATGCAGGTGGTGTCGTCTGTAACGGTCATGCCGTAAAGGACGAACCAAAGGTTAACAAAACATCGAACGATGCGGACAAGTATGAAGTTAAAGTAATTAAACCCAAGTGTTTCAAGTCGAGCAGAAGGGGTGGTAGAAGTTTTAGAGGACGACATAGACTATCCGTCGAGGAACGTTTGATCGAAGACAATCGTGCGTATTACAGAGTGGAAGTGTTAGGAAGTAAGTTACGGTCAAGTGTAATATCAAACAGTAACGCGCATTGTACAGTGCAGAGGGACGCGAGCGATGAAGAGAAGAAGGAAGTGCCATCGAGTGAGAAACCGGTAGTTGTACGATTTAAACGCGTAAGAAAGTCCGAGCTGTCGTTATTAAGCGACGAAGCGGAATCGTTCATGTTCGGCGAGCTTAAGCGGGACGATTCGAGCGAAACGAGCGACGATGAACAAAGTAGCGTATTACCAAGAGAGACTGAGAGCGAATACAACGACGCTACTAGCTCCGTCTGTCCCAGTTCCTCCGTAACCTTTACTTCGCCTATAAAAACAGAGACTATCGAAGAGGATTCTCAGGATTCTTTAAATTTGGGTAGAGCTAGGAAAAGAAGGCGGACGCAAGCCGAGGCTCTCATCAAAGATAACGTTGATTACTACAAGTTCGAAACTCCCGGTAGTAGATTAAGGTATCAGGCACCTTTGACTGGCATTAAGGAACCGTTGGCGATCGAGGAAACTGCAAAGGTAGAAGAGATTACAGAAACAGTAGCGATCGACGTGGAGAAAGTTTATCCGTCCAAACCCTCGCCGGAGGTTGAAAAAATGCAATTCTCTTTCGAAACCGTACCGAAGTCCGAGCCGTGGTATCAGACGTACCAGCGACAAGACGAAGGTGCTGAATTTTGGCATTATTTCAGCGAAGAGGACTCGCAGAAACCGTTTCTTCTACCGTACGAGATTGATAATTTTTACGAGGTTTTATCGAAGGGTCAAAATAGGACTGAGAACAGGAGGAGAGGTCGCGGGCGAAGCGCAGGCTGTATCGGGCGATCGCCAAGGAAAAGTCCTCGATGTCATGCATCCACGCTGGCGATTATGTCGACGATAATTAGGAAAAGGGAACAACAGCAGCAATCGTCGAACTTGTACACGATAGAGGAATGTCACTCTGGCAGATCGCAGACGACCACGCCGAGGCCGGATCCGCGGCCGAAACTTGAACCTAGGTCGGATGTGGACGAGGAATTGAAGGAAATGGTAAAGACGATCGACGAGATGCTCAACGCGAACGACACTTTGGAATTGAACGACTCTTTCGAGCTGGACGCCACGCAAACGGAATTGAATATTTACGAGCCGAACGCCCCGAAAGGACCGCCGTCGAACTTGCTCGAATTGTTAGAGAATTGTCACGAAATTATAAACTGTTTAGAGAATTCGTCGTGCGCCAGTTCGGAATGCGGCGAAGGGAATAATATCGAGTCTCCTTCGAAGCGTAGAAAAAAGAGGAAAAATCGAACGGGATGGCCCGGAATTAAAATGAAGAAAAAACTTCCGAGCAAACCTGCGAGTGATGCGTACTGCGACAGAGAGAACTTATCGGAGAAGGTCGTCGAACGGAGCGAAAAAAGTTCTAGCACGTTGGTCGCGAACACCACCGACAGGATATCGGGAGATGGTAACGTCAGGATAGCTGTATCCGTTGGAAGTATCGTGCAGGATAGCGAGCAATCGTTGGGTTTCGATCAACAGAAAAACAATGGATGCTTGTACGAGATGTACACCTCTAATTCGAACGCGTGTCGGGGCGGAAACGAGGAGAAGGACGCGAGTATAGAAGCTTTGGATAATTCCGTGCTGCACACGAACACGGAAACGTGTACGGTGACGCTCGCGTCCGATATATGCAACGAGACTGATAGAAATTTTGTGTTGAGCGAGGGTTACGCGTTCAGGAAAGAGTTATCGGAGATCGAGGAGATATCGGAGAACGATCCGGGCAACAACGAGAATCACGAGAACGTATTTCGGAAGGACGTTAATTCTATGACGGAACGACGCTTTATCGCGAAAGCAGCAATAAAAAAACGCCAACGCGACAATCCGAGTTCCGAAACGTGCGATTCGCGCGTCGAGCTCGAAAACCACGAGATCCTGTGTAGAAAGGACATCGCGTCCGGAATAGTTTCCAGGAAACACCATAACTCGAACGGGTTACCGAGAAAGCGTCAACAGAAAGTTCATTCTGAGAATCCTGACTCTGAAATAGAACGTCGCGATAGCGTGTACAAAAGGAGCAGTGTAACGTCGAAGAAACGTATGTACTCGAAGAGGGGCGCGAGAAGGAACAATATATCTTCGAAGACGGTGTTCGAGGATGAAAACTGTAAAGATGATTCCTATTTAAGTATTACGTGTAAAAAGCAACAGAACCTAAAGGGTGTCAAGCAACCGGTTGACACCGTGACGTCGGAAGCGCAGGATTCCGACGTCGAGTGCGCGTTATCGGGACGCGTAAGTCCGACAATCATGGCGACATCGGAGCTTGAACAGAGACGTTCGAGCATCGAATTTCAGCCAGTTGTTAGAATGATGAAGATCGACGAACAAGTCGATATGGACCACAGTATTCTTTCGGTAACGATTGCTAGTAACAGACGGTTAAGAAGTTCCAGTTCCCCGAGATCGAATCCTCAGCCACCGAAAAAACGTTTAAAGACCAGTCGCGGTCAATTCAGAAGGTGGTTGAAAAGTAGCTGAAATCCTCGATAAGATTCTGTTATAGTTTAAATTTTAAAATCAAGATACACGTGTTACAACGTGAAATCTCGCTGTTGAAATTTAATCTATATTCCCGCCAAGTGTACATTATGTATAAAATATTATTTGTGTATGTAGAATAGTATTTAACACTACTGGCACCATCAATAGGATTTTATTAATATTCTTGTTAGTGTCTTTTCCCGATAATAGTTCTGTTAAGAATCCTTGTACATTCTTCAGATGCAGCCTTTGCGTTTTGTAAACAAACAAAAAATCGATCATTTCTATGTATTTGTATTTACAGAGTATGTACTTCGTTTCGTTTAACTTTGTTCGATGTACAGTGCAAGATAATAAACATACGAAAGAAATTATTTTCGTTCACAGAAACACTTCTTAGAGCGCGCAAGGCTGCATACAAGCTTTATTGTAGCATAATGATCATGTTCTGTTACAAAATGCATCATTGAATGTAACATTATATATTAAAGTCCCTCACGGGGGTCCACCTAAATATTTTATTTCAAAGAAAAATAATGTAAGCCTTTCATGATTTCAAAAAAGAGATGACTATTAAAGATATGAATTTTCCATTAAAAATGAAAGAAACAATCTACGTACTTTTAACCTTTTTTTACTCTCACACTTGTTTAACACAGTGTTTCTCAAATTGGGGTTCACGGAACGTGAGTGGAGGGCTTCCATACTTTTAAAAGAAAACATATTATATACTGGAATGAAAAAATACTTCTCGTAGTGTTTTCTATACATTTTAAATATTATAGTAAAAGTATCAAAGAAGAAACCAAAAGTTTACAAGTTTAGAATATATAACGAAATTTCTTATTCGTTAAAAGTGATTAAATTAACAAATTTTATTCTACTTATAAATTGTAACAAGACGAAATCTTATCTGGAAATTGAATGATGAAAATTTTTTAATATTACCATTTAAAAATATACTAAAAGAATAATTTTTTATTCTAAGGGGTTGGTAAAAGAATGTTTGAAAAACACTGGTTTAACACATAGATATGGTACTAAATGATATTGCATCTGGTCCTGATTTAACAAGGACTTAATTTTATTTACTCGTTAAAATTACATTATATAATATTTACAAAAAAAACTGTATTTTGATATCAATTAACTAATTATTTAAAATTTTCACGTTCTTTAAACGATTTCTTTAAATCTGCTAATTTTTTTTGCTTTTGTTTCTTCTTTATGGAATCCCTTTTTTTAAACTGTTCTTCTTGATTTTTAATAGAATCCTCACGATTGATAAAAAGATCCAATTTTGTGATCATATTGTCCCTGGCAATTTTTCTATTTTGTAACAAACTTCTGGTTTCATGGCATTTCACAACTAGTCCAGTAGGTTTGTGTTTTAAAACTACTGCATTTGATGTTTTGTTAGTCGCTTGACCACCAGGACCAGAACCTCTTACAAATTGTTCTTCCAAATCATTCTCATTAAGTGTAGGTACTTTTGAATAGTCTAGAAAGCGATTGTAAGACTTGCATCGAATCTGATTATCCAAAATGTTGATCAAATTATTATGATTTTCACTACATGAAAAACTATAAATTTTTTCATGAACCAATAAGAATACATATCTAGCCAATGATTGAGAAAAATAATTTTTATTTGATAAGGACTTCAGCATAGCTGCAATTTTCATATAATTATGTATTTAATTTAATTATAACAAAATTATTTATATGACTCGTTGATCCTGCAAAATCTTCTGTCCTTTCTAAAAAAGAAAAGTTTGCAAACAGAAATGGACAATTTTTATAGGTTAAGTAAAATAGATTACGGTTTATTTAAAAATAATTGTAAGTAGAAAATTTCACTATATTTACGTTTATTTTACCTGTAATTGAAAATCAATCTCTGCTTCGTCAGTCAAGCGTTTATTTTCTTTAAAACCTCTACGAATTCTGTTCTTAAAATACTTCGTTTCCGTGTACTTTAAATTTTCTCCGTAACGCAATAGATCTTTGTACAGTTTTAAAACTATTTGTCTCATTTTGTATTTTTGTAATAAAGTTGAAATGTTTTTATAGCCCGTTATTAATTAACATTATCCTAAATTATTAATAACGTAAGGCACCTAAATCGATCGTTGCCAGCAGAGATGCCAGAAAAGCACCGTCGGGTGCACACGCACACATGCCAGATACGCGTACGTGAGCTCGTGGAGTTTCGGAAAGTCGACAAAAGCAAACTGACGCATGCCCTCTTTCTCGATTCTCCGAAGCTGCCCGAAGTAATTTCGGATCGCCTCGTGGGAGTCGAGAGAGAAAGGCTCACATTTGCCTTCTCGCTCTAAACAACTGAAATCCGACCTCCCGTCAACGGCATACGATTTGGATTCTCGAGCCGAGATTCTCGACTGCCCAGGCATTTTTACTTTCCGACCTATGTAGGCGCACATAAGGAAAGTACCCATAATGAAAAAAAAATTTTGTAAAATTTATTTTACGGAAATACACGTTTTAAGACCTCCTGATCATATTTTAATTATTGAAAAAAAAGAAATTTTTTTTTATTCCCATGTATGAGCACACATATGTATATTATTAATACGATTTTTGAAAATCAAAATACTTTAAGATTGAAAATTAATAAATTAAAATGAGATTCCACTCTTTACCAGTATTGAGCACGCTGTGGTATTTTTCAATAAGAAGAGTACTTACTTTTATAACAAACAAACCAGTAGAATTAATAATTGCAGAAATTAATTAATATTGATTTTCCTCGATTGTTTTGAGATAAATCAATTTGTTATGACGAACTAAATAGAACTAACTAGAAACAAAGGAAAAGTATCCCGTTTGCCAGTTTAATACAAAGTATGGGTTGTATCTTAAATTTTAAAAGGACATAGTCGAATATTTTTAAAGCTACAAAACATAGCGTTTCATTGTAGAACAGTAACATAAGTTAGCAGGTAATGTCATAAAACTGTTTTTCCCAGCTATATCCCTTTTTACCTGAAGTATAAGGTAAAAAGTACGAGCTACAAGGTACGACTATCCGAAAATCGTTCACATTTTATCAATGTAAATGAAGCGGCCTTTCCATCAGAGTTAAATACAAAATTTTGTTATTTCTGTGAAAACAAAACTTTCAGTAAATGTACGTGGTGTTTGAAATTTTTATGTTTTGACTGTTTTTGTGAAAAGTACCATCCAGATTCATGTACTTCGTACATTGAAAATAACATATGTTAAATATAATCGGTTAAATTTAACTTTAAAAAAAAATATTCGAAGGTCAGACAAAAATATAATGTCATATTTAGTGTACGATTAAAGTATGATTGAAAAAATAAAAAAAAAAAAGTTCAAGCAGGATTCGAACCAGCAGAGCAGAACAAGTTCGGAACTTGCAGGCAAAGACCTCATCACTCACGCCACGCTGATTAGTGGTGAACATAGTTCTATTTCTGAAAATAAGTATCTGTAATAACTTTAATAATATCTCAAAGTAAAACCTAACTCAAAACCTGGTACCATTCCAATTTTTCCTTGTTAGAAACGAGTTTTCAATTTGTCTTAGCGAAAGTCGCAATCACATTTTGCACATTATTCTAAAACATTTGTGGTATTCGTTTTCAATGCGATTTAAGTAAGCATGTAATGTATAAGATTTCATTTAATGTTTTCTTTTCTAGAGAAGATAGAGAAAAAGTTTATATAATTTTTTTTATATAAAATTTAATTCGTCCTAAGATTTATATGAAACATTTAAAAGATTTTTTATACATTATGCCTATATATCGGAACAACTATGAAACAAGAGGTATAATCTGTAAGGAGTGTATGTGTGTGGCTAGGAGAACCGTTATCGTTTGCGTCGATAGCAGTGTTTAGTCTAAGCTAGAGTAGGTATCGAGTGAGGTGTTTAGGTTTAAGCTGAAATACGTTTTAGAGACTGCGTCTCGAACGTGCGTTTTGTTTAGATCATTATTATAAGATAGGAATAAGGAAGGGTCGACTTTGACTGCAGGAACGTCACTCTGTATCGAACGTTAGTCGAGAGCAATCACAGTTTTACGTTTATGATCTTTTACGTTTACGTTTTATGTCTTTCTTTTATGTTCTTTATGTTAAATAGTTAGTAAATATTAAATAATATAATTACATCGTTACGTTTAGTGTTCACGTATTTGAATCCGTCCACACGCCTTTGAAATGAGAACATAAAACTTAAATGTAAAGTTTCATTTAAATTCATTCAGCTATTTATATTCAATCGTATTAATAATATACATATGTGTGCTCATACATGGGAATAAAAAAAAATTTCTTTTTTTTCCAATAATTAAAATATGATCAGGAGGTCTTAAAACGTGTATTTCCGTAAAATAAATTTTACAAAATTTTTTTTTCATTATGGGTACTTATGTATTACGTTAATTCATTATGTATTATGTTAAGTTTCAATAAATCAAACACCGACATATAAAGGTATAGTTTATTTAAAAAATTTATATTTGCAATATAAAATTGTTTGGAAAATTTTTTGCTATACAAATGTGATTTCACAGTTTAATTCGACACGAACAAACGTTGCTCCTAAACTTCTTGAAATTCCATCTCGAACATTTTTTGTATGAGGTCGGGCATTTGTAATTCGTTTGCTATTTCAATCATTAGCTCCTCTACCAGTTTGTCGGATATCCTGTTTTAAAAGAATTTCTTAAATATCGTAAATCATTAATGATACCGGCAAAATTGTTCAGTTCCCGAGAAAACAGCTTGTAACAATTTATGCAACTCGATTTGTTTATTTATCGTTGTTACATTTATGTTTGAATTTTCAATAAAAATGAAAAATCTCATTAATAAGATAGGTATAATTTAATATTTTTACCATGCCACAATATCCCACGGTTTGTTTTGTGTGCTGCTAGAATACATTGGCTTTGATTGGCACATCTTTTTATATTCATGTCTATATGCTAAAAACTGTAGTTCAGTTTCTTTTGAGACATTAAGTACAATCTCATTTTTAGTATCAAAATTTATATTTTTCCTGTCACTAATACTCTAAAAAAATAGTTTTAGTAATATTTATAGTCTCCTTATTTAAAGATGCGCGCTTTAATTTTCTTGCCTTATTTAAGCTTACCGCAGTCTGATTATCTGCTTGGCATGAAGCATCGCATTGTACCAATTTAGACTCCTTATCCATAGACGACACACAAACCAGTTGTACATTTTCACCGTATTTCTGAATTTCAGATAAGCTGTCATGATACAGAAAATATTTCGTTCTTATTTTATCTAATTGACATGTACTTTTATTACTACGATTTATTTACCCATTTAATTTGATATGCGAATGTTTACAGCTATCATCCGTCGAAGATGCTTTTGTATCGGAATCTTTAGGAGACTGATATTTTTGTAAAAACTCTATTAGCGTTTCCATAGAAGCTTCCGATGTAGGCTGCGCTTCTGGCTCGTGTTGCTGTCGTGAAATTTATAGTATACTTAACACCAGATTTACGGAACCCGTCAATTTAAAAAAAGACCGCATTTAAACGTAATCATCAACATAACGGATTTCAATAAAGATACGTGCAATCATTGTCCGTAAATCTAGTGTTAACAATCAAATTAATTTGATGGAAGTTTATTTTATCGTTGACATTACCTTTTTCGATACTAGAGTCATTAGACCGCTTATTACAGGAACTAGAGTAGATAAATGGCCTTTGGTAATTCTTGTTACTTTTTTTATTAAATCGTCGTCATTTGTAAAATGATGTTCTTTAATATCTATATCTTTGTCATCTGTATGCTTTGATTTTAATATCTCGACAGATGGCTTTTTCTGTAATACTTTAGACTCTTGTACCATTCTTATTGTATTACTGCATTTGGTTCGAGTATCTAGATTACTATTCTATTTCACAAAATAATTTTTTATTTAAACTGCTTCTAGTATATTGAGAGCTTATTATCGATATATCTTACATTGTCAGAATCTACAATTACTTCATCCATCATGGTTCTAATATCGTCTTCTTTCAGATAGTTCACGTTCTTCATCTCATCAATCCAAACAACGTCCCTTGAAGACGATGACTGTGTTACAGGACTAGGGTATAGCAACTCAGGTACCAAACAATGTCGATTGTGTGTATTTTTAGTTTCTACGACATTATACTTCTTTTCCTTCTGACAAGAATAGTCTGAAAAATATTCATTTAAATTTTTAAAACAATTAAAATTATAAACTTAATATTGTAAAATTTTAAGCAATTTCGTATACTTTTGCTTCTTAAATTGTTCTTTCTTCTCTGATTAGTTTTAGGTACATCCACGCTGTACATGCTTAGACGACTGGATAGATTTTTCTTATAAGAACATCTTTTATTGCGTAAAGACGTTGGAGCGAGAGTTACCGTAGACTCAATATTTCTATGATTTGTAGATTGACATTTATCTCCTAAACTCAACTTCAATTTAGATAAAATACCATCGATTTTATCCTGAAGTTCCTTTTCCTAGAATACACAAATTTTATAAACAATCTATTGCGTATGAATTAGTCAAATTATTTTTATTCAATGTGTATTACCACTAGCAACGTATTGGCGTCTCCTGCGCATAAATAGTTGGTGGAGATCTCAACTTTGTTGCAGATATCTCTTAGGTCACAAACAATCTGTAATACATTTTGTAGTTTCTTCGGATGGCCATCGAGTGTAGAGTTAGGAATATGCTTGCAATAAGCGTTTAAAGCTTGTATTAATAATTGATAGGCGGCGATCAGTTCTTGTTTAATTTTGTCTTGATGAAATGCAATATTTTTCTGACACTGATTTAGCCTCGCGTTGATAGACAAAGCTCTAACGTGTCTTTGAATGCTTACAAGAAGCCTGTTAAGATTATATAGATAATTTCTTGAAAATCTTATGGCAAACTCCGTAGTTTGCTGTTGCCTTCTTTTTAGATCTCTATCACCATCTGGCAGAGGAATCTTGCATAATCTAAATGAAATTTCATTTAGTAACTCTGCCACTTTCTTTTGCATTGATAAAATTTTTTCTATTATAAGTGGATCTGGTTGTACGCAAACAATATCGCTTCTGTTATTACTTAAGTCTGAATCAGAATTATTTTCAAAGTGATTGGTTGTGTGAAGAAGTTGACTTGTGTAATGCTTCTTCTGTGTTATCACAGGATCTGATAGAGATATTTTAGCTTTTGATTTAAAACCTCTTTTGGTCCCTTCGGTTTCTTTACAATTCGAAACATTTCCTTGTAAAATTGGAATTTGAATATCAGTGTTGTTTGTGTCCTTATCTTTTATTAGAAACTTCTGCTTCTCTGAATCATCCCTGACGCTGTTTGCCTAATAGTTACAAAATAATATGAATTTTATATTATCTTAATATAATACAGAGACCAAAATAGAAATTTGAGTGACCACCATAGCAGTCTACGACACTTCCTCATGGTACTAAAAAATTAAAAATACACACCTCTACATATGTGGTTTTTTCAGTTTTGTTATTAAATTTACAACTGCAAATCCCCTTATTACATTCAGGAAGAGCATCCTCCCGAAGTCTCTTAAGTTCTGTATCTATGTCTTGCATATTTTCTTGAAAAAGATCTTTGACATCTTCCATAGACCAGTGGATATCATTTTTGTTAAACTTTAGACTATTTAACTCCTGTTCTTTAACAAATGAAGTCCAGATGCGCTCTTCGTCCTCCTTGCGCCTTTGTCTTTGTACACTTTTTACTACCTGTTTAAAATGACTTTCGGGTATATACTGCAAGGAAGAATGTTGTATGATAATGAGAATTTGTTAAAATAATTGTGTCAAGTACAACATACATTATATACGTTATTATAAATAATAAATATGAATACCTTAAAACTATAATTATCTTTCATTTTGAAAGCAAGAAAATGTTCTCTGTCTTTATTATTTATTTCATTGGTTTGTCTGCTTTCTATCATAAAAGGCATTTTTTTTTCGTGGTTATGTCGATATCAGTGAATTATTTAAATAATTTTTTTTTGCGTACGCCGGTACGCCGAAAATCGTATAGTAAAAGGCATGTAAATTCTGAAAAAATCGGACGTGAGCCTGTTTTTCTTCGGATGGTGGTGCGAAGAAAGTTAGAAAAATACTTTCTTTTCAGTTTTGAACAGGAGTTAAATTGGCACTTCAAACTCGATATTTCAATCGTATGTAAAAAATACTTCAGAGTATTCTCATATCGTTCATATCGAAATTTTAAGTTCATGTTGTATAATACATAAGTTTATATGTATACGCGTTCATATGTAAATTCTCGATAGCATATACATGTATTCATACAACATGTTTACAAGAAGATCAACTATGTTAATTTAAAAATTTTTTTTTCGCCTTATGTGACCAAAAAGTTTATGTATGTGACATTTTTTTTTACTTAACCATTTAGAATCTAGAATAATATTGTCACTTACGCTCGAGCATACTCGAGCTCAAAAGTTAAACGATTAAAATCGGTTCTCTTTTTAAATTATATTTATAATTTTCTAACATTCCACGAACAAGAATTTTATATTGTAAAAACACCCAACAATTAAATGGTTACCGTGAAACTTTGCCTTTTCACTTTCTTAACATTTCAAATGAAAAATTAAGCAGGAAAATCTGTTCAATGTCAAAATACTCAGTTAAATGTTTCTTTCCTTAGTAACGCGCGAATGTATAGAAAGTTGAAAGCTTCGTACAAGTACAGGAAAAAATGATATTCCACACGGTTTTACGGAAGTCGAATATGAATAAATGTTGAGAGATAGGATCGGTAGAAGCATGGGCGCGGCCTATGGTGTGCTATCATTTGTTAAATACCATTGGATCAATACTCCCGCGCGCAAGGACATAGAAAACACAGGTCGTCTTGCGAACGAGTTTTGTCCTGCGTATCTGAACGTAGTCCACCTGACGATCTATACATTGTGCGCGCTTAGTTTTGAAACTGTCGAGCTAGCTCGACCACGATGAACTCAGTTTCCATCTTTTGGATTAAAATATTACAGAAATTTTGTGCAATGCCCTGACCATCTATCGTTCTCGTCCGTGTAACTTGCGTTTAATTTCTATTTGCGTTCGGTGAAATCGTTTTAGTTGCTGTTGCATTTTGATCGCGAAAGTAGACATCCGCCATTGTTGCTAGAGCATTAGCCAATCCTTCGTTGGCGCGATGTGACGTCAGAGAATAAAGGCGCAGAATCACGGTTCGCCGAGCTCCCTTATACCTTGTGCGCTGTCGAATTTTTGGCTTTCGTTTCGCAAAACAACTGTCAGTTCAAATGTAATTCGGTAACGTATAGAAGAAAATTTGTGTGAATATTCGCGGCGATCCGACCCGCTATACGATCCTTTATATTCCTTTCATTGTCGCGTATTTAATCGATCTGTGTTGCTCGCGTTTCTCCGATGTCATTAGAATATGCCGAACGACGATGCTGCAGCGCGGGATGATCTTAGTATCGTTGCACAATTGCTAGGTTCTTGGACACGTTACATGCACAAAATGAACGAATAATAGGCGAAAATCATTTCGATTAAACGTATTTGCCGCTTGAATGTTATTTCTATTTTTCGAACAACAAAATCGTTCCACTGATACGATAGATTGCACAGTAATACACGGCGATCGGTCATATTCGAAATTTTCATGTTATTTAATGAAATCATCAATTTTATAACGTATTTTTTAGGTATCCGTAAGCATGATCAATTTTTTAGAAGAGGCTTCTTAGTTTTACTCGTCCGTGTACCATAAAACAGTTGTCTACCTCAACGGGCATTGTCTCTAACAAATATTTATGTTTTACTTTCTAAATTAATCATAAAACTTCCAAGAATGGCGTCCAAAGTGTTGGTTAAATTGCCAACTGTACCTTTTCCTCAAGTAAGTACCACGTAAATCTTGTTTAAATAAATTTATAAACATTTTAAACAACAAAACATGTAAATATTTTTGCAGGGAAAGAAATCACCATCGGACATAGTAGCATTAACAGAAAGAAACGAAGGATTGAATCAAATGCTCAGACATCAAAGTATGAATGTGGATAGGGTGGCTCAATTAGAGCAAAATATGAAATTTTTACAAGAACAGCATCAAGCAACCTTGGTTGCTTTGCACCAGGAAGTCGAATCATTGCGACAAAAGAATAGAGGTAGCTCGCATCGCATAACATTATTTAACTCTTTGCACTCGTAAAATAATATACTTTGAAATTGGTTCAAATTTGACTGCTACAATGATTCTGACAACGAAATCACGAAATTGTTTTGAGTTGATAGCTCCTTTTAGTGAAAAAATCGAGCGCAAAGAGTTAATCTTTTTACAGGCAAATACAACTCTAATATTCTTCGCTTAAAAATAGATTTACAGTTTCAATTGGTATTCTCAAAAGGATCTACTACGATACCTAGCACTCCTTCTTCTCCTGAAGACAATGGAACTGGGTTCATCAAACCAAAGGTATTTTTGTACTTCCAGAATGATCTAAGATTATATTTCTTAATTTTTAGAATCCGAACAAGCTTTCTAATCTTGAAATGTTCTAAGATTATATCAAAATCGCGCACATTATAATCTTTGTTTCACAGGGTAGCCCAGTATGCGTAAACATTGCACCATTACAGGTAGAACTTCTGGAGAAAGATTTACAAGATATTAAAATATCGCTACAAGAGGCAAAAACGCAAAACCAGTATTTCTCTGAGATTATCGAACAACAAAAAAAGTTAGTAATCACGATGAACATGAAAAACGTTTACCTTGTATCTATATATAAATGGAGTTTTATTCGTTCCAGAAAGCTAAATTCCGCTGAAGAACAGAAAGTGAATAAACAGCCAATGACGGATATAGGAATCCAAGTTGGGTCTAGACTCGATCCTGTCCCGGGAGATTTGGTCACGTTTTTGGAAATCACGGAAACAATGGTAAACGGATTACGCAAACAAAACGAGGATCAAAAGAAAGAAATTGCAACACTAAAAGCAGCATCAGCAAATACGACGAATGCTAACAGAAAGGTTCGATTTTGCGATAGTAACAACAGCCATCATACTCGTGGATCGCCTACCAGTGCCACGCAAGAACAAACACCTCACAAATTTCCACCGTTACAAAGCCAAAGCTACTGGCACCGCAGAGTACCTAGGTAACATTTAAAGTATTTAAAGGCGCAGTCTGTTAATTTCATGCCAAAAAATTGTTGTTTACTTTATTCCCTCAAAGATTTGAATTTTAAAATCATTATTTTGAAAAAATTATGATGAAACTTGAAAAATAATCAATATTTTAGAATCGAACACTAATTAGAGGTAGCAAATTAATGGCAAGCGACCAAATACTAAATAAAATTCATTTCATAGTTTAACTTGTTGGATTGTTCATTTTCTCAATGACTCTTCTATTGTAATTTTTGACCTGAAGTAACAGACTGCTCCCTTAATACTACTATTGCGTGTATTTTTGTACTATATTTACAATACTGATTGATGCAGAAATGGAAGAAATCGACATGATAGACAAGATCTTCAATCAGAAATAGATTCTACCATATTACCGCAACTTCAAAATGGTAGCATTCAAAATTTTGAATCACCATTTAATTGGTCACAATATCGTAAGTATTCTCGCGATGAAAGATACCGAAAATATAATAGGGGTCAAATGTCACAGAAAGATCGTAGAGATACCGATCACCATCCTCATCGACGAGATTATAAGGATAGAAATTCCAAAGATCATCAAAAAGAGTTTGTAGGCTCTGCAGAGGGATCGAGAGAAGCAGACAACTCTGCGGGTAGTAAATCATAAAATGGAAACAGTCTGCCAACATATTAGATACGTAGCAGACGTTTGGTCCTCTACCTAAATACAAACGAATGTAAGGAACTTTTCAATAGCGGTATATTTGTTAAGAAGAGAATAATCTACTTTTTCTTGTACCCGCTTCAAACAAAATAATTAATGTCGATTACGTGGATATAGCTTGCAATAGAATAGTGACAACATAAAATTGAGATTATACAATCTTCAATGTGAAAATCTAGTCCAATTTTACTCATTATAGGATACCGATATAAAAGTAGTACATGCGCTTTATGGATCAGTGATAATTAGCGAATACGATTACTTGTGCTACCATAAATTAAATCGAAAAATATGTGATTGTTCCATTTTTACTGGAAGGAATGATAACATATTTTTTTCTTAAGAAAAAGTAAATAATAATAATAATAATATTAATGATGATGATAATACAAAAGATACGACCAATATTTATATGATGTTAGTTTCTGAGGCTTAAAGTGACCAAAGCTTAAGCTTAATATGCGTGCAATATTTCAGTATTGAGTGTGCGTGTAATAAATTTTTATTTTAGAGTACCGAGTAATTATAATTTGTAATAGTTTTTGTGCAGTTTTATTGAAAAGAGAATCAGTATATCTTTGAACGATATAGCTGTCGTCGATGTTGCAACTGATGTTATTTTAAAAAATTAACAATTATTTATATTAGATACATAGACATTTGTCGTGTTAATATAATTTGATTAATAGTATGATCATGTGTAAAAGAAAATTATATCTTTAAATTAATGGAATATTAAATGGCAATATAATATTATTCTTTTTATTTAAATCGATAAGTTTGAATTGTTAGTCGAATTTATTTTTTATCGCATGACCGTCTTAAACAAAATTTACATTTCTTCAAAGAAAAGTATAAACATCGCTTTCATTTGCATTCTATCCGAAGTGAGCATTGAGAGTGAACAATGAAAAAAGTAGAGCCTTGATCTACTTATGATGAAACGAACGGATAGTAAATATGCATAGCAATACACAGAGTAATAGATAAACTTGCAAAAATATCAAACGACGATAGAAGTCGAAATTCGGTAGTTGTTTTTTTATCCTAACCCTAATTTGACTCCGATCTAACTGGTTATTGGTTGAGAAGAAGTCAATTGAAGATTGAATTTGAATGTGATTGGTGATGTGGTTCGAAAGTGGGAAATTCATAAATACTATTGGCTGTTGTTGCCTTTTTCGAAAGGATTGCAAGTATGAATTGCCCATTCTTGACTTAGCCGCCGGGGCAATCAATGGTAGTTCAAGGATTGGATATGTAGATATACAAGGTGTTCGACTACCTCTGGGAAAAATTTTAATGGGATATTCTAGAAGCCAAAATAAAACGAAAATCAAGAATACCAATTTTCGATGAAATTAAAAAATTTCAAAACATTCTAAAAAAATATTTTCGGTTGCGGGGGTCAATTACAATCATTTTTGGTGAACGGACATACCACCGAAATCCTACGCACTTTCGAGAAAAAAATTCATCACCGAAAATATGATGTGAGACCAGAAATGGTTCACCGAAATTTCATGCGTATGTTTAAAATGTCATAACTTCTGAACGGATTGAAGGATTTTAATGTTTCAAAATGCAAACAGCGCGTATTTTACGGGAGTATATGTAGAAATTCTAAAAATATTCAAAAAATTGTTTCTTAACCCCGTAAACTGAGATAAACCCCAGTGGTCCAATTTTCAAACGACCATAACTCCTATAATAGTGAATATATTTCAATGAAATTTTGCTGCGAAGTAGAGCTTATGGGTACCTACAAAAAAGTACTAAACGACTTTTTCGTAGGGATTGCCGAACACCCTATATAGGAATGTGTGGTCAACAGGCTGGAACAAGGCATCCCTCTGCCGGCGAGTACGGAAGGTGTCGCCACAAGTACGACGCAACTTTTGACCTCAAACGATACAATAAAGCTTATTATTTAAATTTTAACGATTTTTGTTGAAGTTTTCAGATGAAACCTACAACAGAGGTAACATAAATAAAATTGTGCTAAAGAATATTTGTAACCATCGCTTAAATTCATCTACATGTCTGTACAGGTAAAATTTATTGATTTTCAAAATGATGAACGTTGTAAGAGATTGGAGCGAGCTTTGAAACTCAATATGATGAAAGAGATAAATAGGGAGGAAAAAAATGAAACGTATCCGTTACCTATGACACCTAGTAGTATTTCTAATATCAATATGGATACATTTGAGTCAAGTAGCCATTCTAATTTTCTACAAACCTCCAAAATCGGCAGTGAGGTTGTTTCTTCGTCCAAAAATTTAAGAAATATGGTCTTGAAAGAACTTCACACAAACAGTTACAAACCAATTGCTACGTCTAGCGTAAAAAGAATGAACATGACAAACGATTCTCAGGATAATTATTCTTTAATGCCACCACCTCCTAACTCTGTAGTACCTAGTACTATTAAAACATCAAACAATGCATCATGGTGTAATGATGTCAGAATACAGTCAATGACAGAGTCCGATATTGACAAAGATTGTTCTAAAAATGATACCAGTTCTGGTACAAGTAAAACCAAAAAACTTAAAGTGTTTTCAGAATGGAGGGTCATGTTAAACAACCAAGATAAATTAATTATCAAAGGAACAATACATCGGTAAGTTCATTTTAAGTGGTATATCATTCAAGGGAAATGCAAAATTGAATGTAGCAAAGTAAAAAAGATTTTAGGCAGAGAATATTTGATTTTGTTTGGAGGAGTGCATTTTAAATAGTTTGAAAATAATTGGTTTAAATAGTTATACATATATTTTGGTTTTAATTTTAGTTTATTGTTTTAGTGGAATATATGCTCGTAGCAAGCCTATTGCGAGACGATTAACAAATAATATTGTTGAATCTGTTTGTCAGCATTTATACAGTTTAGAAGGAGATTTGGTTGACAAAGATTGTGGTAAATAGTTTGTGTTATATTAGTTATTGATCACATACTGTGCATTTAACAGTTTTTAATTATTTTATAGATTTGCCAGATTATGTTAGAGATAAATTTTTGTATGGATTTCCCAATGACTGGTTAAATGTTTGTGACATCTGGAAAACATTTATAAGTCAAGGATGTAAAATATCTTTTCGCTGGCCTACTTCCATCACGGACAGTGACGATGATTTAAATAATGAATTAACAGACGTCACGTTTGTAGCTCCAAACAGTCCGGAAAATACAGTTTCAAAGTCATTCAAAGAATTCAATATATCGCCTCCGAATAATTCGAATGTCTTGCAGACACAAACAGAGAAGCAAAATCATAGTTCACATGTACATACTTTAAGTAATTCGTTTACTCAGACATCAATATCTGGCACGAGTCCTATTTCATGGTCGCATGATAATAAAGAGAATAGTCAGCAACAAAAAAATGCGACTGTAAATTGTTTATATTCCGATAATGAAATACGTAATATAAAGGAAAAGTTGAATCTTATTATAGATACTTTAGCAAATAAGAATAGTCCTAACGATTGTCTGCATACAATTGGTCAAATACTTGACCGGTTACATTATATTATATTATATGGATCAGTTGGAGCTAATGAGTCCAATATGGCGAATGCAACATCGGAACGAAATGAATTGACGGTGCATGCAGATAGTAACGAAAGGAGTCACAGTTCGAAAGAATATTGCTCGTCTGAAGTTATTCCTTTGCAGAATATTACCGAGATTGTTAAAAATAAGTCGATAATCACGGATAACAAACTTACGGAATATAATGATTTATTACAAAAGAACAAAACTGTCATCGATGCAAATAAAACGAAAGTTACCAACGATTCTGATAGCGAAAGTGAAATATATGCTGGAGTTCGTAAGATATCAGTAGAACAATTATTACAGCATAAGAAACTGTCGATACAATCTCCTAAACGTAAAGGAAGAAGAAATGTTTCGCATCATAAATCAAATAAAGAGGAAAAAGAACAAACTTCAAGTAAATCTGAAGTTAAAAGTATTACTGGTACACGGAAGAATACACAAATTTATAAGATAAATCATGATGATTCTAGCATCAGTATTTTAGAAGACATCAGAGACAATAAATATTCAAGTCACAATAATTATATTAATCGAAACGTTAAGAGTAACGTTAATAGGCGTTCTAAGTCTGATACAATTGGAAAGCAATCGAACAGTACAAGTGCTGCTCCTATAGTGGACAATAATATGTATGAAGTGCAGGAACATTTCAAACAGAAAAATTCAGCATTCACATTTAATATCATAGAAAATGGTGAATGTATTGGTAATGAATATGTAAAAAGTAAAAACGATACGGTGGAAGAAAGCTTTAATAGAAAAGCTATTAAGAAATGTGAAACTACGAATTATCAGTGTCCAAATTGTGCATCTCATGAACAGGCTAAAAATCATTCAAAATCTAATGTAATTAATTCAGTGCCTATTGTAAATTTAGTAGACATAATGAATGTTGGTACGCGTTTTAAAAATAAAAAAATTATACCTCCATTAAACAATTGGACTGGTAAGATATTGAAAGTTATTACTAAACTGTAGATGTTTGTACAAATGCATAATATTATAGAAAACAGATAGAAAAGTAAAATCTAAATAGAGATTTGTTTTGTCATTAGAGGCCACATATTTAAATTCATGAACCCTGGTTCATATATTATAATTACATATTTTACATGATTATTGGCATAAATATCTGCAGTTTCATTATTTTTCTAGAAATTCTATTAATACAATACAGTTCGTGCAAATTATTATGTTTGTCTTCTTCCAGGAGAACGCGTTTGCGAAAAAGAGAATAGTTCAATACAGTGTCTCGATAATTTACGAGTTTCTTTGATGAATGTTTTGTATGAAAATCCCAGTAAAAGTAAAACTGCAAATCAACAAAGGATACAAGGGAATAACGACAGTAGGAACAGTAGCAATTTAAGTGAATTAAAGGTGCTTGCTATGGCCACTGAAGTTAATGTAATTTTCAATTTATTACGTTTAATATATTACGTTTTACTTTACAGAATAGTATCACAAGTTCTCCAGAAAAATCAAATGACACCAAAATTAGAAAGAATCCAGAGGAGTTTGAAAGCAATAATCTCGAAAAATTACAGAAAGCAAAGAAAAGGCAAATCGATCAGCAGGTATCAGACTCGAGCATCCCTAGCGATTGTTCAGACGTTCCTGTGCAGAAGGTAATGTTTTTTTTTTTGTATATTCATTAATATCTTGATGATATTTCTATTTGCATTGACAGAGGCAAAAAATAAACGCGAAACGACGGGAGTCACCGAATTTCAATCGATCGGGAAATTCAGAAAATTTAGTAAGTAATTGATCACATATTTTACTACATTACCGAATATACAATTACGTTAATTTTATAGTATAAACATTGCTCGAACAATGGAGGATCGAAACCGACGTTGAGATCAATGAAGTCCTCGAATGCCAGAACTAAACAAACGTAATTTTTGAAAATGTTATTACAGTAGTTGTCACTAGCGTTCAAGGGACGCTCACGCCAAATTTAAGATACACTTAATTCCATATCTATGCTGGTGGCATCAAGACTGGCATCTAAAACGATGTTACAATATTCTGTGTGAAGCATAATATCGATATAATCGATATAAATAATAATATCGATATTTATAATGATTATGAAGGTATAACCTAAAAATAACGGTAAAATATCCATAGAAGTTCCTGATCCCTTGAGCGCTGTTTCTCAGTATCGTGTTCGGTACTGTTAATACACTATATTTATTCAGGTTTCACCAACAATCTTCGGTTGGCAGTTCCAATATAGTATATGCTTATTATAATGATATTTCGACAATTGATAAAGTATTATCCACTGACGAAGAGTCTCGTATATAAAGTAACATATCGCTAGTTGATTTTAATTCATGTATATTTGTTATTTTAATATTATAACTAAGGTAGAGTACACATTTTTATTATATTTTTAAATAAAAGATATAGTGTATTTTTTACCTATATTCAATACTTATTATAAAAAAATACAAAAATATTTTCGTTTTTGACTTCCAGTGTTAATATGCCGTTCGAACAGTCAGATTAATTTCTATAGCAAGACCGAGCGTGTCGTAAAAGGTAGGCTTTTCGATTTATATCCCGTAGGACAATTTGCATATTTCGGCTTGTTGTACAATTTGGGGGTACTCTCACTGTAATAATGGCGTTCGTATACAGGCTTTGCACTCCAAATTCAACTTTTTCTACAAAAATGTGTTCTTCAGTTTTTGTAATAAAAATGAAATGAAAGATAAGTTTATTATAGAACAATTATAAAATCACAAGATAAAACAGCTTTATAGATTGTTTTATTATTTAATAATATAATTTAACAATTGTATAAAGTATGTAAGAAATACATTCCATTTCTAAGTCAGTAACATAAGAAATATACAATAACTTAGTATTGATAAAAATTAAAATTGAGTGAAAATGTTGTACATACATTAAGGATGCATAAATTAGTATGCATTACGGTGGAAAATAAAAATATAAGTAAGTATCATGTCTTACGATTTTTTAAATCGTACATGATGTACATGTATTTTTTTTTCTTTTTTTTTTCTTTTTTTTTAGAGAGAGAGAGAGAGAGAGAGAGAGAATCGAGTCCGCCGTGATGTTATATATACATATGTACGTGTATATGTGAAGTATGCCTCCAATATTGGTTATCTAATTATAGAAACGCTTAAGAGATTGGAAGATTATCGGTAGGTCAATGCGTTGCAATATAATGATTTTATAAGTGAACTCGGCAATTCCTTTTTATACAAGACGGCTAATGCTCATCGTTAACACTTTGATGGTCACACATTTCAAACGATGATTGTTGCCTGCCGCAAACTATTTTTTGCGATAGACTCAATCTGATGAAAGCTTTTTAACCATTTTTCAACATGAAGCTTCTAAATTCAACATTTTATAAATATTCAAATATTAGCTCTACATAGTTTTATCATCGAGTAAACATACAAATACCATTTTATCTTCATATATTTTTTTATCCACAGAAACTTTCATTAAAAATTATTTTTGAATTATGAATTTATGAAAATTGAAATTGCCGGTTAACTTGTTTGAATTTAGCTCGATTAATTGTCAACTGCTTTTGTACAGCAGCTTTGAGACAGCTTTCTATACTGACATTGTGGACTAAAGCGAGCACACGAGGATGCTATGAATATTATTATAAGGAATTATAAATATAGGCGTAACATCACGAGTAAACGAGATTAAACTTGAACCCGAACAACCATAAGTTAAATGATGACTGAAATAGTAAAATCACGTACACGCGACAACGGCCATCAAAGTGTTAAGAGCATTTTTATTGCAATGCGATTCCCGATTCTTTCTTAAATTAGTATACCAATACGTTAATTTTACGTAATGATATAATCAGAAAGTACGACCTATTATGCACAAACGAATCCGTTAGCTTTCATCATATAGAGGAGTACCGTCTCCGCTAAGAGACATACTCCGAGGACTAGAATTGGTGTGTGGCGTTCCTCGAGGAGATTTGTAAGACGGAGTTCGCACCGAAGTTCTGTTTCGCGGCGTTGTTCTTCCAACAGTTTCTTCGTAATTCCGTGGAGTTTTCCTAGACTCGTCATATCTTGGGGTCGAACCGCTAATAAAAGATTTACAAAAAAGAAAAGAAAAAAAAGAATAAAAGATTCAAATTTATGGATTAGTATACAGGGTGTTAAAAGGGAGGCTTCGTTAAAAAGTTATTAACAATTAAATTAAAAAATTTCAAATCGTTCTGGAAAAATTATATTCGGTTGCGGGGGTCAATTACAATCATTTTTGGTGAATAAACATACTCCCAAAATCCTGTGCATTTTCGAGAAAAAAATTCAGTACGGGTGGAACCTTAAACGTTAATAACTTTTTAACAAAGCCTCCATCAGCAAATTGGTATTCTTGATTTTCGTCGTATTTTGGCCTCTAGAATACCCCATTAAAATTTTTCCCATGGATGACCGAGCACCCTGTATATATCAAGGGGTTAAATATATTATTAGATAAAGAGATACTTACGATACTCGTGGGCCGCTTTTTAATCTCGCCCAGGCTTCTGCCGCTTTTTTCCAGTCCATGGGATCGCCAGGTGTCGACATAGGTGGTGTAGGTCTGTGCGAAGGAGTGGATCTATGGTGACCAGAAGTAACCGAAGGAGGAGGTGGATGAATGAAAGGACCCTGTTGGTGATTGGGCGTCTGTTGTCCGTATCTAGGAGTTGGTTGACCATGGTGTGGGGTATGGTGGGGTGTTTGGTACGGTGTCATGAAAGGTGTTTGACCAGATGGCGTGTAGGGTGTATTCGGGTAAGTGTGTACTCCGCCATAACCGGCTGCACTTGCAGTTCCAGGAGTATGCGGTGGATAGTGATGTGGGGTTTGATTTGCTACTTGCGACAAAGAGTGTAACATGTGATGAGGGAGATTTTGTGCCACCCTTTGTATCGCTTCTTGGTTCATTCCTGCAATATCGTGTTCAGATCGTTAGTACCTGGTTATTAACATAAGAGTTAACGTGCGTGAATCTAATAAATTTGAAACATTTACCGCTCACTGCTCCTGGTGTTGTATGGTATGGCGTTCTGGATGTCATAGCGCCACGCGGAGTACTGGGAGTAGACTGTCCGGGCACCGGATCCCGAAAGTGTTCTTTAAACCAGCGGAACAGATCGTTCACTCTGCCGAACATTTGTCCCCTGAATCGAAATCCCTCCGGGGACACTGTCACGTACTCGTGACGGCATCGAGTTCGTGGAAGATAAGACAGAAGAAATTTTCCGGGATAATTCTGAAACGCGCGAAAGCCTGTCTTAAATGTCTCAACCGTGACAGAATTCATCGATAGATGAAAGACGGTAGATCGATACAGACCTTCGCGGCGGATATTATGTACGGAATCCCTCCAGGATTTTCTTTCTTTTGTTCCTTCAATATTTCCTCCGCTTTATCTTTGATACCTTCTACGTTTGGCTTATAATATTTGAAATCCAACAGTTCCGAAGCATACGCGGCCATCGGATTTACGTGTCTCGCTATAATTTCATCCAAATCCTCGAATTCCTCATTCCCGATCCATAGACTCTGTCCCAAAGAGAACGCGTTTTCCTTTCCTTCTTCTCTCACGTCGATGTGTTGGTAAATATCGTCGGTTACTTTCCACGTGACTGTCAAGTGGTCCGCGCCCTTGCTGCTTGGCCTAACTATCGCCTCTCCTTGTTTCATAGTTTGCATCAACTTCTCAGCCTCCGCGAAACTGATATTGTGAAACGACGGATGAACGATCACCCGTTTAACGTACGTCTGTCGTTGTTTGGCCTTCTTTGCGTCTTCTTCGATTTTTAAGTCCTTCTGCTCTGCCTCCGTGTCGTAAAAAGGATCTCTTTGCGGTCTGCAAACAAGGATTTTTCAAATATCGACTATACCGCTTCTTATCTATTAGGCGTAGTAGAGAGTTCTGTGCTTTTTATTTTACGCGGGAGTTACAATTTAAATTAACGATGCAACGTAAATTCAAGAGAAACTTGTGCGGAGCACACGAGCTCACTCTAAATAACAAAAATCGGCCATCAGACGGATGTCTGTCTTTGATGATTGGACACTGTAAGGAAGATTTTTTGCAAAAAATCATCACAGGAGAGGACAAATGGATCCTTTACTATGATCCTAACTCCTGAAAACCACGGGTAGATCCTAGCCAACCAACAGAAAAAAAATGTTGATAAGTGTGTTTTATCGCGAGCTACACAGATCAGAACAAAAAATTTGCTAGAATTGAAATCAAAAAAGTCTTGGAGAATTCTGTTGTTACTCATAAGGTTATTCTTGTTTTATAGAGCGATCTGTGCAAGTTTTCATCCTGTTTTGGTGCGTTATATCTGAGCAAGTCAGGATTTTACATTAGTCACATTAATCATGCGCTTTATAATCGTACATTTGCTAGGATGATAGTAGTAAGATTTTAAATAGAAACACACCAGGAATACCTTACGAAAGAAGCATTATAACATTTTTTTTTTTTTTTTGTAAGAATGCTACTTGATTTGCATTAAAAAAATGTGTCCTGTCCGCTGATAATTTTGAAGCGTACCGTGCATATCTGTAATGAAATTGATAGGTCTGTTAATATGCTTCTAGGATTTAATTATTATTTAAAAAATATGAATCACTGATGTTACCTTATCATGTTATTATAAATTTATATCTTGATGTTATGCTATTACTTTTCATAGCTTGCATACGATGTCGAAAGTTCCAAAACTGTCCCATTTAATTCTCTGACATATGTTCACATTATTTCTAAACATGTTATCGATTTATATTTATTAAATGTATGCTTCGCAATATTCACAATTTAAGCATATACTTGAACGTGATATTAGATTTGTTTTAAATGTTCTTTTAGGTACTATTCTAGCATATGCACAGCTTATAATGCACCTGAATAATGTAAAAAAATATGTAAATAACATACATGTAAATAAAACTACAGTCTTTAAAACATGTTTAAAATAAAAGAGACTTGTATGAAAGTCATCCAACAGAATTCGAACGCTCGCTTAAAATAATACATAATTAGATACTATCGGACCTCCGGACTACAGTTTGTAAAACACTGTTCTGAACTATTAAACGTCTACATTTAAAACCATACGAGGGGCTGATAATCATAGTAGAGTGAGTAACAAAAAAAAAATGAAAACTGAGCTATATCATGAATTCACAACATGTCTGCATTCTTTGTTTAGCGTACAAAAGATACAAGATACTAGATACTAGAAAACCGAAAAAAGTAAAGACACATACAAAAGAAGCTAAGTCTCCCTATGTATTAACATAAAGCATGATTTTATGGAAAAATTCATTCAAATATCGACGGATCATTCGGGGAACTCCCCTTTAAATAAACAGATAAAAAGGAAGATAATTATGTACCATACTGACGACCTCGCCCATTTCAACGACCTTAGAGAGGATTACTACAAATCCATTGAAATCGACATCGTTGTCGGTATGGTGCGTAATTATCAAAAATGATATTTTAAAAAACGCACCTCCATTCGTGATTCTTGTCCGCGAGGTCACTGCTCTTGCTCGTGCATTCGACGCTGAATCGTTCCACCTCGATTTTAATTATTCGACAATGTATTATTTGCCCGATGCTCACCCTCTCTTCAGGATTCGCGACGTGTCTGTCGGATAAATTCTTTATGTGGATGTAACCCGATATTCCGTTGTCTAACCTCAATCGGACGCCGGTAGCTTTTCCTGGACAAGCTCCAGCGTCGAAATGATTCCATACTTCGGAGAGCTCGGGGAAGTCGTTTTTCAAACAAAATGGACACTGCCACAGACCCGTTTCGTCGTTTCTCACCGGATTCGCTTGATCCAACTGATCGCCTTGAGGTTTTCTGTGACTGATTCCCACCACCGTTGCCAACACCAATTTGCCCACGTAAAATGTCTCCGGTGTTTCCTTCGTCAGAATATCAAACAATCTTTCCGCGCTGAGCGATTGATACGGTACTCGTAAATCTTTGTATCTGCTGTTCAATTCTGCCCTGATATCGTACAACGTGACGCACTTATTCCCGAAACCTTGTCTTTCGAGCTCCTCCGCGAACGCGTCCAAATCCAGATCCTTCAACCTTTCGGGCGACTCTAGGATCTCTTCGAGGGCACCGGCGGGATTCGCGTCTTCGTCGTCGTACTCCAACGCATCCACAGCCATTTTCCTAGCCCATTCGTACGTCTCCGGATGTACCCTAGACCCGTCCAGCACTTCCACGTACGCCTCGGTACTGTCACCCAGACTGTTGGTATCTATCTTAATAAATCCCGCGCAATTGATGAAGACCTTGGGCCCCATGTGACAGGCAGTCACCAGCTGCGTCCTGTTCTCTAACCTCTGATTCGTTTGTTTCAGCATCTTGATCAGGGCCTGGCCCTTTCGAGGACCCAACCCGCATACGAATTGCACCAAATTTCCACAATAGGCCTGCTGCACCGCCTTATTGACATCGACGCCGACTTCGTTCACGCGATTTACAAATTCTAAATACAAGTTCTCGAGGAGTTCGTCCTTCGGTAGATGATCCTGTAAGCTGTGGTACTTGAGGCACAGAATCTCCTCGTCCGCGGTGCACAGCTGGGAAAACTCCACCAACGGGTCTTGCATTCTCCTAGCCAGCGAAATGGCTTGTCGCAGCAATTCCGGGTAATCACGGAATTCGGACACGCCCTTGTTACTGTTCGAGTAGATCTTGGCAAGGTCGTTGTCGCAAATCTCCACTTGTATGGATGGGAATTGCTCTTCATCTACGAGGTTCGCGATACACTCTTTGATGTCAGCCGCGATCATCATCGCCTCTCTAGATTCACCGCTTATCGCCACAACGTGCGGCTTCTTGGTGGCTATGAAGTTCCGCAACGCCAACAAATCGGCTTCCTTCATTGTCTTCTCGTCCTCGCGGTAGCTGTTCTTGCGTTTCATTAGGTGCGGTAATCTCAAGTAATCCGTGCATTCCCCGTCAGGAGCGATCAGACAGGTGAACGCGGCCTGAGAGTAATCGGGAACGTAAGCCAAGCCCATCACGCGAAGCCCCTTGGTGGTATCCCATTCCTCGTCTTCCTCTTCCGGGAACTCGCACGTGTAAGGAGCGACCTTGATCCAATTGTACATCTTACGGCAACAAGCTTTCATCACACATTCCTTGGCCTCCGCGATAAGGTTCGTTCTCAGCTCTTTCTTCAGACTCGGTATAACCAAACGCGTCAACGCCATTTCGACGCTTCCGACTCTCAAGGTGTTCCAGTCTTGAACATTCTTGCTGAACTCGTCCCGATAGTAGAGCTGCTTCATTTCGTCGACGTAATTGTTGCTGGTGTTCCCCTCGATGCTGTCGCTCATCGTGATCGTGATCAATTTATCTTCCTCGGCCGTGATCAGGTTCAAGAATTGATCGCCAACGAGATCGCGCACGGGTTTATCCTTCAGGTATTTCATACCGTAAATCGGATGATTCTCGTCTATCTCCTTGATTCCCTTTCTCGTAGGTTTGATCGATATCTTCGCCCTCTCCATGTACATTTCTCTCACGCATTTTCTCACCAAAGGTTCGCGCGCTAACTGTATAGCTACCATCAATTGAGAAGCTTTCACCACTTCTTCCGGCGTACCGAGTATCTGGCTGCAATATTCGTTGGCGATGGTCAAAGGTTCAGTGGGCTCTTGATCTACTTCATGGCGCTGATAATTGTCGCGCAAATTTTCGGCAAAGTGCTCCGGGGTGAGACCGAATTTCTTCGCAAGACTGTCGAGGCCCGCTCGCTTGCAGATAGAATACGGACCAGTTCGTATCGCTTGTTTCAACGTTTCGTCCGGTTCCTCTTCCTCCACCACTTCCACCTCTTCTTCCGGCGGAGGATCCTCGCCGTTCTCTTCGGCTTCCGCGATCTGTTGCTTTCGTTTCTGAATCTTAGCCTCCCGACGCTGTTCTTTTTCCTTGAGCCGCACGGCCTCCTGCATCGCTGGTATCTCGTGACTATAGTACAGCATAAAATGATGATAAACGTCATTCAATTCTTCGCTGGTCTGCACGTTCTTAAGTCGTTCTATATCATCATCCTTGATTACTCGCACGCTTTCCGGCAAAGGGGCGTCTGGGTTCTTCATAATTTCATCCAGCTGATAATTTCTCATTTTATCGAACAATTTTAACAAATTTTCTTTCCTCTGACGAAGCTGACACCATTTCGCGTCAAATTTGTACACCTTCCAGAGATCGTTGATGTTCAACTCCGGTAGAACGTATTCCTTTCTGTAAAACGATATAAACGGTACCTCGAAATGTTGGTTTCGCATAAAGTCTAAAGCCTTTTTAATTTTGCCGATCGTCTGAGGTCCTTTCCGGGCCCTTTCTTTGGCCTCCGCGTTCAAATGAGCGTCTTGAATTGAAATAGTTGATCGGCAGAATGCTTGTTTATAAATCCATTCTGCCTCAAGATCCAGCTCGTCGGAACCCTCTAAGACTGGAGTAACGGGAACCGTTCGAAGCTGCATTCTCTCTGGTATATCCGTGTTACGTACTTCGATATCCATATCGGTGAAATGACCACGCTTCAATTCGCTGGGCTCGTAAATTTCAAATATACTTTTTCTCGTGGTTTTCTTCTTCAACTGTTTCTTCGGTCTTCTCGGCCTTTCAGCATCCTCTTCATCCATATACTCGTCCTCCTCGTCTTCCTCCTCGTCTTCCTCGTAGTCTTCTTCGCCGTATTTACCAAATTCATCGTAATCGAAATCGACGCCGAAAATGTCTTGGGCTTCCTGTAAAGCCGCGTCGGAGAATATCGGCCTTTTCTTTTTACGTTTCTCAGCGATCGGTCTACCATCGTCGTCAACGATAAAATCATCCGCGTCCGTGTACTCCCCTTCGCTTCCCTCCTCATCGAACGTCTCCATTTCAGGCCTGTGGCTACGTTCGCTTCTCCTTTCATCTTCCTGATAAATAACAAAGATAGAAAACATTGGGAAAAGTTAAAGAAATATTTTAATGATTTTCGTTCGCAACCACCATACGTACCATACTAATTTCTCTTTCCTGATATAGAGTACGAAAACAATCACAAACATTAAGCGTGTTATACAAAATAATAGAAATTCTACGAAAACCAGAAAACAGTAAAATTAAATTTTAAATTATATATATATATCAAACAGGTGGCTTACATCTCCAGATCCTTCAAAAAGTTCATTCGCGATGGCATCTCTATCATCGTCGACCTCTTTCTCCTGTTCCTCCTCCGATTCCTCATCTTGAATCCTGCGGAGGCGTTTGAAACGTTTCTAAAGTAAAGGTTCTTGTCACTATGTTTGTACAATTTGTTGTTCTTCTAAAAAACAAATTAATTACTATATACCCTCTCGACTTTGACACCTAAATTTTCTTCTATTAGATCATAATCTTCATCTTCTAGACGATCGTCAAAATCTTCGTCATCGCTCTTTTTACGTTTTTTAGAACCACCAGAACCATCGCTATCTTCCCCTTCGCTTTCTTCTATAGGATTGTCGTCTATAAGATCTTTGAGTTCTTCGCGCAACCGATCTTCATCGTCTGTAAACAACCAACAAACATGCATTTTAATTGATCAACAATTCCTATGCAGACAAGTTGCAATATTTCAAAGTAAAAAAATTTCCACAAATAATTACAACACAAAATTGAAATGTATTTAATTTTTTCTCACCATCCTCCTCTTCCTCCTCGCTTTCTTCCACAGCTTTTAACTTTTTCAGTTTCTTTTTTTCATTATCGTTTAACTCTTCTTCTTCCTAAAATATAACGGCAATACATCGATCAGTGACATAAGTTATTGACTAGGCGAGAAACAGTAGAAAGAAATAGCGTAGATGCGATTTAAAATTCTACGATATAAATACCTCGCTTTCCTCCGCTTCCGAATCTAGGAAATCAGCCATTTTTTCGGCGACTAATTTTCCTCGGAAACGTCGAATTTATGCCGTACAGAATAACATAAAAGTTCGGGTTCGTGCCAGGTCGAGCACTCCACATTAACACTTGTTCCAGCTGTATGTATGCATGTATACGTGTACCAAGTGTCTGTACCGATAGAGGCAGTGATGCCAGAAAAGCACCGTCGGGTGCACACTCACACATGCTAGATACGCGTACGTGAGCTCGTGGAGTTTCGGAAAGACGACAAAGGCAAACTGACGCATGCCCTCTTTCTCGATTCTCCGAAGCTGCCCGAAGTAATTTCGGACCGCTTCGTGGGAGTCGAGAGAGAAAGGCTCACATTTGCCCTCTCGCTCTTAACAACGGAAATCCGACCTCCCGTCAACGGCATATGATTTGGATTCTCGAGCCGAGATTCTCGACTGCCCAGGCATTTTTACTTTCCGACCTATGTAGGCGCACATAAGCAAAGTACCCATAATGAAAAAAAAATTTTGTAAAATTTATTTTACGGAAATACACGTTTTAAGACCTCCTGATCATATTTTAATTATTGAAAAAAAAGAAATTTTTTTTTATTCCCATGTATGAGCACACATGTATATTATTATTACGATTGAGTATAAATAGCTAAATGAATTTAAATGAAACTTTACATTTAAGTTTGATGTTCTCATTTCAAAGTCCGGTTAGACTTTGACTATAATCAGTCCATTATTGCACAATGCATTTCTTTTTTTTCAATAATTAAAATATGATCAGGAGGTCTTAAAACGTGTATTTCCGTAAAATAAATTTTACAAAATTTTTTTTTCATTATGGATACTTTGCTTATGTGCGCCTACATAGGTCGGAAAGTAAAAATGCCTGGGCAGTCGAGAATCTCGGCTCGAGAATCCAAATCATATACCGTTGACGGGAGGTCGGACAAAAATAGATATATAAATATTTTAAAAGATTATCTACATGTACGGTTATCTTCATTTTTCAATTAGTAATAAAAATATTCGGAAAACCATTGACGACATTTTATTGCCACGTGAAAACGCGCCTCAAGTTATTTAAACCAAGCTACCAAGCTATTGTTACGTCCCGAGATAGCGGTTTAGGGAGAAAGGACAGTGGGTTGGTGCCCGTGGAGCGCTGACCGCTCTGCTCGGCGAGGCGCGCAAAAATCAAACTACTATTGATTGCTCGAAAAAGATTGGTAAAAGTTTATTCGTCTTAAGCTTGATTTTAGATACAATTCTGTTGACTCTCAAAATCGATCTGCTCCTCCGCGGAAATCTTCTCGTCGTCCTCGGTGTCCATCCCTTCTCCGGAATATTCCTTGATCCTCCCTCTGGATTGTCCTGGTCCAATCGGGGTTCGTGCCTTGCTCCCTCCATCCGGATCGTCTTCGATCGATGATCCACCCCCGAGCCGAGTGGAGGTGGAGGTTTCGCGGCCATGTTGGAGCGGCGCGCGTGAGAGAGAGCGTGGGAGTCGAGAGAGAAAATGAGGCTAGCGGCCTAAGCAACCCTTAAGAAAATTTATGACCCTTATGAGAGTAAACGAAACTCGAAGCGAAGTGTCGCGAGGCCCTGCTGCGTGTCAAGACCATTGAAACTCTTATCGGAAATAGCTAATCGGTCACGGTCCGTAATAACTAAACAATAAACTAAAGGAACGATGGAACCTCGAAATCGACGAGGCCTTTAGAAAATAAACTAAGTATCTGAAAAGAAGTGCCTTCCTTTCTCTCTACCTTCCCCAGCTTGATCGCCCACGTTGAAAAATATACAATCGTATTGTTTATTACAATACGCTGGTCCGTTTGAAATTCGTTCTTAACTAAAACGCAGTTACATGACTCTGCACTCGACGGTGAATAATCGGGTTACAATTAATTCCCGTTGTGGCGCTATGTGCATTAAACCTACGTTCACGTGATAACGTAACACTATCAAATCAATTATATCGTTCATGTTCCGGCAGTGTGGCCAGATCTGGCATAATTGAGTGCATCGAAATCGACAACAGTGACGACGAACTTCCTTAGCGTCTAACGGAATGGTGGGGATAGCAGGCATACACTACCGCACGAGCCACGTGTACGTGAGCTCGGCACTTCGCACAACTTCGGCAAATCGATAAAGAACGCTAGTGTGAGCCTTTCCTTCTTGCTCTTGTAAAAGAGAAACAGCTGAAATACGACCTCGCGATAATCGGCATACGATTCCAAGTCTCGACTGCCCCAGCATTTTTACTTTCCGACCTATATGTAAGGTATAAGGATAAAGTATCATAATGAAAAAAAATTTTGAAATTTTTTTTTAGCGGAAATACACGTTTTAGGACCCCCTGATCATATTGTGACTATTGAAAAAAAACGATATTTTTTTTTGTTCCTATGCTATTAACATGAATGCATTAAACGACTAAGTGAATTTCAATAACGAAAAAAATATTTCGAAATTTTTTTTTAGCGGAAATACACGTTTTAGGACCCCCTCATCATATTGTGACTACTACAAAAAAACATATTTTTTTTTTGTTCCTATGCTATTGACATGATTGCGTCTAAACGGCTGAATGAATTTCAATGAAACTTAACATTTAAGTTTTATGTTCTCGTTTTAAGGTCTCATTATATTTTAAGCGTGATCAGTTCCCATATAATGATGATTATACGTCTGTAGTTTTATAATTATTTCGATACATATACATCATTTGTAACAAATTTTTAAAGCGATTTATATAAATCTTAAGAAGGATTAAGATCAAATATACTTTTCTCCTATCTTTCCTAGACAGGAAAAATTAAACGAAATCTTATGCCTTGCATACCTACCTAAACCACATAAAAAACGTATTCCACAAATATTTTAGAATAATGTTGTTCAAAGCAGTCTTACTCGTAAAGGGTTAATTAAGGGTTAATTAAAATGAAAAACCACTCTTAGCCAGTACCGTGCACGCTACAGAAATAGATTACTACTGACTTTTCCCACTATGTTTTTTAATAACCGTATCAAATTGTTACACACAATCAAATGTTATATATTTGACTTAACTTTACATAACAAAATAATTGTAACGATAAGTAAAACAATAACGTGCACGCTACCGTTCAATGGAAACCACGGGAAGGTGGTGGTCACTTCCATCAGGAGGGAAATGTAAAAAATTGTTATTTCTTTGTAACATTATCACATGCCATATACATATTTGATCTTAATCCTTCTTAAGATTTATATAAATCGCTTTAAAAATTTGTTACAAATGATGTATATGTATCGAAATAATTATAAAACTAAAAACGTATAATCATCATTATATGGGAGCTGATCACGCTCAAAATCTAATGAGACCTTGAAACGAGAACATAAAACTTAAATGTTAAGTTTCATTGAAATTCGTTCAGCCGTTTAGATGCAATCATGTCAATAGCATAGGAACAAAAAAAAAATATGTTTTTTTGTAGTAGTCACAATATGATGAGGGGGTCCTAAAACGTGTATTTCCGCTAAAAAAAAATTTCGAAATATTTTTTCCATTATGATACTTTATAAATTTCCTTATACCTTACATAGGTCGGAAAGTAAAAATGCTGGGACAGCCGAAGCTTGGAATCGTATGCCACTTATCGCGAGGTCGTATTTCAGTTGTTTTGTCTTTTACAAGAGCAAGAAGGAAAGGCTCACACTAACGTTCTTTATCGATTTCCCGAAGTTGTGCGCAAGCGCCGAGCTCACGTACACGTGGCTCGTGCGGTAGTATATGCCTGCTATCCCCACCAAACCATTAGACGCTAAGGAAGTTCGTCGTCACTGTTGTCGATTTCGATGCACTCAATTATGCCAGATCTGGCCACACTGCATGTTCGTGCCATTGGCCGTTTGTTTGAATTTGAAAAGTTCAGTTAGGATATTCTTCACAAGTAGGATAAGCGAAACGTACATATTATAGAAACCCAATATTTTTCCATATTCTATGTATGCGAATGTGATTACGTGAAATCAAAAGAAATTAATAAAATTTACAGGATTTTGGATGGATAAAAGTTTCAGCCGATGGCGTGATTCGCCTCTTGCGAGTAAGAAGTCCTTTGTCATTTCTGATAGTGACGAGGAAATCGACGCAAATGTTGGGATAGAAAAAATCTACGTGGCTGAGAGCAGCGAGAGTAGCACTGCCGCTTCTAGAAGTACAACACCAGAAAAGTAAGGAAATCTGATCCTAAGTACTGTTTACGCGCTTTCAGTTTTAGTTTAGTTTCCTTTGTAACTATTTTTTAATGTTTAGGTGGCAATTGAATAAGAAACCATCAATAAACGAGATCGAACGTAGAGTTAAAAAGTATATTCCTCATTATTCTGATGATGACGAGGACAGCAACAATGAGGTCTATAATCTTGAATCATCCAACAATAAGGATGGAAACTATATGGACTACAGCAATACAAGCGGTATTGTATTTTTTTTTAAATGTAATAAATATTTTGAATGAATATTATGGTATATTATTTGGCAGATGACAGCGACGATGTTGTTGTGCGTAGTAAGAAAACAAAGAAGAAAAACAGATTTCATGATTCTACTATAGAAAGTATGAACAAAATTGTGTTGGATGACAAGTCTTCTGACAGCAGCATATTAGAAGAACATGGTGCTGCATCTACAAGCATACAGTCAAGGAAAAACGAAAGATTTAAAGAAGAAAGAAAAGATCAACAGGATATGTATTCAACTAGTTTGTATTTCAATATTTTTTTTTTCCAAAATGGAGCTTCCTGTAATCAATTTACCAGACTAACGTTAAGTTAACCTGCAGATTGTATCATAGATGGCGAAGATAGTTCAGAACCTGAAATTGTAATGATTACTGAGGAAAAAGAAATTGATGTTGATAATACAGATTCGCAGCTTGTAGAAAAAGAAGTACTCCTTTGTAAAATGGATCACTTAAAGAACGAGCTGAGTAAAACACAGGTAAATTTGCTACCTAATGCACAAGAACAAAAACTAAAGGGTGCTCTTTGTTAGAACAGTTATTTGAATATGCTTTTGTTTGTTTTCAGCTGTTACTCAAGGCTGGTAATATCGATTTATTACCAGACAAAGGTGAAAAGTTGCGCGAGAGAATCGCATTGCAACAAGAAGAAATAGAAAAGATTGCAGCGAAATTGGAAAATACATCTTTAGCACAATCCATTAAGACAGAATTGTATTCCTACAAACAGGATACGTTATTTACCAAAAAAGAACTCGATACTAAGGACGAACTATATTCTATCCAGTTAGATTCTGATTGCGATGTACATTATATACCGCCATCATTGGAGCAGAAAGAACTTGGCACGAAAGCTCAAGCTACGTTGAACAAAGAATTAGCTTTAACAGTTGATAGACTGCAGGATTTACACGGTTCCCTCCTAGCTAGACCATCCGAAGAGGAGAGAGCAAGTGATCCACAGGGCTTGAAAGTAAAGTTAATGCCGCATCAACAACACGCGTTGGCATGGCTGATGTGGAGAGAACAACAGAGACCTCCCGGCGGGATTCTCGCTGATGATATGGGTTTGGGTAAAACTTTAACGATGATATCTTTAATCATAGCTGCGAAGAAAGCGAAAGTTGTCGCAGAAAGTAGCGACGATGAATGGCTGGATCAGAAAACAACGTTGCGACATAAGGGTGGAACGCTCGTGGTTTGTCCAGCGTCTCTGTTATCGCAGTGGGAAAATGAAATACGCAACAGATGTAGGCGAAGTCTGCTTTCCATCGAAGTTTACCATGGTACTAATCGAGAACATGTGCCAAAGAAATTAGCAAGAAACGACGTGGTCATCACAACGTACAACATATTAAATCGTGAATTTAAATCCATGTCCACGTCGTACAAAATTCACTGGGAACGCGTGATACTCGACGAGGCGCATGTGATTCGAAATCACAAAAGCCAGGCATCCGAGGCCATATGCGGTCTCGTAGCGAATAAACGGTGGGCTCTTACCGGTACACCTATTCAAAATAAGGAATTAGATTTGTACTCGATTTTGAAGTTCCTTAAATGTACACCTTTTGATGATCTACGGGTATGGAAGCGTTGGGTGGACAACAAAAACGCAGCTGGTCGTCAAAGATTGACAACCGTAATGAACACACTGATGTTACGTAGGACAAAACAGGAACTTCAAGATAAGGGCGAACTGGAAAGTTTGCCCGATAAAACTGTAGAAGAAGTGTCTGTCACGCTCGATTCGCAGGAGCAGTTGGTGTACGAAAAAGTGTTAATTTATTCTCGAACGTTGTTCGCTCAATTCTTGTCACAGAGAGCGGAAAAAGATCATATGAGGGATTTAGCTACCGGCATATACGATCAACCAACTTTCCTCTCGAATCCAAGTATGTGTATCCATAGAAACGTACAGTCGCGCACGGATGAATTTTACTATGTCTACATAGTATTAATCTTTCGTTATTACTTTTTTCAGACAAGAATACTCGATTCACAAAGGCGCAGAATAAATTATTGTCGTTGCACGCTGACGTTAAAGCGTACGAAATTTTGGGTCTCTTATTGAGATTGCGTCAAGTTTGCGTCCATCCTTCTCTTATCCACTCGATGCTGGATCAAGAAGACATGATGGCGAGTGGAATAATGGATACGGCAAATATGGATCCGAACATATTGTCAGAAATAAACAATATATCATTGCAAGAGTCTAACGATGTAGATGATAAGGAAATCGGTGTTGACCGCAGAGTAGCTACTACCGATTTACTTACGTCCAAGAATCCAGTCTTTAAAGTTGATCGTGTAAGTTCCAAGGTGAGTCATCAATGTCTATTTACTTTAAGAACATATAATAAATAAAACTTAAGTATATGACTAGCTCGACTAAACTTCAATTTAACCGGTGTTTTGTGCACAGATGAAAGCAGTAGTTTGCAAGGTCGAAGAAATTTTGAAGAATAACGATAAATTAATAATCGTTTCGCAATGGACATCGACGCTGAACATTATGGCGAAGTATTTGTCTTCGATGAAAGGTGCTACGTTTTGTATGTTCACGGGCAGCGTGGCCATCAAGGATCGACAGGTATTTCCTTTAAGTAAAGTTTTCGTTATTGCCAATTCCTTAGTAAAACACATTTCGATTGTTCAACTTATGTTTCTTCGTTCAGAAAAATGGTGTTTGGTACAACCTACTAGATACCGTGTAATTTATTTTCTATACATACTTGTAGGGTGTAATGGATTCGTTTAACTTTCCGGACAGAGACCCAAAAATATTATTACTTTCGCTTACTGCCGGGGGTGTTGGATTAAACTTGGTAGGTGCAAATCACTTATTGTTAATGGACATTCATTGGAATCCGCAATTGGAAGTGCAGGCACAAGATAGGATATATCGTTTCGGGCAAAACAAAGATGTTTTTATATACAAGTTAGTTGGATGTTTTTTTTTTTTTCATGATATTCGTTGTTCATGAGAATGTCGCGTTATTTGTGAAAAACATTTTTTAGGTTTATTTGTAAGGACACGATAGAAGAGCGTATCAAACTGTTACAAGAGAAAAAAATAAGCATAGCGCAAAATGTTCTGAGCGGCGACAAGAGCTCGGTCGCTTCGAAACTTTCGTTCGATGATATGAAATCTCTATTTGCTCTCTAAATAACAGAGTCATTTACGTTTTGATGGATAAGTTTTTTTTATATAAGTGTTTATATATTTATATATCATTTTATTTTTATATGTATAGTTCTATTTAGGTTTAGGATATCGTTCGAAGTATTAAACCGTCCCCCAGTTAATTAAATCACATTGGTAAACTAAAAGATTTGTGTTATATAAAATTTTTATTACGAATTTGAGTCACAGGATAAATTATTTTATGTAAATCGATCTATGTGAGAAGCGTCGTCATTCGTCCATGTTTCTTCGTTAACGTTACTTTCAATTGGTTTCGAAGATTTAACTTGTCCCATTTTGCTGTGCCACATTCCATAAGAAAAATATATACCGAAACCTGGGGAAAGGAAGAAATTCATTTATATTGTGACTTTTTTTGTAACCTTTGGTCCAAACGGTCATCCACTTACCGATCACCATCCATATTGAAAATTGTACCCATGTCATTTTGTCTAACATCATCATGAGGTAAATGTTAACGAGGATACTGAGCGCAGGTAAAAACGGTACAAATGGAACCTAAAAATCCGTACGTGTTATTTTTTCTTGTTCTTTTATGCTTTCACGGTGAACGAATTAATTTTAATCGATTGATACGTACCGAAAACGAGAGTTTCTTTCCGGAAGTCGGTTGCAGATAAATGAATGTGAGAATAATTAATAAAGCCATTATTAAAACAACCAGCGGAACGACAACTAGAACTTTGCCCGTTATAATATCATCGGCGTATTGTGAAATTATGATGCCAATACAAACGCATAGAATCACTAAAATAAATATCAATTAGAATACGAATTACGATGAAACGGTTGAACCAAAGAATTATAGCACTCACGGTAGCACGCGACAAGGTAAGACACGATTTGCGATGTTAATTTCGTGGAGTGATTTAATTTGTTAGCATTAATTAGTTGCTTCAATATAAACGTTAAGGTCCTTGGGTCATGGTCACCTTTCTTCTTGTAAGCTTCGCTCTCCTCGTATCTGCAACAATTAAAAGATGTTTTTATAGATTTTTTCTATGCAATATGTTTTTATACTTTGCAGGAATTTTTAGCCGTCTTTACCGGAGTATGAGAACGCAGGCTGCAACGATCGAATAAGCGAGAAATGTTCCGATGCTCATCATGCTCACGAGCTGAGTCAATTCGAACACTGCGGCCAATACGCCTGTAATTATACGTGAACATTGATAGCATAGTTTTAGCAGTGGGACTTACGATAAGTCGTAGCAAAAATCGTACACCAGTTATCAGAAAATGTTTCGTCTCGTAAAAAAGTTTAGGGATGATTTCGAAAAAAAGATTTGATGAGTATACAGGGCGCCCCATGCAACTGCCATGAACGTGTTAAGTCTTATCTTTGTAAGAAGTTCGATAATCAGTCTCCGAGTTTTTCGACTTGCAGCCGCTCGAGGTCTGGTCCAGGAGCATTGGGAAGCTACCCGATAGACGGGGACATGTGACAGGTAATTGTGCTGACTATATTGTTAATTGAAGTTGTACATCGATGAAGTACAAAAGTTTCAAAACTGACCAACGTTGGCATGATTTTATAGGACGGCAAGGAAAGGATACAAACCTGTAAGAATCCCCGTTGAGAAGGTACCCATCACAGGTGTCTGAAATCGCGAGTTGATTTTTCCCATCCATTCGAATATCAGTCCATCGGAAGCCATCGCGTAAAGTATTCGTGGTAACGGGAACATCGCGCCAAGCAAGCTACGAAAGCGAATTATATTTTTTGTAAGGGTGTGAGAATGAATAAATATGCCATGAAAGAGCTCATATTCTGGATTTCGACTTCGAAGAGTAAAATCTTTGAAGTGGACGACACCAGGCATAACTCTGAATTCCATCCAGAGTCATTCTCTCTAGCGGTCCACTATGATTACACGTGTCGTTGATATCGCGGCCCGTCTATATTACCTCGCGCACAGGCCGCATATAGCACCGATCGTGACCAGCCATTTTGCCCAGCTCCAGCCGATTCTGTCGAACAGGTACGGAAACGGGGCGTCCGGGTTCTGTTCGTAATAAGGGAGAACCATGGTCAGCACGGTAGAGACGCCGAAATACGCAACGAAAATGACCATCAACGAGGCAACGATTGCTATGGGAATGGACTTCTGTGGGTCCTTGGCTTCCTCGCCGGTGGTCGCTACGCAATCGAAACCGATGAATCCGTAGAAGCATTTCGCAGCACCGGTTATGATGCCAGCGATGCCGTAAGGCGCGAATCCTCCAGTTCCGTAATCGCACTCCTTTTCGTTGCACGTGGGCTTCGTTTTCCAATTCATTACGTCAGCTTCGAACATAACGTGTTACACAAAAAGTCGATTAGTCGAAAATCCATGTTTCAGTCCTCGCGTGTAATACAATGCCGCCTCCCTTCTTGCAAGTAAATTGGGCCCGTATGATTTGATACGGAAGAGTTCGGACCAGACTTTGTTCTTGGAACTGGTCGAACTTAAACGGACCGTTCGAATGGGTTATTATAGGGATTGGCCATTCGAAACTAGTGGTCGAAAGCTGTTATAATATACTAAAAACTGGAGAACAATCGTTGAACACGAAAATTGATAGTATCATAAAATCTGAGAAGGCAATGTACCCTCAATGTCCTTGTATCAAGAGTTTTTTGATCATGTATCTATTCAAAAAGATACGTTGAAAGTAACAGTAACAACATTTTTTCATGAAAAATATACTTTTACATATTTCGCTCCTCCCTTCAAGCAAACCTTCTGGATCCGTTCCTGCCACTCGAGTTGACGGTTATTTGAACTGAAAAAACATAAATAGTGGTGGCGGTAATTTTGTTGTAAGTAAAGTAGAACCTTGGTTACTAATCTCACTAGTACAATGGACGAGATTCTCATGCAATAATGGAGATTTTACTGTATCCCTAATGCAGGTTGGTGCATGAAGCGAGGCAGTACTGTATTTACAATATTTGTATTGGTCGGCGAGGCGAAACTTACCTTTCAACGATCCGGCGATTATTACGAACAGCACCACCGAGAGATTCACAAGGGTGAAGAAATTATTTGCCCACGAGGATTCCTTTGCACCGAACGCCAACGCAGCTAAGGTAAATAGATTAAAATTTGGATACAATTTAATATTATTAATGATGTTTGATTGGTTGATGAACAAATAAAAATATTTTTGCTTGTATCTTCCATTATAGCGTCAATTAGAAAAAATATACATTAATGTATACAGGGTGTTCAGCCACCCCTGGGAAAAATTTTAATGGGAGATTCTAAATTCCAAAATAAGACGAAAATCAAGAATATCAATTTCTTGACTAAGGCTTCGTTAAAAAGTTATTAAAAAATTAAATTAAAAATTTTCAAATCATTCTGGAAAAATTATTTTTGGTTGCGGGGCTCAATTACAATCATTTTTGGTGAATAGACATACCATCGAATTCCTAACCATTTCCGAGAAAAAAATTCCTTACCGAAAATATAATTTTAGGCCAGAAATGTCACTCCAAAATTTCGTGCGTATCTTTAAAACGTTATAACTTCTGAACAGATTGAAGAACTTTACTGTTTCAAAAGGCAAATAATGCGTATTTTAGTGGAGAATATGTAGAAATTCTAACAATATTGAAAAAGTTGTTCTTTGACCCCGTAAAGTGTGAAAAACCTCATAAAAATGGTCCAATTTTCAAACAGCCATAACTCCTACAATAGTGAATATATTTCAATGAAATTTTTTTCTGAAGCAGAGCCCGTGGATACCTACAAAAAGTATTAGCCAACTTTTCTGTAGAGCGTCAAACAAATTTATTAAAAATGAAAAACAAATTTTTAAGAAAAATCGACAGGATGCCTAAATTTTTCTGCGAAAAAAAAAATTTCACATCGTTCTGGAAAAATTATTTTCGTTTACGGGAGTCAATTACAATCATTTTTTGTCGTTAGACATACTTTCGAGAAAAAAATTCGAGAAAGTATGAAATTTTTCGACAGAAAAAAAAATTTTCAAATCTTTTTGGAAAAATTATTTTTGGTTGCGGGGGTCAATTACAATCATTTTTGGTGAATAGACATATCCCCGAAATCCTGGGCATTTTGGAGAAAAAAATTCAGCACGGATGGAACTTTAAACGTTAATAACTTTTTAATGAAGCCTCCATCAATAAATTGGTATTCTTGATTTTCGTCTTATTTTGGCCTCTAGAATCTCCCATTAAAATTTTTCCCAGAGGTGGCCGAACTCCCTGTATAGTCATTTTATTATAAATGTGGAAAACTAGTTGTACTTCGTGGTCAAGGATTTTGATGAAATTGAAATAGATTGTAGTCTACGTAAAATTAGAGGGGGTTTAAGTCATCATTTTGCTAGTTTGGAATTAGTATTTGCTAATATAATTTGTCGTTATTTATTTATTATATCGAGAAATATGCTTCGTAGTAAAAAAATTGTACACTTCGTGGTGACAACAGCAAAGAACACATTGGTCTTCGAGCTAAAATGTGTTTGACATGCCGCCGGCAAAATATGATAAAACTTTTACTCGATATCCAATTGTTTTCGATCTTTCTTTCATCGGTGTTGGTTCGACTGTGCGCAAGTGCTCGATAAAGAAAGCAAACAGATATCGATGTGGACGTGATCGTACACGGTTTCATAATCGTAATTCAATAGAAAGCCTTTTGACCGATGTACAATACGAGACAGTATTTTTTTTCCATGATCCCCTTTTTGCAGTTTAATGGATCTCATTGACCCTTCCTATGTAACGTTCCTCAGTGTAACGTTCTTAACAACCTGTTTTGGATGCCTCAATTTGTATATAGTTTACATCACTTTAATGACTAAAGCATTGCAATTCGTCTGTTGCAAGATTGGAGATGATTGCGTTTATATTATTCGATCACCATGCCTTTACGATTTGATTTATGATTTCTAATTTCGTTCTTTAACATTTTGGGTTTCAGGCAATTGATCTATTTTGTCTTAGCCATAATCCGCCATTAATACGTGATATCGACGCTCGGGTAAATTTCTTACCGGAGAAGATTAACGTTACTCCGAAGGCGAAGAAGTCCGGATAAGAAGAAAAATGATTGATGTCGATAGGCGCTGCCGATTCGAACGCTTTCCTCATGCTGTTGTTGAATAGGGCATCCACGTAAGTGCTCAGTCCACGTACCACGCTGGCTGAGCCAATTACGTACTCCAGGATTAGAGTCCAACCGATCAGAAACGCCGTGAATTCGCCCATTGTCACATAACTGTATGCGTATGCCGACCCAGCACGTGGAACTCTTGCACCAAATTCCGCGTAACAGAGACCTAGATAAGAAATCAGTTTATCGGTTCGTCGAAAACGTCTAACAACCTCTTAACGCGATACGGGCATATGTTCAGTTTTCAAACGTACAAATTAACCGATTCACTATCCGGACCTACGGGATTTATTAATCATGGGGGTGTGCTAAGAAGATTAATATCAGCATAACATCCCATAAGATCCCAAAACAGAGCACTCAGAATCATAATAGCTTCTTTATCAGTAACGAAACACTTCAAAAAACTTATGTGTTAAATATGTTCGAGTTGACGAGCGATAAATTGTAACACTTAGAAAGACATTGTTACAGTATCTGATAATTACGTAGCATTAAGTTATCAGGTTTTGATTAGATTAAAGCAAATAATTACAATAAAGTTGCGTCGGTGTCGTATTACAGAACTATTCGTTAATCAAAATTTACTAGGCAAATTAATATATTTTTTTTAGTCAACATCGTTTCTTTCTTTAACATACGAAATTATCGTTATTTTTCTTCACCTTCAAAGATCCTCGCTAAATTATAGTATTCGCTCGCTAGTAAATGTATACATAAATATTAGAATAACTTGCGACTGTGAATTTCGCAGAAAAATTTTTTTTTTTTTTTTGGAAGCTGCATTTAGAAAGTTTGGAAACCATTATATCGAATGATCAGCTGATAGGTTTACTTTAGTCGTCGTTGGGAGAAAAAAAATTATCTTCGATTAGTACCTGCGAACATTGACGCGATCGCCGCGATAGCGAAAGAAATCACCACAGCCGGCCCTGCTATGGTTTTCGAGATTGATCCAGCGAGAACGTAGACACCCACACCGAGGGTCGAACCGATTCCAAGAGCCGTCAGATCCAACGTAGACAGACACCTCGTGAGTTTCGTGTCCTCAGCAAGTATCAAATCTTTTTTCCGTGTAAAAGATTTGCGAAGATATCGAAACCACCAAGTCTGCATTTTGTACATCTGAAAGAATCACATTATGCTCGTAATCCCTAGAAAACTGTACCTCGATTTTTATTTCCATCGTTAGACGAACCACTGAAAATATCAACTTCATTAAAATGAATCTGTTTGAAAAAACTTCATCTTTTTCAAAGCAAAATGATTGTTACTGTTTAATTAGAGCTTCTCTTGAAAAGTAAAAGTTCACTGTTTACGTAAAAATGAGTGGGACAAAAGATTCAGCAAATACATCACGGTTTATGACTATTTTCTTAGAACAGAAAAGTTGGCCGTCAAAGAATTACGTATCAAAAAATAAAAAATTCTAACGGTTTCTTCGTATTCTGCATTGTTCTTTGTTTTCGGAATTTATGCAACCCATTCGTTTCTCGTGTCTTATCTCGAGAATTTATGCAAGTTATGCAAAATACCTATATGTGATGTGTGTCCACGGCACTGAAGGAGATATTTGAAACCGTTCGTTAGAGTTTTAAATTATTAAAAATCTTATGAGTTTTGAACGTTTTCTAAAAATTATCAAACAGTTTTATACATTTTTTAATAGATCAAGATGGAATCATTTTATTCTTGTATTTTACACCGTCTGTTTCACGAATATGTAATTATTCGATAACACTGATAACTTCAAACATGTCTTTTTTCACAATTTTCGGACTAATCGCACATGTTGATTTTACACTGGAAGAGCAAATAACAATTCCCTTTAAAATTCATTTAAAATGAGTTCGAAAATTTAAAAAAACCACGACAGGCAAATAAAAAACTAAAAGAGGTAATCATCGATATTCATAGATCGAGATCTAAACAGATCTTGAAACGGGAATATAGAACTTAATTATAGCTTCTATTGAAATTCATTTAGCTGTTTAAATGCAATTGTGTTGACAGTCGTAGATTCCAATATATTGAACGTATATGAACACGCGTACATACGCGCATTAAAAGTTTTTTTTTAACGTTTAAAATGTGATCAAAGGGTTTGAAAATGTGTTCCTTCTTTAAAAGAATTATTTCGGATTTCGACTCTGTTATAATATATTTTCTATTTCTAGATCAGCAAATAATCAACTCACCATGGAAAGCATAGTCAAATGGGGATCCATTTCGATCGTTGAACGCGAAATATGCGGGAGACAAACAACCGGTCACAGACTGGACGAACATTCGGCTCGCGACTAAAGGCACACTAATTAAAATGTCTTTAAATCAAGCTTTAAGAACGCCCGTCGAGTGCGAGCAAACTGAATCGTTCAATTGGATAGAATCGTTTCTTCGACCCGTTAGTATTATAGATTAGAACCGTCCAGTCTGGTCTATATTGGTCATCCGCTTATAATATTGATCTTAACCGATGCGATCGGATAGCTCGTTTGTTTTGTTGATTTCCGCGATAAGTTTCGATATCATGAGCACTTATTCGATTTCTTCCAGAGGATTGTGAATGGACATTTTTATTTCATTTTTACCTATATAACGAATAAACAGATAATGTTTCGCCTAAATAAATCATTAAGTCATGAATAATGCATTCGTTATTCGGGAGTCTTTTATTACAAAAAAATATTTTATCTGGGTAATTAACTACATAAAAAATTATTCAAATAACATCAAAGTCAGCTTTCGCAATTGTCAAGCATAAGCATTCGTAGTTGCATCCAACAAAATATTTAAAGCGATCCCAATCGCGAGCAAAGTAATTTTAAGAATCGATTATGAGATAAATACACTTGTTTCTGCGTAAGGAGAAGTTTCTTTTTTGACATCGTTCTAATTGACGAGATGACGTCAACTTGTATTTGCAACCAACAAATCTGTCAATTGTATAGTCGACAACGTGTTGATTATAAGAATAATTTTGTAACACCGAAAACTTTCGAGACATTTAGAACATATTAATCACACGCGTGAACAAATTTCAATTTATTAAAAGGAAAACTAGAAAGTAACTTTAACGGTACATAACAAACTAAATACAAATACGTTCGTTCATGTGTACAACGAAGTTCTCTCGTTAATGTTGTTCTAATTGACCAGATGACGTCAACTTGCGTTTGCAACCAACAAAACTGTCAATTATATAGTTGATAGTATGTAAATTGTAGTATACATGTATTACGTCGCATGTGTGCAGTACGAATCGTACGCATTAAATGTAAGCAGGTACAATTACGATACTTCTTAAATATTGTACGTAATGTGTCCAAATGAGAATTATCTTTGTAATACAAAGAATTGTAATTTTTCTTCTCTAATTTTGTTTAATACCTTTTTTCAATTTAATTTTATGTTATATTTTATATTTTTGGCATATAAGGGTTACCCTCTTAAGCCGTGTCCCCACTGGGTCGGCTTTTGCCGATCGGCAAAAGCCGAGAATTGCGTCTACACTGCGTCGGCAAAGAAATGGCTTTGCCGCGGTGCATAGCAGTGGCACGGCCGTGCCGCCTTTTGCCGCCTTTTGCCGAACGCTGTGCCGATCGGCAAATGCCGAGCCGTGCCGACCCAGTGGGAACGCAGCTTTACATAATAGGATGGTTTGTATTTTCCAATTGTATGTTTGTCTTTGGATACTCATTATCCTAGTCATCGGATATGGTTTCAGCAATCGATACCTATTTTAGAATAACAAAATCGGTATATTCGTTACCGGTCCAATTAAATGTCAACGTAAGTCTAATCATGAAAAATAAAGAATTTAAAAATCGGATATTCGACCGCTAACTATTATGGAGGGTGATGCGTTTCGAATCAGTGCTCGACAAAGACCTTAACTAAACTTTCTTTAGTTTTTAATCATAGGAGCATCTTCGATTTTTGATTATTTAGTATTTATTTTCACACGTGCCATGTGGTTATTTAGACCGAATTCATAGTTGTTTATTGTAAAAAAGAAAAAGAATTAATGATTTATTTTCACTTACTAAATGCGACAGTTCTCCGTCCCAAGTGCATCAGCGAGTATATATCTGTGCACACTGAACGATGCGAACTCATTCCGTTTCCCTAAATAATAACTACTCTTTATTCTTCTTATCTGTTGCAGATATCGATTATCCTCTAAGCGGTAAAAATGCTATATAATCCATCATAAAAGATACGCTGTCATGTATGTAGTTGCCTCTCCGCGTTATGGACTTAACCCTTTGTCTTACGATTTAATTTCCAACTGTGCGTGCCAAAACCGACACCAAGGTTTGGCCCGGTAGACTTATCACGTCTCTGACACGTCATTGTAAACTAAGGGGTTAATACAATATTCTTTAAAAGATTCCACGGTAAGTACGAACGCTCGATTTGGTGGATATTCTAATTATCTTAAATAACGTTTGTTTTAACAATATAGTATGTATTGGTTGTATTATAATTAAATATAAAATAATAAATAGGTGATAAATAAAAAATTTATTAAAAAATGGATCGTGTTACATATGATCATGTCAACAAATATAAAATATTGTATAGACGTAACTAGATAAATGTTTACGTTTGTAAAATATATAAAATGTGTTTACTGGACGGATTTTACACGAGCTTCGGCGACGAAGCAGTTAGATTCAACTCCTCCAATGCTCTATGGCATTTTACTTCTTTTTTTTTTCTTAATACTGAACTATACAAATAAAATGGACGGTATCTATAATGCAAAGTGCTTTGCATTGTTGTTTGCATTTAAATATGATTAGTCAGCTAACTTATGCATATTGTAGAGGCACATATTGAATCCAGTACTTGAATTACGGGTAGTAAGATCGAGATATGTATCGCTCAACTGTTAGCTCAGTCTATAAAAACATTGTTCTTTTTACAAACAAAAATATCAATAATCGTGTTTCTAGTTTTTTGCAATTATTTATCATTCCATCCTATTCCATAGATTATATAACAATATAGAAGCAATCATGATTGTTGTCCAATTTGCTCGTACTTGCCTGGCATGAGACTGAAAAACGCAAAACAAATGTTGTATAATCACAATCAGTTCAAGACTATTGACTTTGACAGAAACTTTCACTCACGATAACAAAGTAATTGCATTTGTCTCCTTGACAGCAATCAGAACATTTCCAATCTTGATACCATATATACGTACAATCATCCATATTAGACTGTTTTATTCTTTCACACTCTCTTTTTGTTGAACATCTCTTGGAAACATAATACTGCTTTTTCGCGCCTTGCGACCAATATGGCGTACCTACGAACAATATAAATGACAAGTGATATCGGAGCAACAAAATGTAAATTTATGCTTCATGTTTCATTGATTGGATCACTTGTCGGTTGATGTAAACATAACCTCAATATCGTGACGTCCGAGATAACAATGGCAAATGCATTGAATACTTACTTCCCCAATTAATTTCTGTGAGACAGGCATCCTGTCCTTGCTCACAGGTTTTTGTACTTTTCAAACACTTTTCTATATTACCCTCTTGATTGGTACATACATAGCATTCCAGGGCGTGGCCTAAAAAGATTAACAAATAAACAAATATGTTCGATAATATGATTTTCATTCAACATACTGAAGGACAAGTAGCATACGACGAGAAGCAGCCAACAAAATCTTTTAACTTTCATTTTCAAGTAAGCTTATAAAAATCGAAACGAAACAAAACAAAAACACGATTGCACGATGTGAGTGATGCGACACTCGTTTAAATCGAACGTAGGAAACAATTGCATTGGCATTGTTGGCACGACTGATGTCGTTGCCGTCCATAGAATTCAAACATAGTTCTTGCGATGGCGATGCAAATATTAATTATACACAAATTAGAATTCAACAGAGAAACTATTTACAAAACAAAGACACGTATTGATCTTTTTTATTTGAATCAAAACAGTACTTTCGATATCATTGATTTTATCGAAACATTCGTAGTTAGGATTATTTCACAATTCGGTAAACGTGCATTTAATAATATCGAATTCGTTTTATACAAAGTATGGAAGCAGACGCGTTTTTAACAAGCGTTTCATTCATATGCGAGAAGTTCCTGCATGGCCTGGTTATGAACACTAGATTTACGGAAGCCGTCAATTTGACGGATGTCTGATTCCATATTTAAAATTGAAGAACGCGCAAATATTATTTTTTAACAACTTGTGTTGAATTTGATCGATGCAATGGCACGAATACATATTCTAATTAAAAGAAAAATCGTATTGTAAGGTAATCGTCAACATGAAAGGTATCAATAAATATACGTGCGATCAATGCCCGTAAATCTAGTGTTAAAAGTAGTTCGGTGGTATTATTGACCCGTGCGTTAGAACTTACATTACAGATTTTCCGGTCAACCAGCTTAAAATTGAATCGCAATCATCCCGGTCTATCTAGAAATATTAACAAATTAGACATCAAAGTTGTTCGGTCACCAGATTGTTCATGAATCCTGTTGATTCGAAAATCAATTCGTGATCGGTGTAACTATAGAAGATGTAATAGTATGAGTATTCGTAAACTTTGATCATAAATGTAAATTTCGTTATATTTTAGGTGCATCGTTACAAGTAATCACGAATAGGTTAATAAGAGATTAACCTCAGAAAACATTTGAACACATCGATTTAGAATCTTGGCCAACTCGCATGGAGGCTATTCGAGACGGGCAAAATTGTTTCTGTTAGTAAGAGAAATGAAAGCAAGAGGTGGGTACACAAATAAAGAGCTTAATTAAAATTGATTGAATTGTTATCCTTTATTTATTATATTGATAAGCTTAATCTTCAATAACTGGAAATAGGTGAAACGCAAGAGGAAGAGTGAAACGAGAAGGGGTAAATATGCGTTGGAGGGAACTCTACGAGTCGAGTGCGAGACAGAGCAGAAAGTGGTAAGAAAACAGAATTAAGTATATTTTTATTTACAATACGAATATCATTTTGTATAGATAAAGTTTAATCTATTATTTGTGACGGACGAATACTGCGAATGACGAATAATGTACTCCGATAGATCGCTTTCATCTAGACAATTATCTAGATATATATACGACCGAAGATTATTCAAATAATGCCGAACTCTGCACGAAAGGAATGATGCAACGAGAAAGATAGCCGGTGCATATGGTTCGTTCTCCCCTCTACGGATAATTCGAACTCTCCCTCGGGGTTCGGTGAGGTCGCGTGTGCTGGTCGCTCTCGCAACCGTCGGATGTCGATATTCGAGTGCGCGGCGCAGGCTGAGCAGTGGTAGTGTCGAGCCACTGCGCCGAGAATCTAAAATTATCGGTCGGTCCGAGAGAGGGAGAAGTGGTTAGGTGCACGTAGGAGGAGAGAGAAGCTCAGAGGGCGCCTGGAGTGGGAGGGGCGAGAAGCGGGGGAAGAGGCTTGATGTTAGAAGAAGAGCGGAAGGGAAGAGGGTAGGAGTGACGGTGCGAGGGAGGGAAAAGAGACGAAAGAGAGGAACGAAGACGCGCCAATAGATGCAAGAATACGTAATCAAGGAAACCGTAGCGCATAAAGAAAAGGGAAGAATGTGAAAAGGTGAAATTTGACGAGTACTGTCTGTTCGTGTCATTCGAATGAAACAGTAATGGACGGGTGGCCGCCAAGAAAGGGTAGTTGAAAATCGAGGAAGAAGACGAATAGGGGAGGAGATAAAAGAAAGGGCTACGAGTGGGAGGAAGGGTAGGCGGGCGAGGGTGGAGGTGGAAGCCGCGGCACGGGTGCGAGCGCATAGGTAACAAGAAGAGGAGGGGAAGAGCGGTGGCGGGTTGATGGTGGGTGTTGGCGGGGCTGGCGGGGTTGACGGCGACGGTGGCCGAGGCCAGAGAGTCGTCGTCGGTGGTCGTCGGCGAGGCACGGGCTACCGCGAGGAGTTTACGTTACCTACCACCCATCGCGCGAGTTCGCGTTGGACGCGACACGTCGAGCGTTTCGACAGCAGTTCGCGTAAACGAACGAATTATTCTATCCCCTTTTACTCTCTCCGCCTCTTTCTTTCGGCCCTCTCTGTTTCTCTCGGAGCAGTACGTTGTCCCTCTCTGTCGGTCCGCTCGGTCGACTCGCTCTTCTCCGGTTCGACTCTCCAGCTAGCCCAGGGTCGGCCCGTGTGCGCGCGTGCATCTTCCGAGCGACGTGACAGTCGAGGAAAAGCCGCGGGGAAGAGTGGCGCGGAAGTGTCCGAACCGCGAACAGACCTGCCGAGGTTCTCGCGTCGAGCGTTCTTGTTGTCGTTCTCGGTCTCGTTTTCGCTCGTTGCAAGCAACGGGCAATTGGGCACGCGATGGCGGACGAACAGGAGGCAAACAACACGTGCGAGGACTCCCTTGGGCCCGGAGATGCGACCACCGCTTTCGCTAAAAAGATCCGCGGACGGAAAGGTGCCCTTAAAAAGAAGAATGTCTACGTTGTCAAGAACCACAGCTTTATGCCGCGGTTCTTCAAACAGCCGACGTTCTGTAGCCACTGCAAGGACTTCATATGGTGAGTGAGACAACACAGTCACTTTTTCTACGAGAAATCCTTCCTCGATCCTCAATTCTTGTTCTCACGTCTATCGCTTTCTCCCTCTATCGATTGTTCTCGTTTCGAAGCAGCATTGAGTCGAGCCGGACCTGTAACTGATCTCGCTCAAAGCGGCCCGTACGCGCTGAGGTTTACGGTTGGTTTAGTCGACTCTATTTCTCGCCAGTTTTTTTTTCTTTTCAAGCTGTTTATCGAAGGTCATGTAAATATTACATGAATTTTTCGCAATAAACAAGGGAAAGATGTTAGAAATTAGCTTCCAAGCTTAATGAAGTGATACTGGACTTGCCTAATTATTATTGATTGTAAAATTTTGTCTTACATCAAATTGATACTTATCGAAGAAGGGAGAAAGAGAGAAATGACGATTGAGGAAAATAACGAATACGTATTTTCCGCGAGTTTTTACTTATAAAGTTGTTTATTGAAAATCATATGAATGTTACATAAATTTTAATAAATATGCAATCAATTGTTAAGTTTAACGGTATGTGATTGTATAATTATTGTAATATTAAATTGAAATGTACGAAAGAAAGATCAATCAGGAAAATAGTAAATGTTCTTCTTTGACGGTATTTTTTTAAGTTTATTGGAATCTATACAAGTGTTATTTAAATTTTCCCAAATAAAAAAGGGTTTAGGATTAGAATCAATCTTCAAGTTTAATGAACCCATGTTGGATTTCTCTAGTTCGATCATTATTAATCGTATATTTTTATGTGATATTAGAGTAATATTTACGAGAAAAGGTCTTTTATACGAGTATTCATCGTGAGAGAAATCTCACACGTTGATAAATTGATATATTCACTTACAAAATTAATCAATAGAAAATATTAGTCAATTTTTAGAAAGGTAAAAAGCAAGATATATCATTTGAAATAATATAGTTCGAAATTAAAACGTATCCTTTTATATCCTATGAGGTAGATATAATGGAATTTTTACCTCAGTGTAGGTAATTGCACATTCGTAATGGATGAGAACGTGCACACGCAATTAAAATTCTAATTAACAATTACGACTATCAGTGAGAATAAAACGTAGGTAGTGTGTAGGTAAACACCGGTTGGCAAAGATTTATATCATGCAAAAAGGAATATTAGTGGAAAAAGTTGTAGTACAAATAAAATATACACATATAGAAGGTTAGGATAATTATTCCCGTGGATGTGAATTAAGAATTTTGATGACATTAATATACAAAATTGTGTAGAAATTTGAAAGGAACGAAAGCAAAATTAAATACATGCTTAGGATTGGACAAAGGTTCGTGTCAAAGTCGGTTACGTGGGAATCGATTTAAAAAATCTACGATTCGTTGAAGAAAAATTGATTTCCTAAAAAAACCAAGCGAAATCAAACATCCTCATTCTGGAATTTGCAGTTGTGTCTGCTTTCTCTCTGTTTCCCTTTCCCTCTGGAGACATGTAAATCCAGCAAATAGCTGTCCGTAGAGTAACGGTTAAACGGTTCGTCCTTGAGGATACTCGCGCTTCGTCCGAATTAGAAACGACCCAACCGAGAAGCAAGAGGTCACGTCGAGCGCGGGGTTTTCGAATGTTTTCAAATAACCTCTCGTAACTTTCTTAACGTATTCTGTAAATCTAAAGTAATTCCGCTATTTTTAGTATTGAACATTCTGTGCGAAAGCGTTCGAATATTTTCGTGAGCCACTGTATGTCTGTTTATTGCCATAATTATGATCCTCCACAGTCGCAACTCGGGTTATTGACTCTTGAGCAACGTCGTACGACGGCTGGCCTGCTCTTTGTACATAAATTAATCAATCAGCTGATTACCTACTCTGACCTATTCTGTGCGAAATGATTTTTCATAGACCCGTTAGAAACACGAGGATCTGAAATTTGATCAATGAACTTGCGTAAGATTAAGACTAACAAAAATAGTAGAAGTTAATTTTAAATTTTATATGTAGAATAATTTTAAGCACGACTTATGACTTAAAAAATTATCTGACGCGTACGTTACTTTTAAAATAGTCCCACGAAAAGAAGCGGTTTTCAGTAAGAACAATAGAATTTCAATTGTCATAGCCGGCATATTTCGAATCACGCGATATTTGTATTCAGTAGTGTTTCACAAGTCATCGTGAAGTGATTCACAAGTTGTTCAACGCGTTGAACTTATTAAAATTTATTATAAAAATCCTTGTTCGATTTATGGTCAACATAATCGACTTACGGAACTCACATTGGCTATCACGAGGGAAAGTGTCGCTGATAATAAAAATTTATTGATTCCACGACGTTCTCGAGAATTAACCATTCCTCCGACTTCCGGTGCAGCGAATTTCGCGTAGAAACTTCGGTTTTCGTTCTTGCAAGATCCGGTTAAGTCGAGTATCGAAGTGTGCTGACCATCGTACGCGTCGCGAGTTTAGTCGAGCGTCCGTCGTAACGACAAAATGTTATCGTGTTGCGCGTCTGTATTTTTTTCCAAAATGGCGGCGCGACTGTGACCGTTATTAGGAAATATTACCGTTTGACGCGAATCGCGTGGATTTGAGAGTGTCACGCTCTCGTTGAAACTATTGCTTTATTGAGATTGAAGTTCAACGATAAGATTAGTTCGAGAAATGCAGCTGTCAACCGACCACTAAACTCTTGCGATTTGACGTCATTAGACTTTTTCTTGCGGTGCCACACCGAGTCTCATGTTTATTCCAGCAAACCACAAACTGTTGACGATCTCGAAGCAAACATCGTTCGCGTTATTGGCAAAACACAGTCTGATTTGTTCTAATATTTATCGAAAATTAATTTGAACCAAAATAATATTTAAATAATATTCTATTTGACGTACGATGCCCATCGAGTGTACATTATTCAAATTCAAAGTTCTATGGCTCTTGTTTACGCGATTCATTAATTTTTCAAAATTAATCAACATCGTGAAAATGGCGTTCCAAAGTTCCGAGTTAACCCGAGCATTTGAAAATGGTTTCCTGGCGGAATGGAAACGGGACTGGAAATATCTTTAAAAAATTTTCGCTTATCTAAGTTTCGGACAAAGGTACCATCGAATGCAACGACCATCGTTCCTCGATAAAAAAGTGTTTGGTGGGGAAGGTTAACGACAGTAACCTGTCTGGCGCGTAACATACATGATTTATAGTTGAAACGTAAAGGCTGCGCTGGCGTTGACGCACAATAGCGCGCGACCCAGTAACCAAACTAACTTGTTTCGCTGACATCGATTTTGCCGGCCGAGGACGAACGTAACAGACGTTTCCGATGTCCAATGCTTCTCTGCTGTTGCGTTTCCCAGAGACGGGCGAAATTCTTATTTGAATGAAAATTTTCGAATAACGAATAACAAGTGAATAACCGTTCGTTCCCATAGCGCGATGTCTGGATAGATAGACCGGCGCCGTGGTAAAACACTTCCCTATTCGAGATCGAACAGTGGTTTTTTTCTGATCTTAGCAGCAACATGTGGTCCCGCGTTGTCGCGGAGAAAAATGGCTTTACTTTGTATTGTGGCACGAGCGTGCCCATTATCCTTACGTTCATACGATCCAGTGTCGACTATAGCACGGTATATCCTCTTTTCGTCCCGTCAGATGCTCGAAAGGCATCTTATGTTAACAAACGTTCCTTGGTAATCCTGTTGTAGACGGTTCTTCAGAATTCCTTGCGGATTTTCTGTACTTAGGATTACCGTAATTGATTCGTGTTTTGTATCCCCGTTATGGTTTGTCGCGTTCTTCGTTTCTCGCCACGTCGGAAGTGGGTGTTTAGAATCGGTGATCGAAAATTGTTTTATTCCGCGAATAAAATTCCTTGCAAGGTTCAGGGCGTTTCGTCCCTGGGCTGTAAGGCTTCCTAGCAGGCCCTGCCTTAGACAACGGGATACATATTAGGTAGTGTATACAGGATGTTCGGCCATCCCCGGGAAAAATTTTAATGAGAGATTCTAAGGACCAAAATAAGACGAAAATCAAGAATATCAATTTCTTGACTCAGGCTTCATTAAATAGTTATTAAAAAATTTCAAATCATTCTGGAAAAATTATTTTCGGTTGCGGGGGTCAATTACAATCATTTTTGGTGAATACACATATCCCTGAAATCCTACCCACTTCCGAGAAAAAAATTCGAGTAGGTACTGAAATTTTTAGACGGAATTAAACAATTTCAAATCATACTAAAAAAATTATATTTAGTTACAGGGATCAATTACAATAATTTTTGGTGAATAGGCCTACCCCCGAAATCCTACCCACTTTTTAGAAAAAAATTCAGTACGGGCGGACCTTTAAACGCTAATAACTTTTTAACGAAGCCTCCATCAACAAATTAGTATTCTTGATTTTCGTCTTATTTTGGCCTCTAGAATCTTCCATTAAAATTTTTCCCAATGGTGGCCGAAAACCCTGTGTATGTATAGGATTGAAGGGGTCGGTCAAGTGCTTGCGAGAGAGCAAACCCTCTGGTGGCGAGTACGGGAGGTGACACCACAGTTGTATTTCAAGCACTGTAGTTGGAAAATTATGTAAGTACTAATTATTCTGTAACGATTGGATGAAATATATTAGATGTAATTAAGAGATAAAGTGGGTGATTCTTCTGGCTGATAGAGCAATACATGAATTTATCAGTACAGAATAATTTGTTGTATTGTTCTGCCAACTAGAAGAATTGCCCACATTAATTCTCTGAGAATTCGCTCGCAACGTAGTTTGCAATCGCAAGCAGTCTCGAATTCTGATCAGTTATATTTGGTCACAAAAATATTTAGACTGTAGTTGAATTAAATAAACAATGACCAAACAAATGTATTGTGTTTTAGGTAATATTTTTAATGATATTCTTTGGTTTAACTTTATAATAATAATAATGTTACAATACAGTTTCTAATCGACATCAATGCAAAAACTATTTATTATTTCCACTTATAGTGATATGAGATTCAAACTCTTGCCATTAACT